AAGAGATATGTTCGATGAGAAATCAATCACAGAATTTTGGCCCTTGATGTGCGATTCCTACCCAAATGTGGCAGAAAGAGCTATCCGTGCAAGGCTTCCGTTTGTGTCGACATATCTTTGTGAGTCAGGCTTTTCAACTCTGTTGCAAATTAAAAAGAAAGCAACGTAGTAGATTAGAGGTAGAAAATGACCTGCGTTGTGCCCTTTCAAGCACTCCTCCGCGTATCCCAGAATTGGCGAAGAAAAAACAATCACAGGTTTCTCATTGACTGTAATCTTCATCTGAATAAAATTAATTACAAATTTACAATATCCTGGTATTCTATTGAACTTTTTGTTTATTGCATTATGCTTCAGTTAGGTCTGTTAAGTAATTCATTATAAAAAAAAAAAACTATTTTACTTTTATTCAAGTTTTATAAATCCATCAACATTTTCAATTGGCATTTAATTTGTAAAACTCCACTATAAAAATAATCCATGTAAAATTGTAAATGTATATGTACTAATATGGAAAAAATAAAGGATTTTCAGTATTATATGCATATTATTTGGAATGCACTTTTTGAGGCAGACAATCTTGGAAAGGAGGGGGGAATGACATTCTGACATGGTGAAAGGGGTGCATGGGGCAAACAAGGTTGAGAACCACTGCTCTAAAAGATCCCATTCCATAGAAAACGTACATAGTGCTTAAGAAAACGAATTTAATTTTACTTTAATTTTACATTAACTGTTTTAACTATTTGCGGCATAAACTCCATCAAAGAAAACGTGTAGATATCTAGAGAACGATCTTGTCTTTAGCGTAGACTCCTGTCATCCTTTTACTTTTATCCTCTTCGCCACTGATCGGCTTGTTAGCCGCTTGGGCGATCGGTCACGTTTCTTTTCCTTTATATTCTTCACCAAAAGGTCGGCTCGCTAGCCGCCCGGGCGATCGGTCACGTCTCTGTCACGCACTGTTGGCAAATACTGGGCATGCACCGGCTCCTGAATGTACCTGAACCCGCTCCAGTGTTGGTCAAGTCTTCTCTTGAAAGAGCTCACACTCGGTGCCGTCACAACACTCTCTGGTAGATTGTTCCAAGAGTTTACAACCCTCACTCCGAAAAAGTTTGCCCTCACGGTTTTCCGGACTTGCGGCTTCTTCAATCTTGAGCTGTGACCCCTTGTGGGGCGAGCGTCCGCCAGCTCCAAGTAAGGACACTCAACTGAGTAGTGCCCCCTGAGATGCTTATAAACCTCAACTAGGTCCCCCCTTGCCCGTCTGTAGTATAAGCTAGGCATCCATTGCATAAATACATATGGAAGGAATCTACAATCCTACTTGTGGCTTTTTCAACCTTGAGCTGTGACCCTTTATGGGGTGGACGTTCGCCAGGTCCATTTTTTTTTTACGGGGAATAGCCCACCGGGCACAGGTCATCGACCCACAACGGGGCCTAGGGGGCGAAAAAATAAGAATAAAACGAAATTAAAGATAGAAGAGAAAAAGAATGTATTAAGCTACACCACGAAGATGCCGGAAAACCAGGTTTTTGAAGTGAAGCAGATTGTAAGAGTATGGAAAAAGAAGAAAGCAGAGCATTCCACAGATAAGGGGCCTAGACGCAAGCAGCAAGCCTGTGGTGCTTTTAAAGGGACCTTGACGCTAAAGCCCTGCTACCAAGACACAGATTAGAAGCAATTATCGCAGTAATAATAAAGATCATTATTATTATTAATATTAAGCCGACGATTAAAATTCCATAGCATGGTCAAGACCTATTCAGGCGCTGCTCCCGCTACACAGCTGCCCCCCTTGACCAATGTCGGCCCATTCTCCAAGTCCCTCTCCCCGATCCATCTTCACCACCGGGATATCTACAGAATCAAAGGTGACAATTTCGTTTCGGAAATAAATGGGATCAGTGTTGAACAGTGATAAACAGTGTTTGAGCCAGTGAATTCAGCACTAGACAGTACCAGTGAAAGCCGCGACCCACCAGTGAGATAAGCACCCATGGGAACTGACCGCCATCTTCTGACAAGGAGGTGCTAATCCATCCACCCTGGGAACAACAGAGGGCCGGCCGGCTATGCACCTGACTACGGGGTAACACAACATCACCGAGCAGTGAGGTACTATGACACCATCCCACACCACACGGTGTCCCCATGACTACGTGAGGTCCTTCATATCAACACCCGAGGACGAGTCACTGTACCACGTGAACATCACACCACCCGATGTTTCCATGACCACGTGAGGTCCTTCATATCAACACCCGAGGACGAGTTACTACACCACGTGAACACCTCACCACCTGGTGTCTCCATGACCAGTCCAGGCCCTGGCCATCAACTGTAAACTATTATAATTTGTATGCTCAATTCGTGTTCTTTCTTCTTTCAGTCATGAAAGCTTTTGTTAAACGACCCACCCACCCCATGTTTTTGTATGTAATAAGTCATTATTGTCCAATGTATATTTTCAGCCTTTGGGCTGCCGATTTTTTCAATAAACCGTTAATTATTATTATTATTATTATTATTATTATTATTATTATTATTATTATTATTATTATTATTATTATTTGTACAGAGTCTGCACCCCCCCCCCCCTCCTCCGCAACAGCAACAACTATGAGGGATGTGGAATCAGGGGCTGAAGCAGCACCAGGAAATCTGTTGACCTGTGATTACTGCAGGGCGACGTCGGGTGTAGATTGTACGGGACTGAGAGATGCAACGTTTAGGATGTTACAGAATGCGGTAAGGCATGAAGGCTGTTGCTGGTATTGCCTTGACTGCATAGTCAAGGTGAAAGAAGCGATTGCAAGCCATAGGGGAACGAGTTTCCTAGGGATGAAAATAGATGAAGTTGGATCCTTGCTGGTTGCTAAACTAGAACAGGTTGGGAAAGAGATCCTTGCTAAGACTGAGGAAGTATCCGATAGAAAGGAGGTGGTAGCAAAGAGGAGTTATGCCCAGGCCTTAGCAGCGCCACGGAAAGTGCGGAGAGTAATGCAGGATTAGGTTCTACAGCAGCTAGGGACTCTGAAAAAGTGTGTCGAAGAGATGGCAACTAGCAGACCTACTGTTAGGGGAGAGGAGGAACAATGGGAATGTTTCCAGCGCAGAAACAACGTAATAGTTTATGGAGTCCCTGAGAGCCAGTCGGAGGAAGCTAAGAGTAGGAAAACACACGATAAGATACAGTTTGAGAATATTTGTACAGAGGTTCTGAATATACCCCCCCAGGATGTGAGGAGGCTGGGACAAGGGGACAAGCCTCGCTCCATCAGGATCAAACTTGTGAGTGGGGATAAGAAATGAGAGGTTATTCGGCAGGACATGAGGATTTATGCAAGAGCCAGGAACCAAGCAAAGTCAGAGTGTAGAAGGTCTGAAAAGGAGTTCCAGAGGCTGGTTGCAAGCGAGGTCAAGTCAAAACCAAAGGCATTTTACCGCTATGCGAAGTCGAAATTAGAAACGCGAGCAGGAGTATCGGACCTGAGGCTTGAAGATGTGTAGTTACACGGATTCTGGCCAGGACAAAGCTGAGGCATTGAACAGCTTCTTTTCCACGGTATTCACGAGAGAGGATGCGATTAACATACCTGCGTTTGAGGACAGACGGTTCGACACAACACTGACCCACATTGTGCTAAAGGTTCATAAGAGTCCCGGCCCCTACTTGGTGCATCCCACAGTGCTAAGAGAGTTGTGCAACGAGCTTGCTGAGCCCTTGAAGATCCTGTTCTGTAAATGCCTGGATGAACAAAAGGTTTCCAGTGATTGGAAAATGGCTTATACTTTTACTTTTACGTTTATCCTCTTCACCACTGATCGGCTCGTTAGCCGTTTGGGCGATCGGTCACGTCTCTGTTTCGAACTGTTGGCAAGTACTTAGTTTTAGTTTAACAAATTTATTGACAAAGCTTGGAGTACAGTTTGCCTATCCTGAGTCGGTATATATATACCGGTATATATATACCTTGTTTTGTACTCCTCCTTAGTCTGTACTCACCCCTGAAGATGTGAATTACACGAAAGCACTTGGGAACTTCGTGTTTTCTTCTTTCCATGTGATTATCAGCATATACCTGGATCACGCACACCCACAGTGATTTACTTGCAGATATATATATATATATATATATATATATATATATATATATATATATATATATATATATATATATATATATATATATATATATATATATATATATATAATCAACGACCTCACCAGCAAGGAATCGAACCCTCGACCTACTGGAAATATAAGAGTCTAGAACTGCCTTAGTGTCCTTGTGGGCTAGCCTAGTCCCACTTAGTAGGTCGAGGGTTCGATTCCTTGCTGGTGAGGTCGTTGATTATATGTTCAAAGTCTGCGTGTTATATGGACTAAAAATGAAGTTTAATATCAACAATGAAAACGTGGATAACATAAATCTTGATGAAATCACACGGGAAAAGGGAAACAACGGAGCACCTTAGCTTTCGTCTTTATTCAAGATTTAACTAAAGGCACAGTACTACACTCCCTGGTTGGCCTTTATCACAGCCATGACCACAACTCCGTAAAAAAATAAAATAAAAGTTTTGTCATATGGCAATGATTTTGTGGTTGTAGCCGCTTGTATGCCAATTGATCTGGCTGTACCTCCAACTCGGTGGAGTTTGAGTTTTCAAAAATACAATCGCATCTAGCATTAAAAATCCTACATCGATTTACACTTTCACATCACTAAGACGATCTTGATGATCTTATGTAATCACTGTCCAATTTCTGCGGCTCAACAACCAAGGACCGAGTGCCAAACACGCTTTTCCTACTTAATTTTTTCAAGCTTACTGATCTTTTTTTAACCGTAAGCACTCCTTAAAATAAAAAAAATAAAAAAATGGTAACAATAACCTTATTAGAAGGCGACAACGATTGTCTATATGATTTTGTATCTGAGAAATGGTTAATAAACATTTATACACAGTATCCCTTAAGGCTCCTCCACCAATCAACAACGTCCATAAGAGAAGGAGTCAGATGGTCTTACCAGTAACAGAGGCATTAACTCTAACTCCAATTATGAATATGATCATCCTGTGAATCAAGTAACAAATAGTGCCTGTTAAGCTGTTAAAGGTTCGTAATCACTAATTTATATTTTCTATACCAGATTTGCTGAGACATTGGGTTAAGAATCGTTTTGACTGCCCCGCCAGTTTCTATAGAAAGATTAATGTTTTGTTATTTGGACTTTAGTTATAGGTTACGTTACCTTTGACATTTTTGGCTTGTTATTATTTTAGAGGTAATGTCGAAAGTTGAATTATTTACCTTAAATATTCCTCCTCGGTCCCAGTGTACAGTACTCTCACGTCCACTAAAAAGGTAAAATTAAACCATGATGCTTCAGCAAAGTTGCTTTCATTGGTAACAAAATAGTACTTTATGTTTAATATGGCGGGGGGCCCAGGGGAGGAAGTTAGGTAGGTTTCTTTGGTCGGTTAGTTCTATATATCTCTCTGACATTGTCTCATAAAGTGGGATTTCCCAAGGAAAATGAAGTTCAAGATTTAAATTAAGCACACCAAAACTCACCAGAAAAGTTTATGGTAAATCTGCATTAGTTCACACAACTGTTAGAAAGGCAAAACTATGTTTTACTAGTGTATTTTTGTGTGTTTTGATTGGTTCTGTCCTTGATTTCCGTCGGAAATTGCCTGATTTTTAGTTATCAGGTGTTTTCGGTGGGGCGTTTTCCGACAAAAATCATGGCCAAGCAAATACAAAACACACACACAAAAAAAAAACACTAGAAAAACATATAAACCTAACCTTTTTTGGATGACCTAACCTAACCTAACTCTCACCATATGATGGAATCACTTATTTCTTACCGTATTAGTCTGGTTCCGGTTCGTCATCGGATTCTGAGATCAGTACAGGTGTCTGAGTTACTACAATGCTAACTATGTTGGTCTTGACGATATTTACACTCATTCTTGGATTTAGGACACTACTAACGTCGGGAGAACACCATGAGTTCTAAAAAATGCTATAGCATTGTTCGTTTTTTCCCAAAAGTGCGCAATCAACTCCATATAATTGAAGTGACACCCATCGCAGACTTCCATGGTCGGAAATTAATTTGAATTTTGAAATATGAGAGACCAAAAATCATAATCGAATACTGCAAATTAAACCACAATTTATTTTAATTGGTGGCAAAAAAACCTTTTGATTGGCCGTGTGACGTGTACGGGAACGCATGCGTATTGCGATTTATGAAGGAAACACGCTGGGTGGGAGGTCGGGTAGGCAATAATGGCGGAAGATTAATGGAAGAAAATAAAGAAATATCTGGAGTGCGCTATCTCCGTTATTATACGTTTGAGACGGTAATGTAATAGAAGAAAATTATCTTAAAATTAGACGTCTTTCGAATTTGATAAAAGATTTGGTGTTGGAAAGTTGTGTGCACTAATGCAAAAATACCAAATATATTTATGTAAAAAGCAAAGATGACGTTAAAATGAATCTTTACTAGACATTGTGCTAATTAGTCATGTTATAAAAGAAATTGGTAGAGGAGTGGTTATGCTCTCGACCTGAAAGTACATAATTACTGTAGCGAACCTTGTTAACAAAATATCCTCCACAACCAGAGTTGGCCATGACAGGAAAGAGGCTGATGAGCATTTTTTTTTTTTTTTTTTTTTTTTTTTTTTTTTTTTTTTTTTATTTTTTTTTTAATCTTGTCCAGAATTATTTTGGGCATTATTTTAGTTTTGATCATCTGGGGAATCTTAGGAATTTAAGCCCACCTCCCAGAAAGGAGGGGTCTGGGAGGGGCCAAAGCCCTCCCAGTTAGGTTAGATTAGATATAGTCGATGGGTTCTGTGGCTAGGTTAGGTGCATAGTTTGGATATCTAAATACAAGGATGACCTAAACTAAAATTTTACCTTATTTTGGGTTTAGTAATACTCTGGAACAGGTGCAGTTTGACCAGCAACTTTGAGAAAAGGCTGTGGATATTTGTCCAGTTATCAGTTAGAATTTTGTTTTCAGACTAACACCAGAAGTAGTTGATAGAACTGGACGAAACTTTGTGGAAACGTTATTGACACTACTAAATATATAAATGGAAATGAGAATGCACAGAACCTATTAGAACTTGACCTAACCAACCTAACCTAAATTAACCTACCTAACTTACCAGAAAACCTTTTAAAACATACCTAATGACACTGAACGGATTCTTATTTCCACTTGTCCATTTAATAGATTGTAAATAAAGCAAAGTTTCGTCCAATTCTATTGACTCCTTCTGGAGTTAGTCTAAAAAACCTACTTAATTGATTACCAGACAAATATCCAAAGCAAAAAAATAATAGTAAGGAGGTGGGTCCGTTGCTATAATATTGTGGCTACCGGGCTCACAGGCTGTGTGGCCTTGATATTGCATTCTTAGAGAATAGAATCGATTTCATTTACCATTTTAAATTAAAATGGCATGTTTTACAGTGGGTGAAACTAACCTAACCTGTCAAAAACAAAGAACTGTAAAATGAAAGGTAAAGGTGGAGGAGACCATTTTAATCAGAAATAAGTTATGGAATTGAACACAAAAATGGAATCTAGAATGCACAGAACCTATTAGAACCTGACTTAACCTTACCTTATCTACCCAACCTCACCTAACTTCCTAACCTGTACATTGTCATTTAAATTTGTTAATTATCATCCAAACAACATCTCTTGAAAAAATGAACGAAATCTGTCCCATTTAATCGTAATAAACGCCTAATGAGTTCGCCGTTTATTTCTTGACATGTAGACAAAAACTGCGGATGCTCCCCTATAGCAGATGACAGGAGACCCAACGGCACCATAATTAATTCTTCAATTATAAAGTACGTAAAGATGTGAATTTACTGCCATATGATCAGTGTTCGCAGTGTTTTTTACCCCATTATTTTCATTATCTTTCATGCCCTACCCACTGACAAGTAATTTATAATTGAAGGATATGCTAGAAAGAAATAATGACAATTACTACAATGTTGTCGCTTAGATTTTATTACTCGGTATCATTCAAACATCTGAAAATTTCGTGCAATTCCATGATGTACTCCTTTAATCTTCCACAATGGCCACACAACAACCTGTGGGCTAGGTAGCCACATATTACAGCCACAAAGACAATTCGTTTTAGTAATGGTTAAGGAGAGGAGACCTGGTTAACCAGCTGTGTAACAAAAAATCTCGAGAAAAAAAAATCTTCTCTTAAGAATAACCCAAATATGAAGTGTGGAATTCCTCCTCCCAATTTGGAGAGATTAATTCTCCAAATTGAACTTAAATGACAATTTTGTAAGTTTACTTTGAAGAATAGATATTTTAAAGATAAAGTGAAGCCAAATATGTAGACTATGTTATTCATACCACAACTACTGTATAACTTTCTTATCCACAGATTATGTCACAATATTGGCTACCATCAAGTGGAAGGAATCCTCGAGTTCCTGGAAATTTTGCACAGCAGTATCACACGACAACAAATAATCAAGATGGGTTTATTCCCCTTGTTTCTTATACGAATATGGAGGTTTACTTTCGTAATCAGAATTACCAAAGTAGACCTCCAGCTCAGCAATATAATTTTCGGATGTCACCAAGACGCAGAGCAGCAGATAACTTCAGAAGTTTTAATTATTCATCAGTCCAATGGCCGGGGACAACTAGTTCCCATTGTCCCTACAGAAGGCGTCCCTTAAGGGATTATGATTCTAGCAGAGCACCGCACTCTCATAATCATGTAGTCAATGAACCTTTGCAGCCCAATAATAGTATAACATACAATGTTAAACTTAAAAGACTTCCATTCTTTGAAGTCATAGCTACACTGTTGCAAATTGATACAATAGACAAAAACGGTAAGTTAGACAATTATTTTCTGATCATTGTCATTACAGTATTTAGTTAAATATGCATTGAAATTATTTATCCTGTGTAAGATTTTTTTCTATTGGTTTCTGGATACCGGGTATATAATTTTTTCTAGTTGGTTTCTTAATGTTATCTCAAGGCTGACTGAATTTATTCTGTTCAAGTAAGATATATGTGTACAGTACAGTATTACTAGTTTGGGGAACATGATGCAGCAGTTGCCTCAAGGCTGTAGGGCTTGTTGAATTTAGTGACATCATGACAGTAGCCCTGCCTTCTATGACATTTTGTGTGAACCTGAACAAACCTGGGATTATGTGATTGCCCATACATTAAGTTTCCAATTGACTAGTATAGAGGACTGTTCCTGGCAGTTAGTTCTTCCATTTTACTTTTACTTCAGAAGCTGATGATTAAGTGGATAGTTTTTAATTACCCCGGAGTTGCCAACTGCTCTTGCCATCTGAGTTGGTTTTAGGAAGGGTAAACAGCTGTAAAATGTGGCTTCCATATGCCTGATGGCAACTGGGACACCAGAGTGGTGCTCATCCCCTGGTCTCTGCTGAATTTTTTGGTTTGCACTGGTGAGGGGAACATTCTTTTCTGGTTTTACCCAACAACTGCCATCAGGTACTGTAATCATGTTAAAGCCACACAGGTGTGGTATCATATAATGTATGATAAAACACTAGAATATGTGCTGGGAGTGGCAAATTAATATTAGTATTGGTCATTTTAATTATACCGTACTATGTGTATTGATATATTATTTGCAATTATTTGTAGAATTGGTTATTTATTGTTAAGAAATTGTGTGGTTTTACCGGTGTTGACTGTGATGTATCTATACTATTTTTTTAGTGATTTCAAGCTGGTTGCTTGTGGACAATGCTGAGTCGCTTGCCATGCTACTGCCATCCAAGAAGCACCTATTCAGTAAAAAACCCACAATTCAAATAATAGGAACTCTAGCCTATATGAATTATGAGATTTTACAAAATACAAGGGACATCTTTTGAAGGGAAAAAAGCAACTGTAGTTCTCTTTTATTTGCCCCAATCGAAAATTTTAAATGTTTCTCAGTACCTTTGTACCAGATTTAGATGCTTGGTCCATGGTTTTGAGATATAATGTCTCAAACATGGAGCAATAATGGAAAAACAATTGGAAAAAAAGCTTGCATGTAGATCATAGATGTGCACACAATGAATGACCAATGTGACCTGACACACGTGACACATGTAGTACTTGTTTACTCTGAGGCGGGTGGTTAAAGGTCGCATCCCATGGCGTCTTGTGAATCATACATATTCGTAAATGTCTCTCGTAATAGGAAATTTTGCCAAATATTATGATAATCGTAGAACAGCATGTACAGTACAGCATGCCCTTCAAATTCGCATGGGCTTGGTTCTCTAAATGGCCACAAATAGCCAAATCCGGAAATAACATTTGCTGACGCTGTGTGTGTGTGTTACGTGTTTACTTGAGTACAAAGAAATGTATATTTTCTTTATGTGTTTGCTCTTAGGACAATTATTTCTTTTACCTGTGTTGTATATGTGTATGTGTGTGAGCATTTTGTGTCTTAATTATCCAAAGTTATGGCACTTGGGCTCTGTTGTGGTGTGACACAGGACTTGGTCATATTTGGTGGATATCTTTTCATAACCTTTCATATGGGTTACCACACTTTCAAGGAATATTTTATAGAAATAATACCAACTTTTTAACTGTCAACAGGTTGCTTCCAATCACACTTCAGCTTTCATCTGAAACCACATATAGCTAAACACTTTCAAAATCAAGATACTGCAAACAAATACCAGGTGAGTCAATACTTTTTTATGTTATGCATAATGCATTATAATGTTACTGTGTATTTGGTGTTTGCTTAGTTGTGTTATAAGCTGTACTTTTTTCTCCTGAGAAATTCAGTACTCATCATTGAAATTACAGTGTATTACCAAGAACGTGACCACAATTTCATTGGCTAAAATCGATCCTACACAGTATATATATATATATATATATATATATATATATATATATATATATATATATATATATATATATATATATATATATATATATATATATATATATATATATATATATATATATATATATATATATATATATATATATATATATATATATATATATATATATATATATATATATATATATATATATATATATATATATATATATATATATATATATATATATATATATATATATGCTATAACGAATCTAATTGGTTCTAGAACCTTGTTCGTTATAGCATTCGTTCGTTATAGGATTAATCCGTTCCAGGCCCCCAAATACAACCACTTAACACTGAAAAATATAATATAAAATTGTAAAAATTGTAAAAAAGTGCATAAATATGCATCTAAACCCCTGAAATAAAGAATATCATTAATATTTGTAATAAAAAAACAATAAATTAGAAAAAAAAAAATTAAATAATGTTCGTTGTAGGAGTTTCGTTCGTTATAGCATTCTCAATTTTATAGGTAAAACCGTTCGTTATAGGAATATTCGTAGTAGGATCCGTTCGTTATAGCATACCCCACTGTATGTGTATATATATATATATATATATACACACACACACACACACACACGCACGCACGCACTGAACCCTCACTTTACGCTGTCAATTGAACCCACGGCGGCCCGCGTAAAGTGAGAAACGCGTTAAGTGAACAACATAACATATGGGATTAATTGAAATAGAGACCGGGCCGACCCCCAAACTCCACTTTTTCAGACACAATACCTACGTTGTAGTAAAAATAACTTCTTAATTTTATGATAGTATGCACACACAATTAATAATTAAGAGAAATATCAATAATATTAGGTTTTTTAACACTTACATTAGTAGAAAAGATGGCTGGGCACACGGGGATGGGGGTTTGGTTCAGATGCAGAGGGCAGATTATTGGCCATCAATTGTATCACTATCCACCACAGAGGCTTGCAGGGCCTCTTTGTCAAACCCCTCAAAGTCCATATGAGTCCATATCCTCACTATCATTATCACTATCACTGACTTGGGCCGGCTATGGTGGGTGGCGGGTGAAGAACTCTGTAATGTTTTGATGACTGGGCGACCTTGTGCGCGCCCTGCTCGCTCTGCTCTCCGCGTAAAAGGGTACACACACCGCGGAAAGTGGGGTATGCTATAACGAACGGATTCTACTATGAATATTCCTATAGCGAACGGTTTTACCTATAAAATTGAGAATGCTATAACGAACGCAACTCCTACAATGAACGTGGATGAATACGGGACTATTTCTTGTGGCACATGAATATTTTACCGCGGCTCACAGCAAGAGCGTTAGGCGCCATATTGGTTCATTGTGTAGTCAGTGCACCACTGAACTTGTTGAAATTTCGTCTTTTGATGTGGAAATTCGTGTTATTTTTATAACTATTTTGTTATACAAGTGTACAATTGTAACAATGAATCGTCAAAAGTGAGTGAGAAAGCTAATAACCCTTGAAACTAAGAAAAAAATTATAAATAAACAGACAAAGTGCCTGTAAGAAAGTCACCAAAGAGGGCTTGGAAGGATGACTCCTCTCCTTCCACCTCTTCTCCATAATTCTCTCCTCCCCCCTCCTCCTCTGCCTCCTGTCTTGCATGCTGAACAACACTAAGGTAAGATAAAGTACTGTATTTTTTACAATTTCCACAGAAAATTTTCAGTGTTAAGTGGTTGTATTTGGGGGCCTGGAACGGATTAATCCTATAACGAACGAGGTTCTAGAACCAATTAGATTCGTTATAGCATACCCCAATGTATTTATTTGTATTTATTTTTCATTGCAGGTACAGTTAAGAATAGGCAAGCTTGATGGCCCCAGTGAACAGGTGGACTACTATCCAAATACCCTACAAATTTTGGTCAACAATAAATTTTGTGTTCTTCCAGTAAGTTTCAAGTCAGAAAAAATCTTTTTAGGCTTAATACATTTTTAAAGATGAAGAAATTTTTGTTACTGTCTTACCTAATAATATTACAATGACACCGAACTAATTGGAATTTTGGATATACTGTGCACTAAATCTTTGATCATTCAGCACTCCATATGCTCTGGCCTTGCTGAATTAGCTCAAGTATCTAAAATTTTTCGCCAGTTTTGTTAGCTTCCTTTATTATTTTCTTTGTTTGAACACAGAATTTATCCCAATCATCTCCATTGGTTTCTCACCAGTCACACATCAGTGTATGATATGTTCGCAATTTTCCGTATGATCTAATTTCTGACATGATCCTGCCTTCTCACTCTTAGTATTCTCCTGAGTGGTTTGTTTCCGAATGGCTGGAACTGTCTGGATATACAGTAGAATCCCAGTCATCCGGCACCTATGGAGATTGAGAGGTGCCAGATAAAGAGATTTTCCCGTTAATTAAACCTCACTCTTCGGATCCCCTAATAAATCCTAATGTGCACAGTTATACTGGCTGATCTCGCAAATTTGTGTCTTAGAAGTACGTTTTTTTGCAAATCCGTGTACAGTATTTGCATGAGCATTCTCCAATTACCATGTTATTTGCTTGTTTGTGCTCATTTGAGATTTTGTTTCCTTTTAAATTTAAACACTCATGAAACTCCATGCATTAAAAAAAAAATTCTTAACACTTTTCCACTCTATGTAAATGATGCGGCTTAGAAATACGTAAAGAAAATATAATATAAATCTACTGTACTGTACTGTATAAATAAGAAAAATTAAGAGCATGGGTATGTACTGTATGTGTGGAACTAAACGTGTGTGAGAGCGGTAAGCTATAACTAAACTGCTGACTCGCCAGCCCAGCTGCCTCATATATTGTTACATGTAATGAAACTAAGAGTTGTGGAAAAAGCATTACAATACTTTTATATGGTTTTGATATAAAGAAAATATAAAACTATAAAATACGAAATATAAAGAGCATGGGTGTGTATGTGTGGGAAGAGAAAGTGTGTGGCGGCAGTGAGCTATAAGTGTGTGGCCAGTGCCGGATTTAGACCTGTGGAGGCCCCCCCTCATTATAACTACCCAAGAGGGTGGGGTGGCGAGTGAAGCGACCCTAAACATCTGGGAGTTCCGGGGGGCGCTGTAAGCCTCCCTGTGAAAATTTTGAAATTTGAACACTTCTTTGGAGAATTTTGAAGCCATATGCAGTTATATTGAGGAAATCAGAACATTGAGAAATTTTTAATTAACTGTATATTTATTAATAGTGTACAAACACACACACACACACAAAAGTGAGACATGACTGGGGTCATTTATGTGGTTTCAAGTCAACCAGCCCTGATATAGCTACTACTGCACATGTCAAAAATTTTCAAGAGACTTCACAGAAAAGAATATATTATTATTGCTGAACATAGTTTTATGTGATGGAATAGATAAACATGAATTTTAAAGAATGAAAATAAAAATAATCCAAATGAATAAACAAATAAATAAAATATTGTAATATGTGGAGGCCCCCAGATTGTGGAGGCCCCTGGGCAGCTGCCCACTTTGCCCACTCCTGAATCCGGCCCTGTGCGTGGCCAAGCTCTCTCTCGATGTGATGTCATAGCACACAAACAGCGCCGTGTGGCAGACACATCTTTGTCCTCACCCCTTACCATGTTCTACCATAAGAAAAAAATAGACACGGGCAATATTATTTTGATATGCAGAATAAATAGTCTGGATTATTAAACAATAAAAGCATCTCAAAATATTTCAAGCTTTATTTACAGTATAGGTATTGTATAAGCATTGTAGTTATGTTTGTGTTAGATTTTAGATCATATTTTATATTTGAAAAATGTTTTTACACAAAAACCACATGTTATATACCTGTATATGAAGTGAACTTGAAACTAAATGCTGTATTCATGTGTTGGTACCCAGAAAAGTAATATAATGTACATTTCTTTCTCAGGGGTTTGAGACAGTACCAAGGGGACCAGCAAGACCAGTGGGCATTACCCATTTGTGTAATTTGTCTAACAATTTTACTAACCATATAACTGTAAGTATGTTTCAGGCATAACTTTATTTGTTTTGTTATTGTGTTTCATAAAATTAACCCATTCAGTGTGGACCTGCCATGTATGGAACAGAAAAGTGTTATGTGTCAGAAGTACCTAACTGAGGGTACACTTGAAACTCAGACCAACCACATTGAATGGGTTATAGTATGAGAAGAATGACTTAAGCATAAATGTATGTGGTGAAAGGATAATATGAAATAATTGATTGATGAGATAACAAAAGTAAAGTTGACAATATTTTTTTCAGATATTGAAGCAGGGATAAGTGAAGTTCCTAAGTGTCAAATTACTGTATTTATATTTTTCAATGTTATAAGTTTTCATAAGTACAGGTAATTATTTTTTTTATTATATAGTAATGTAATACAGGTTTGACATTGCTAATCCAGGAAACGTTGGACCAGACCGGTTCCAGATTAGTGAAAATTCCAAACCATCGAAGCCGAGGTTAAAAAAAGGCAAAATAATGCATAGAATGTACTAATACTGGTACCAATACAACTTACATCAGCATAAATCTAATTCAGGCTTATTGGACCTCTTTATGACAAAGAGTTAGTGCTATGGCACAGGTTTACTGTTCTGTGACACAGAAATAAGTAGGTTAGCAGAAAAAGCAAAGATAAAATTTTATATTACAGGCCTACTGATACCTGTCCCGAATTGTCGAAGCTGCCTGACTATCAGGTCCTGGATTAGCGGGGACCAACCTGTAGGTGTATTATATTAATATAAGACTAAACTTGATGCATCATATAAAAGGAGAGGAAATAACTGACTTTAAAGTTTATTTGAGTGTAGACGTTAGGTGATTTCACTTGCCGATTGTTAACCCCTTTGTTGCCTACCACATGTTGCCATCCATAAGCCAACACATGGCTGAACACCATATATATCAGTAAAATCTTTCACCCACCACTTGCTTGCAGGCTATAGTCAAGGCATAAATTTATGTTAATCTGTATAATCATGTGTTGTGCATTCCTACCGACACTGTACCATAACAGATAATGCATTATTATATACTGTAATATGTACATTAAGATCTTGCTGAGCAAGAAATTTTTTATTGAGCTTAGTATTTTGTGGTATGAAAATTCAGTGAAAATACTTTTTTATTTACAAAGCAAATTACTTGTTGTAACAGCAGATCTTTCCCATTGTTTGACAGAAACTCAGATGTACAGCAGCCACTTTATTTTTGTGGTAATGGCATTGCACCTATGATAAGTACATAAAACACACAAATAGTCCCCAAATGTGTCCACACTAGCGGTTATGTATCGGGAAATGAAAGGAATAGCCTAGCAGAGGTAGAATTAGTCACAGATATGATGTTAATGAAGAAGGAACAGGTGGCCAACAAATAACGCCTTAACGGGACATTAACCGAATTATTGGTATCTAAAGAGTAGCGACATAGTACCGAAACAACGTTAAGTTTTTGCGATGTTATACGAGAACTTACTGTATTATCTCTCACTGTGTTTTTTATTAAAAAAAATTATAGTAGTTACATGATCCATCATGTTTTATTCGAATGCTATTTTATCTCTGTAAAGAGCACTGTACAGAAAATATTTATTCATGTATTAAGTATGATTTAAATTTGTTTTGAATCCTGCAGATAAGGAACACTTCTGAGAAGCTCAAGCTCTTTATCTATGTTGTTAAAAAACTTACATCTGAAGATTTGGTAAAAAAACTAGAAGCAAGGAAGCCTACAAACCCTAAGGACACAGCCTCTGCAAGTAAGATAATTATTTTGGGGAATAATAATTGTTTTGTATTTAAATTTATATATTAATTTAATGAGAACTGATAATTTACAGTAAACTTCCTCTAATCCAGACTAATTAGAGGGAAGGTCTGTCTGGTTTGGCCAAAATTCTGGGTTGGGCGGGGGTCTGTATTGTCTATAATTGCAGGGTGGAAAATTCCAGAGGGTTGTGGGATTTCTGAGTTAAACTACGTAAGAACACCGAATCTACTGTAATTTTTAGCCTAAACTTAATTTTTTTTAGCTGCTTAAGGTTTAAACAACTGTGGTAAAATAGTTAGGATTTCCTTGGTCTCATATGCTCTTGGCAACTAAATGCAGGCTCTCATCACAACTGAACTCAGTGAGTCACCAAGTGGCTGGTATTGCCGGGAGCTGTCATATGCATGGCATATGTCTTGGCTGTGACAAACATCTCCATTCATACCTCGGACCCCTAAAATACCTCCATTTGATGGCACATATATAGATTTTTTTTTCATTTTTTACACTTAATTTTTTTATATAGTACTGTACAATTCAGGATGAATTTAGTAAAAAAAAAAAACTGTCTCAAACTATTTGACAGCATATAAGATGCACAGGCATATAAAACACACCCAGTTTCAGCAGGGAATATTAAGGGAAAAAGCCTTTGTGTGTATTTTCCTCCTGTAACCATAGTTTTCTTGAAATAATATACTGTATACAGTACAGTACCAGTAAATGTGAGGAATAAATAAAAATAATACCAATAAATAAATTAAAACAAAAATATACTGTACTGTACAGTACAGTATTACCTCTCTATACTGAAATAATTGTTGAGCAGCTAGTTCGGTATAGAGAGTTTTCGGTATAAACGGAATCCGAAAAACTCGTCCAATACCGAACTTTGTTATATAATGTACAGTGGTCCCTCGGTTAACGAGCACAATTCGTTCCAGAAGGTTGCTCGTAAACCGAAAAATTTGTTAACCGAAACCATTGTTTCAGTGGGTTTTTGGGTAATTGGTTCCAGCTCACCGAAAATTACATGCAAACGAAAAATAAATGCAGTAAAGTACACTTACTTTGAGGTGTGCATGTAGAAGGCTCCTGGTTGATGATGATGATGATGGGAATTAGAATGGGGGTGGAGGAGAAGGGAGAAGAGAAGGCATTGGGGTGGAAGAGAAGGGAGAAGAGAAGGCATTGGGGTGGAAGAGAAGTCACCCCATGGTGCCATTTCACCCATAAAATTTTAGCTCTCTTGGTGTAATTTAAGATTATTTTCTTTAAGTCAACACTGCACTGCATTATATATTATCAATATGTAATATATATATTTCAAAATGACCAATAATTTGACTGGAAAAACACAAAAAAAGCTCTTATGTTGAAGAGTCTCAAACAAGATGTTCCTTCCTCTGAACCTGTAAACAAACTGACGCCAAGCTTGGTGTGTTGAGTGGCTGTTTGGCGCGTATAAAATTAGTTTCCTGTACTTCAATTATGTTCAATAATTGTTAAAATGACAAAAAAAATTAATATTAAACTTTTAAAATGATTGAATAGTATAACCTTCTTGATATTTACTAAAATGGTAAGGAATTTAAGCCCTAGAACCGATTACTGTATTGGCGGATTAATACGACAGCTAGTGAGCAAACGAAAACATGTTGAGGGGCGCTCGTAAGGAATTCGTTAATCGAGGGTTTGCTCGTTAAACTAGCCAGCATCCTGCCTTTCTTACCTTCTCTCCCACACAGAATTAACTTCCTACTCCTCATTTTTCATATTTTATACTGTAGTTTTATATTATATTTTCTTTATTTTAAGTCACATTGCAGTATTGTACAGCAGTATTATATTGTTATACTGAAGTCTTTGACTGTGTATGACAGTCACTTTTGCTGAAGCCTGCATTCAGGAAGAGGGCTGAAACTTTGAACATTTACTGTAAAATCCATATCAGATTGCATATGATTGTAAATAAATTGTACTAACAACACTATATACAACGATATACCTGTGCAGTCTGCTTTATTTTGCTCATGTACTGTACTCTCATGTACTGTACTGATGCTTAATTATGGGTTATAGAACAAATTATAATACACACGTATAGGAAAGATTACTCTAAGTTAGTGTATATATTGGCATGACTTAGATGTGAAGAAACAATGACATTACCCTTAACACGTCTCTTTTTTTTTCACAGTTAAAGAGAAGTTGCAAGGGGGCCAGAGTGGAGATGAGATTGCCTCTACTACCCTCCATTGCTCATTACTCTGTCCATTGGGTAAGGTTAGAATGAAACTTCCCTGCCGTGCCTCAACTTGCAGCCATTTCCAGTGTTTTGATGCTGTTATTTATCTTCAGTTGAATGAACTCAAGGCAAAATGGTTGTGTCCTGTATGTTCTAAAGCAGCCAGTTACGATGACCTGCAGATAGATGGGTAAACCAATGAGAGTTGGATTTTGTTTTGTCTAATTTCTTTCAATAGTAATATCTCCCTTAGCCGGAATCCCTCAAATCCGGAACTCTCCGATAGCCGGAATTGAAATTTTCTCGGAAAATCGTTCCTAAAGCCGGAATTTTCCAGAAAATTCCGGCTAATTGTTCCGGCTAATGGGGATAGCACTGTATTTGTTCAATGTAGATAAGAAAAAGAATAACAATAAAATATTTGGATATTGTTTTCAGCAAGGATGCCAGAATGGAAACCAAAATATTAGAATTATGTTGAAGGAAGTGTTAGAGTTTTAGTGAGGCAATTATTGGAAAGATTATAGTTCAGGGCCCAGATTCACTAACAAATTATGGTCACGGTAAATCCCTACGATCAACCTTACGGCTGAACGGGTAACTCACTCACAGTTTGCAATGCCCGTAACCGAACTTATCGTACAGAAAAAGGTTCGGTGGCCCCCAAGTGTCCGTAAGCTTCCGCAAGGCAGAAATAAGGTCACGTAACTCCCATGTTCTTTACCATATATCCCATACTTCAAGCATCACTAGTGAGAGTGGAGCTGTGAAGATGGAATTAATGATTGCTTTAGCTCATAACCGTGCACTCTGGAGGGAAAGGGTGTTTAAGGAACCTTTGGACCCTCTACAAATTGATGACCACATACTGCTACGGTACTACAGATATTGGTTGAGTGGCAAAGAGGTCTCATGTGGTCCCAAGACCCCCAACACATACATCTATGTTAATAGCTTTGATGTTTATCACAAGTGGTAGTTTCCAGAATGTAGTTGATGATGTTACTAGCTCCTGAATAATAGTTTTTATTGTTATTACAGTATTTTTATTATCATTAATTGAGATGGCATTATTACAAAAGAAATTCATAATCCTGCATGCATGCCATCATTTCCCATAAGATATTAACATCCATTTTTTAGGATTTCATGTCTCTGGTATTTTCTAGGAGCAAAACCCCAGTGGAAATTGCGGCTTCACTATATTTAAAAGAAGATATTGGTACAGTTACATTAAGTAATTCAAGGTGTGTAAGATTTCAAAATAAAGAAGATTTTGTCATTGTTAACATACCCAGTTGCCTTCAGGTAGATTTGAAACAAGTTTTCCAGTTGGATACCCATCTTGTTACCAACCCCTTTTTATACCTGTCAACGAAAAGCCATTAATGGGAAGGCATGTTGTTCAAGTTCCAAGGAACCTGGGTTCTAAGCAGGTGGATTCTTTATCGTGGTTATTTCCACTGTACTAATAATGGCTAGAGTTGATTAAGTGACTGGGATCCCAACCTTCTTCCTTCCTTAGGGTACTAAGGTGAGCTGGGAACTGAAGAATTGAGCTGACTTTCCATTTTCTAGCCTCTATGGATGGTGGAATGATTACCTAGTGCATGCACAGCAGCAGATTCATAGCTCTTGAACTTTGGCAACTGACTCATGGGTGATCCACCTATTTAGGGGAGCAGTTAGTTGGGAGGGATACTGCATCTATTTTTCTATATATTTCATAAGATTCTGGAATGTACTGTAGTCCCAATAACACAAAGTGAAGGGCTCCTTGTGGAAGCTTGGGTCAAACATGCAAATTTGTTGGTGTAGTATATACTGTATTATGAGATGCTGGATCCATGTTTTGTTATAAGCTGTATATGCCTCCTTATTTTTCTTTGCAGATACTTTAAAGCTGTCTTAAAGGAGAATGTTAGCAGTGATAAAATAGTACTGCAAGCTGATGGCAGTTGGAAGCCTTTTATACCAACTAATAGCAAGCAGCAGCATTCAAGGAAAAATGATAATTGTGTCTCAGTAGTGGAAAGTGTACAAGTTAACCAGACGGTCAACCTTGACAGTGATGGTGATACTTCCAATATTGATTGTATAGAAATTGATACACAAGATAATGTTTGTCAACAAAAAGGTAAGAATTTGCTATTCAACACTCTATTTCAAAATAATTAGCAATAAAGGCAATAAAATATTCGATTTCAGTCACAGTGTCATCACAAGATCAGTCACAAGTAACACCACTAATTCCGTCATCAAAATAATGGATATCTGGCACAAAATCTGACCCATCACTCCACACAGAGGGTGTCAAGGTCGCGTCGTGGAGTATCTCACTCGCCCCCACATCCCCATCCTCTTCCATAGCCTCCCCTACCTCCTCCACACTGCTGCCACTGTCACTCCCAGCACATTTTTCCTCACCAGCAGTCTCGACTTGCCAATTATCGTCATCAGATAAGGAGGACATGGACTTATCTGTATCATAAACCATGGGCACAAACTTAGAGGGTGTAAGGCTTTTCATTTTTTTAGGTTAAACAAAACTGTACTTTGTAGTAACAGGTGTGGAGACAACCTTCCTGCCACTTTGCATGGCAGCACGAACCTGTGTAGCACATTTTTTTCTTTTGCCCTTCCTCACTTCACTCACTGTCCTCCTCTCACCTCCAGCTTCATCGTCTCTAGTAGGCAGAGCAGCAGGTGTTGAGATGTAGATGGAAGCAGTGTAGTTAGTGCAGAGGCAGAATGAGTGGTTTTGTGTCCTGAAGTTTTGGGCTGGGCGCATGACCTGCGGCCAACCTCACGATGCCACTTGGGCTTTGGGTCTTATACAGATTCCTCACTTTCACTACTGCTGTGATATCCCATGAGTAATTTCCTTTTTAAAGGTAGTCTCTTCCTCTGACTTGTCTCTGGCCTTCCACCACAGCCAGTGGAAGAGGTGGGGGTGGGTTCAATGACATCATCACAGTGCGAGGACACATAACTTGACTCCATTGTGACCAAGATATGACTGTGTTATCAGCGACGTGGATGGAAGGATTACCCAGTGAGATAACTGACGAGTGTAAACATCCCATACTTGACCCCACGAGATAAGAAATTTTTCGTGCGCTGCATTCAAAACAATCTGAATTCCAGAATGTACAGTAATACCCCGCTTTACGCGTTTTTTTTTTTTTACGCGTTTCTACATTTACGCGGTACCCCGCCAGAACCGGAATGTTCACTTTACGCGGTGCATCTACTCGTATACGCGGGAAGCGGCGCGGGCAGGGTGCGCACAAGGTCGCCCAGTCATCAAAACATTACCGAGTTCTTCACCCGCCACCCACCACAGCCGGCCCAAGTCAGTGATAGTGAGGATATGAACTTATATGGACTTTGAGGGGTTTGACAAAGAGGCCCTGCAAGCCTCTGTGGTGGATAGTGATACAATTGATACAAGTGATAATGGTGAGGGCCAATAATCTGCCCTCTGCCTCGGAACCAACCCCCCCCCCTCCCCGTGTGCCCAGCCATCTTTTCTACTAATGTAAGTGTTAGAAAACCTAATATTATTGATATTTCTCTTAATTATATTGTGTGTGCATACCATCATAAAATTAAGAAGTTATTTTTACTACAACATAGGTATTGTGTCTGAAAAAGTGGAGTTTGGGGGTCTGCCCAGTCTCTATTTCAATTACAGTGGTCCCCCGGTTAACGAGCACAATCCGTTCCAGCAGGTTGCTCGTTAACCAAAAAACTCGTTAACCGAAACCATTGTTTCAATGGGTTTTTGGGTAATTGGTTCCAGCTCACCGAAAATTGCCTAAATTCAACAAAAAAGGTAGAAAAGTACACTTACTTTGAGGTGTGTATGTAGAAGGCTCCTGGATGATGATGATGATGGGAATTAGAACGGGGGTGGAGGAGAAGGGAGAAGAGAAGGCATTGGGTGGAAGAGAAGTCACCCCATGGTGCCATTTCACCCATAAGATTTTAGTTCTCTTGGTGTAATTCAAGATTATTTTCTTTAAATCAACACTGCAATGCATTATATAGTGTCAATATGTAAAATATATTTCAAAATGACCAATAATTTGCTTGCAAACAGAGAAAAAAGCGTTTAGTTTAAGAGAGTCTCAAGCAAGATGTTACCTCCACTGAAAAGACAGAGAGACTGGCGCCTGTTTGGTGTGTTGCCAGGCTGGATGGCACGCATAAAACTAGTTACCTTGCCTTCAATTATGTTCAATAATTGTTAAAATTACTAAAAAAAATTAATATTAAACTTTTAAAATTATTGAATAGTATAAACTTCTTGATATTTACTAAAATAGTAAGGAATTTAAGCCCTAGAACCGATTACTGTATTGGCGGACTAATACTACAGCTGGTGGACCGCCAAATGCAAGTGAAAACATGTTGAGGTCGGCTCGTAAAACTCGTTAATCGAGGGATTGCTCGTTAACCGAAGTTAAGAATCTTATGGAAGGTAAATTGTTAACCGAAATCTCATTAACCGAGGCGCTCGTTAACCGAGGGATCACTGTAATCCCATGTGTTCTGTTGTTCACTTTACGCGGGCCTCCGTGGGTTCAATTGACCGCTTAAAGCGAGGTATTACTGTATGTAGCACTTTTCCAATTACCATTTGAGAATGTATGTCGCAGTTATTGGTTTAAAAAAAAAAATATTTTGAGATGATATAATGATGGGGACTCAAATTCTCTTATGAAGAAACAGAAAAAAATGTTTATACCTAAAACTCGACTAAATATCCCATGACACTAGTCTCATGAAAGTTGTGTGGTTGGTTATGAATGTATGAGTACAGTATACCAAAAGTAAAGTATGCATACTTTAACTGCATTTATCTCACTCACTTAGGTGTATTTGTCACTCCTTGACTGAATACTTCATATGAAGTTTTGAACTCGCCTTCTCTATTTCAATTATTTCCATAAGACTTTAACTGTCTGATCTGACATGTGAGATTTTCCAGGAATGTATTCTTTATGTAGGATGAGGGTGTCATTGGTATATATTTTTTGTGAATGAAGGGGAGGTGATTTACAAGACTTGTAGAAATGCGCCTCTGAACATAATCATAACAAAATACTGTACATCTTTTACATTGTTTTAGAAAACATAATGCTTTTTAACAGAATTAGTTTGATAATTTCTTACCTTATAATCTGAAGTCTTCCAGTGAAGTACATCCACAAGCTCACACTATGATTTGTCTCTTGAAACTGAAGCAACTTGCTGGGACTGCCCTATTATACAATCCTGACAAGTTGACCCGTGATGCCAACATTAATAACATTATTGTATCAACTCTTGTGACTGGAAGCAGGTTGAACCAAATATCACGAGCTGTCACACCTCAGAGGAAAGAGATTGATGATGAACTAAGTTGACTCTGACCTCACTGTCAGGTCTCAGTCAGGAGAGGGGATATTGGCCCGGCAAGACCTTGTCAGTCTCTTGGATGATAACCTGAGTTGACAAGTATTGCCGACACGTAAGAAGGTTAACCTTAGCTTGACTTCACTGAGAATTACATCTAAAAGTAACACTGAACATTGACCTCAGACTACCCTCTCATTCAGAATGATTTTTAAACTGCAAAACAGAAAAATTAATACAGGTATACAGTACTGTACTGTTATTAATTGTAAAAAAAAATTTCACCCCAAATTTCAGAGGTTTTAAATTTTTTCTTCTGAATTACATGAATTGTGTGTTTTTTAACCCCGGGTTAGGTTATCAGCCTTTTTTAATTTCTTTTTATTACTGAATATCTGAGGAGTAACATTAAGACATTTTACTTTGCAGAATTAAACACGAGTACTGTTGAAAAGGATATATCTTCAGTTGAAACAATCACACTGAGTGATGATGAAGCTCTCGACAGTACTCCCCAGGCCAGCAACAATCTAACATGTAGTACACCCCAAAAATGTACAATACAAACCAGAAGTTCCAGCTCTACCCCTTCCCTAGAGTACAGTACCATTGAAGCTTCTCAGCCCATGAACTTTTCAACCCATGTGTTTCCCTTATTCAAAACCTCAAATATTACAAGGGGATCAAAACAAGGAAAACGATGTAAAAGAAAATGTAAAGGGAATAAGGTTAACAAAACAAATTCCAGCAGAAATAGCAGCATGGACAATTGTGAAAATAGCAGCATGAACAATAGTGGAAATAGTAGCAGAGTCAGTAATATGAAAATAAGTGAAAACAATCCTACAAACAACAGTAATGAATTTACAGAAGAGGACTTGAGCGATTGCCCATCAGAAGACAATGATGCTGATGTTTCCTTTATTCCATATAAAGATTTTGGTAAGTTATTAATACTATTTGAGGGGGCCACTCATCCTAGAAATCATGGAGTAGTAAATTAATTTATTTTTCAAGGAAAAGTCCAGGAAGAGGTAAGGAATATTGTTAAACCTCTAAAGTCATGGAAAAGATGGGGGAGCGGGGGAGATACAGGGGGCCCTATCTTATGAATGTCTGACTTACGAACACCCTCCAATACGAACGGGGTTAAACTTGAAATTTTTCCAGTTTTTATTTACCTGATGACTTATTTTTTACTTTCATTTACTGTATTTTGTCATTCTATTTCTTATTTTGTCTTAAATTAAGGGATTTTTAGATGTATGTAAGGACTTTGGCTATGATTTAGTGTGATTTTAAACATTGTTCTGTAAGTACGGTATACACATAGCGTGTGTTCCCACTTACTTACAAATCCGATTTAAGAACATCCTCAGGAACAGAACCCATTCGTATCCTGGGGACCCCCTGTATATACAGGCAGCAACTCCCGTGTTACGGAAATTCACCTTTATGGGATTTGGGTAAATAAAAAAAAAATCAAGCAAAATATGTGTGTGTGTGTGTGTGTGTGTGTGTGTGTGTGTGTGTGTGTGTGTGTGTGTGTGTGTGTGTGTGTGTGTGTGTGTGTGTGTGTGTGTGTGTGTGTGTGTGTGTGTGTGTGTGTGTGTGTGTGTGTGTGTGTGTGTGTGTGTGTGTGTGTGTGTGTGTGTGTGTGTGTGTGTGTGTGTGTGTGTGTGTGTGTGTGTGTGTGTGTGTGTGTGTGTGTGTGTGTGTGTGTGTGTGTGTGTGTGTGTGTGTGTGTGTGTGTGTGTGTGTGTGTGTGTGTGTGTGTGTGTGTGTGTGTGTGTGTGTGTGTGTGTGTGTGTGTGTGTGTGTGTGTGTGTGTGTGTGTGTGTGTGTGTGTGTGTGTGTGTGTGTGTGTGTGTGTGTGTGTGTGTGTGTGTGTGTGTGTGTGTGTGTGTGTGTGTGTGTGTGTGTGTGTGTGTGTGTGTGTGTGTGTGTGTGTGTGTGTGTGTGTGTGTGTGTGTGGTGTGTGTGTTGCGTGCGTGCGTCGTCGTGCGTTGCGTCGCGTGGTGCGTGCGTGCGTGCGTGCGGCGTGGGTGCGTCGTCGTCGTCGTCGGTCGCGCTGCGCGCGTGCGGCGTTGCGCGGGTGTCGCGTTTGCGCTGCGCGGCTGAAATACCACAAGGAAAAACGAAGTTCCCAAAGCGCTTTACGTGTAATTCACATCTTCAGGTGTGAGCACAGACTAAGGAGGCATTAACAAGGTACAGTATACAGTATATATAAGAGGAGGGTGAGATCAAGTCCACAATGGTCAGGTATTAGGTAATGACCGACTAATCTTCAAAAGCACCACAGCAGTCGGTGGTCAGGTCAGAGGGTAAGATGACCCAACTCTTTCACCTGGTTACAAATCTTCTTAATTACGATATTATCCAGTTTGTACATACCATTACTCAAATTCATGTTGATGGATTCGTTATGTTTAATGAGACTGGATTCTATAATGTTCTACTGTCAATTGAATTACAAGGTAATATTGAGGAGGCATTATCGATCAATGCAATGCTTATTATCCCTCAAATAAGCATTGGGAACTTCGTGTTTCTTTTTCTTGTGGTTATCAGCGTATACCTGGATCACCGATCATGTCCACCTACAGTGATTTACTTGTATATATATATATATATATATATATATATATATATATATATATATATATATATATATATATATATATATATTTTTTTTATATATATATATATATATATATATATATTATATATATATATATATATATATATATATATATATATATATATATATATATATATATATATATATATATATATATATATATATATATATATATATATATATATATATATATATATATATATATATATATATATATATATATATATATATATATATACACAGTGACTCCTAACTAACTCAATCCGTTCCAGAAGGTCGTTGTTAACCTATTAGTTACTTAAAACCATTGTTTCAATGGGTTTTTGAGTAATGGTTCAACTCACGAAAATTCTAAATTCAACAAAATGGTAGAAAAGTCACTTACTTTGAGGTGTGTATGTAGAAGGCTCCTTGGATGATGATGATGATGATGGATTTTAGAATGGGGGGTGGGAGGAGAAGGAAGAAGAGAAGTATTGGGGTGGGAAGAGGTCACCCCATATTTATTTCTCTCACCCATAAAATTTTAGCTCTCTTGGTGTAATTCAAGATTATTTTCTTTAAATCAACACTGCACTGCATTATATATTGTCAATATGTAAAATATATTTCAAAATGACCAATAATTTGCTTGGAAACACAGAAAAAGAGCGTTTAGTTGAAGAGAGTCTCGAGCAAGATGTTACCTTCAGTGAAAACAGAAAATGACTAACTCCTGTTTGCTGTGTTAAGAGGCTGGATGCTGCGCATTAAACTAGTCACTTTACCTTCAATTATGTTCAATAATTGTTAAAATGACTAAAAAATTGAATATTAAACTTTTAAAATTATTGAATAGTATAAACTTCTTGATATTTACTAAAATAGTAAGGAATTTAAGCCCTAGAACCGATTAATGTATTGGCGGACTGATACTAAAGCTGGTTGCCCGGTCAGTGCAAGCAAAAACATGTTGAGGTCGGTTCGTAAGAACTTCGTTAACCGAATTTTTTTTCGTTAACCGAATTGAAGATCCTTATGGAAGGCAGTTCGTTAATCGAAATTACGTTAACCGAGGTGTTCGTTAAACGAGGGGTCACTGTATATATATATATATATATATATATATATATATATATATATATATATATATATATATATATATATATATATATATATATATATATATATATATATATATATATATATATAATCACTGGCGCTCGGGGTAACTCGAAAGTATGGACACCACCTCTGTGGTGGTGCTCCAAACATTATGGTGTGGAGTGATCGCGTTCCAGGTGAGGGGCCACACCACAACAGTGGCACAGCTCAGTTTGAATACTTTCCCCAGCTTGTGTTCAATAATGTATCTGTGTTACTGTGTACCCTTATTTAAGATGAGTGGAAAAAGGACATCAAGTTCAAGTGCGAACAGTGGTGCTAAAATATTCCTTAAAAGAAGTATGTTGAACATTAACCATGATGTTTTAAGGAGGTAACTCTGATTGCAGCACCTTACCTCACCACCTCATGCAACACTCAACATCGTTTCTGGTGAGTTAAATTCAAGTGTGTGCATTTACTGTCATGTTACATCTTGAATGGATCATTCATTGTATGTGCTTAAAACTGTTTATTTTCATTCATAAATGTGCTTGTATTACGTTTTTTGGCCGAAAGATTTTTCCTTAGGAACACGTCTCAACTTGTGTCATGGGAGTCAATGGGAAAATGGTTTCGCGTTACAGAAAGATTTTCCGGAACCTAAGCCTTCCGTAACCCGGGGGATGCATATACTGTATTATCCTAGAGGTTATCTGATAAGTGTGCATCCTTATGATTGCAATAAAATGTAGCTATTTATGATAATCTTATTGAGACTCCTATTTTATTGTTCTTATTTTATTTTTCTCATATGATAGCATAATGGTGAGCATTTTCACTGTTGTATTTTTTTTTCCACATAATTTTGAGTCATGTTTGGTATTTTATTGTTAGTGAATAGCAACTATACCTACTTTTTCCTAGATCAGGATGCAAATAAAGCAAGTATGTTAAAAAGATTGGAGTAAAGAAGTGAATATGTACTATATATAAAATTCTACATTTTGAAAAGCTCATTTGTTATGCTTTTTATAGGCTCGAATGTGTCATCCCAACGGTCAACTATGGTGCTGCGAAGTGCAATGAGGAAGCCAGAAACTCAAAGAGGGAGAAGCAGACAAGCAAGATGAGAAATATTCCACAGATTGATATTATAGTCTCTAAGGAAGTATACTTAATACGTCTCCTTTACTGTATTTATTTATTTTTTTTGTAGACCACTGTGGGACACCTCGTACACGTGGCACTACGCGGCAGAATATTTTGACGAAGACACGAAAAAAGAAGCGCATGTCAAACAAAAGGAAGAAAAAATTAAAAAGAAACTTGCTGAAGATGGCAGGTAGAAAAGTATCAAGAAGGATATTCTGTAAGAAACTTCATAAGTAAAATTTGAGTTGAATTTGGCATTTGCCTTAAGCACATTTTTTTTTTTTTTTTTAATCATCCATACCCATCATATTATATGTGAGAAATCTAATTTTTGAACACAGCATTTGGCCCACCATATGTCTTCTTCATGTATACAGTTGACAGCTGGGTTCATGTGTAGCAGTGTTTAATATATAATTTTGTGGGCTTTTACCATTTAAATTTTTAAATGAAATACCTCTAAAGGACATCGCTCAATTTTTTTTTTTTTTTAGGCATTTACAAAATATTACTTTAGTTATGCGATATTTACTTATTTTTGTGTACCGGAAGATAAAGATGTTAAGCCAATGTTTTTGATCTTCAAAAAATTAATGGATATTGAATAGTACTGATCACACGGACTAGTGGAGCTCCAGCTTATACACTCCGCTCCATAATTATACAAATCATCATGTGCCCAATTATCTCTTGAAGAACGTTTTTTGTTGTTTATGTTCATATGGAACAGCAGTTTTCATTAAGTTTTATAAATGCAGTGTATATATTTGACTGAAGTGTTTAAAATAATGATAATTTACTTGTCAGATTTTCATAATTTAGTTAAAGGCAAAGGTATACTTTATTTCAAACACACAATGGTGTTTGCCAATATTCATAGACCAGTCATATCCATACATATGTTTATTTGTATCTGATATCTTTAACAAAAGATTTAATAAAAATAAAGTGTTAATTTCTGTTTATTTTTTAATTGAATAAATAATGAAAGCATTAAGTTGATTCAATGAAACACTAACTTTATAGTCACTGAAAAATTGACCAACTCTTCATCTATTGTCATTTGCTCATCTAAGGTTTCCTCCCCTGGCAGGATGTGACAGGTAAATAAAAGCCCATCAGTTTTTTTTTATGGGGAATAGCTCACCCAGGCACAGGTCATTTACCCACATGGTGGGGGGACAAAAAATAAGAATAAAAAGAAATTAAAAATAGAAGAGAAAAAGGCTCTATTAATCTACACCACGAAGATGCCGGAAAACTAGCTTTTCAAAATGAGACAGATTGTATGAGTATGGAAACACAGAAGAAGGCAGAGCATTCCACAGTTTGGCTGTGTGAGGAAAGAAGTATGTACTATGATGGGTTATTCTAGTGTGACCGACTTCCACAGAGAAATGGTGGGCATCGCGGGCAAGCCATATGTCACAAGCCCTCGGCCTTGTTGGCGGTACACAGGATGCTAAATCCACCGAACATTGCCCGTTAAAATACCTGTAAACGAGAGAGAGTGAATTAACATTGCGGCGAAGAGAAAGGGAAGAAAGATTATCAACTAAAGGAGGAGAGTTAATGAGACGAAATGCCTTTGATTCCACCCTATCTAACAGTTGGACAGATGAAGAGCCATCCCAGATATGAGAGCAGTACTCCAAGTTAGGACGAATGAATCCCTTATATACTTGAAGCAATTGCTCAGGAGCGAAGTAGTTACGGCATCTGTACGGCATTCCCAGCTTTCGGGAGGCAGCTTTAGCAATGTTGAGGATGTGTGGCTTCCATGACATATTAGAGGAAATGGTGATGCCTAGCATATCTATTTTAGAATTTGGCAGAATGATAGCATCCTGAAATGTGATTGGTGGGAGATCATCTAATTTGGAAAGTGTAATTGGTAAATACTGAGTTTTATTACTATTGAATTTAACCAAGTTTCTACCTCCCCATTTGGAGATGTTGCACAGATCTGCATTGACAGAATGTAATGATAGCTCTAGAAACAGATCTAGTTTGAGAGTTAGAGGGACAGGGTAAATGTGAAGAAGAGTGAAGAGTAGAATCATTAGTGTAAGAATGGATAGAGTTAGTTGTAGTGTGAAGTAAATTATTGATAAAAAGAAGGAAGAGAGTAGGTGAAAGAACAGAACCCTGTGGGATACCACTATTGGTAGAGAATGAGCAAGAGATCGATCCCTCGACAACAACTGCCATGGATCGGTTCTCAAGGAAGCTAGAGATTAGAGAACAAAGTGGGGGAGAGAAACCATAAGAGGTAAGTTTAGAAAGCAAAGACTTGTGCCATACCCTGTCAAATGCTTTGGAGATGTCGAGGGCCACGACGAAAGTTCCCCATAATCCCTAAGAGAGGATGACCAAAGATGGGTGCAGTAGGAGAGCAGATCACCAGTAGATCTCGCCTGGTGAAAGCCATACTGGTGATCCGACAAAAGAGAATAGCGTTCAAGGTGACAGAGAAAATAGGAGTTCAAGATAGTTTTGAAAATCTTAGAGAGGGATGAAGTTAGGGCAATGGGGCGACAGTTCGGGGGATTAGAATGGTTACCTTTCTTTGGGATGGGCTGAACCAAGGCATGCTTCCAAGAAGAAGGAAAAGTATGGGTTTTGAGACTAAAGCAAAAGAGGCGAGCGAGCACAAGGGCCAGAATTTCAGCACGCTCCCTCAGAACACAAGGGGGTATTCCGTCCATTCCATGCGCCTTACTCACATCCAACCTGGATAACACACCAACAACCCTACGAGTGGAGATTATAGGAGAGTGCATAGGTTCAGTAGGAGGAGCAGGGGTAGGAGGGATAGAGTTGGAATTGTCTAAGGTGGAGTAAAGGAAAATATGGTGCCAAAAAGATTGGCTTTGTCAGAGAGAGAGTTGGCTATAGAGTTAACAGGTTGAAAGAGAGGAGGAAAAGAGGGAGTGCAAAAGTTATTACAGATGTTTTTGGTTAAGGACCTTCCTGGAGGATTTACTGGAGTTAGAATTAGTCAAGACATTGGTCTTTTTTTTTTCATAAAATTTCGCTTGGCCCTACGAAGAATAACCTTACAACGATTCCTAGAAGTACTGCAAGAGGAGTGGGTAATAGAAGAAGGAGATAGTTTCATAGCTTGATATGCCCTATCTCTCTCCCTGCATGCAAGAGAGCAGGAGCGATCAAACCATGACTGTAAAGTGAGTGGAAAAGCAACATTCATTCCACGGAATGTCGGTGAAGGATTCTCACAAGGATTGCCAGTTTGCCCACCGATAGTGCCATAGTTGACGTTTAGAGAGGGGTGGGGGAGGTGGTCGTGCCCAGTTTGATTTAATAAAAATAAGTTTGTGATCAGAAGACCCTAAGGGGAAGAAATCGAGTATGAATAGTGTGAGGGGTCAGAGGTAAAACAAAGATCAAGAATGTTAGCAAGTTGATTGTGTCGATCAGGAACGTGTGTAGGGTTTGATTAATAATGTGATGTATTCCTTACAAAAAATCACAAAGTATTTAATTGATCTAAGAAGTAGCAAGTCGTTATGATAGAGGGATGTCGAAAGAGTGTGAACATATGAAAATAAAGATGAAAATAGGCATATTAAGTATTATTACTTATTTTCACTGTATGTGTGTTGGCGTTAGACGCTGGATCTATACAGCTTTTCCCAGAGGCATTCCCAGAGGCCCACTCGGGGACGGCAGCACCCCCAGAGGCCCTTCCAGGCGTGGTAGCGCTAGCAGGGCCCCTCTCAGGGGCGACGGTGTCCCCAGCGACCCACCCCGAGGTGGTGGCGCCCCCATAGACACTCCCAAGGGCGACGGTGCCCCCAGGGGCTGCAGTGCCCCCAGGGGCCCTCGCAGGGGCAGCGCCGCCTCCAGGGACTCTTCCAGGGGCGCCGGCGCGCCCAGGGACCATTCTAGAGGCGATGGCGCCACCACGGAAACTCCCAGCACCAGCGGTGCTCCCAGAGACTCTCGCAGGGGTGAGGAAGCCCCCTGGAGCCCTACCAGGAGCAGCAGCACCTCCAGGATCTCTCATTGTGGCGGTTGTGCCCCCACGGGCCTTTCAGGGGCGGCATCGCGCCCAGGGGCCCTTCCAGGGTTGATGCAGCCCCCTGGGACCGTACCAGAGGCAGCGTCGCCCCCAGGGACTCTCCCAGGGACGACGACGTCCCCAGGGACCCTCCAAGGGACAGCTGTGCCCCAAGGGAACCATGACATGGGTAGTGGCTTTCCAAGGGGCCCACTCAGGGCCATCAGCGCACCCAGGGGCCCTCCCAGGGGTGGTATCGCCAGCAGGGGCTCTCTCAGGGGCAACGCCCCCCCCCCCAGAGACCTTCCCAGAGGCGGTTTAGCCCCAATGGACACTTGCAGGGGCGGTGCTCCTCCAGGTACCCTACCAAGAGTCCCCAGGGGACTTATGGCATTGTCATATGTATTACATAAATCCAGCAGTCCCTTACTGAACTATGATTGGTGGCCCATTCTTTTAACAAAGCAAATTACAGCCAATAGGAGAAGAGACCTGTCAGTCAACACAACACCACAACTTATGTTTTCCTGTTGGATATACAGTATATCTCTGTTACCTTCTTCAGAATGCGATGATACTGGAAATGTGATGGGCAGTGTATTTGTTTAACGTTGCATATCCCAGAGTTCTAAATAGCACAAAAACTACTGCACCAATGGACCCTACAAGACTCCTAGGGGCCGTCCTCAGAGCGGCGTTGTCCTCGGAGCCCCTCACAGGGGCTGCAGCTCCCCCAGTGACCCTCCCACTGTCGGCGAAGCGCCCAGTGGCGGCAGCGACTCCAGGGACCCTCCCAGTGACGACGGGGCCTCCGTAGGCTCTCACAGGGGCGGCGACGCCCCCAAGGACACTCTCAATGGCGGTGAAGCCCCGAAGGACACTCTCAATGGCGGTGAAGCCCCCACGGACTCTCCCAGGGTCGGAAACACCCACAGGGAGACTCCCAGAGGTGACAGCGCCCTCAGGGACATTCCCTAGGGCGGTCGCACCCCCAGGGACCCTCCCACGTTTAGGGGATGCTCCCCCAAACCCTCACAGTGGCAGCGGCCCCCCTAGAGGCCTTCTCAGGGCCGGCAGGGCCTCCGGAGGTAGTGGAGCCCCCAGGGGCCCTCCTAGGGGCAGCGGCACCTCCAGGGACCCTCCTAAGAACATTGGCGCCCCCAAGGACCCTCCTCGGGGCGTTGGCACCATCAGGGATACTTGCACGGACGCCGGCGTACCTTGGGGCCCTTTCAGGGGTGGTGGCGCCCTCAAGGGCCATCTGTGGGGTGGTGGTGCCTCCAGGGATCCACTCAGGGGTGGCGGCCCTCCCAAAAACGCCGGCGCACCCAGGGGACCTTCCCAGGGGTAGTGGCGCCTCCACGGCCCCACTCAAAGGCGGCGGAGCATCCGGGGACCCTCCCAGTGGCCATTCCAGGGGCGGCGGCGCCCCCTGGAACTCTCCCAGAGATGGCGGCGCCTCCAGGGACCCGCGCAGGGTCGGTGGACCCACCAGTGACCATCTCAGTTACAGACGCGCCCCCAAGGACCCTCCTAGGGGTGGTGCCCCCTTACTGAACTATGATTGGTGGATTATTCTTTTAACACACAAAATTACAGCCAATAGGAGAAGAGAGCAGTCAGTCAACACAACAGCACAACTTATGTTTTCCTGTTGGATATTAATCTCCGTTGCCTTCTTCAGAATGTGATGATACTGGGAATGTGATGGGCAGTTATTTATTTAACGTTGCCTCTCCCCAAAAATCTAATAGCGCAAAAACAACTGCACCCAGGGGCCCTACTGGTCTGGTGTTCTCAGGGGGCTCTCTCAGAGACCTTCCCAGGGACGGTGCCGGCCCCAATGACCCTCTCAACAGCGACGGCGCCCCAGGGACTCTCACAGGGAGGGCGACGCCCCCAGGGACCATCCCAGGGTGCCCCCGCCGCTGAGAGGGTGCCTGGGGGCGTCGTCGCTCTAGGAAGGCCCCCCTGGGAGTACAGCCGTCTCTGGAAGGTTTTTTGGGGGCTTCTCCGCCTTTGAGAAGGTCCCTGGGGGAACCGCAGCCCTTGGAAAAGTCCCTGGGGGCGCCGCTACACCTGGGAGTGTCCATGGGGGCACCATAGTCTCTGGGAGGGTCCATGAGGGCGCCGTCGCCCTTGAGTGGGCCCATGGTAGACTTTACCATTCCTGGGAGCGCCACCTGGAGCGTTGCCGCCCCTCAGAGGGCCCATGGAAACGTCACCACACCTGGGATGGTCCCTGGGGCCGTCACCACCTCTGGGAGGATCCCTGTGGGTACCGCCACACCTGGAAGGGTCCCTGAGGGCAATGCCGTCTTTGGGAAGGTCCCCGGGGGCACTGCCGCCCTTGGGAGGGTCCCAGGGGGCACCTCTGCCAGTGGGGGCTCCATCGCCCTGCGAGAGCCCTTGGGGGGCGACCCCATCCTGGGAAAGTCCCTGAGGTAGCTGCTGCCCTTGGGAAGGTGCCTGCATGAGTCCCTGGGAACACCGCTGTCTCTGGGAGTGTCCCTGGGGGCACCACCGCCTTTGTAAGGGTCCCTGGGTAAGCCGCCACCCCTGGGAGAGTCCCTGGAAGCGGCGCCGACCCTGAGAGGGACCCTGGGGTCAACCCCGTTCCTGGGAAAGTCTCTGGGAGAGTCCCCCCTGAAACGGCCCTTGGGGTCACCACCGCCCCTGGGAGTATCCATGGGAACGCCACCACCTCTGGGAGGGTCTCTGGGGGCGCCGACGCCCCTGAGAGAGTCCCTACTGGTGCTACCACCCTTGGGAGGGTCCCTAGGGGCGCTGATGCCACTGAGTAGGCCCCTGGTTAAGCCACCACTCCTAGCATGGTCCCTGGGGGCGCTCCTGTCACCTTGGAGGGTACGTGGGCACGCCCCCGCCCCTGGAGGCACCACCGTCCTTCGGAGGGAGCCTGGAGGTGCTATTGCCCTTGGTACGGCAACTGGGGGCTGCATCAACCCTAGGAAGGACATTGGGGGCGACGCCGCCCCTGAGAAGGCCCCTGGGGGCACAACCGCCCCAATGGGGGATCCTAGAGGCGCTGCTGCCCCTGGCAAGGCCCCAGAGGTGTCCTGCGAGAGTCCCTGGGAGCACTGCTGGCTCTTAGAGTTTCAGTGGGGTCGCCGCCACCTCTAGAAGGGTACCTGGGCGCGCCGCCGCCCCTGGGAGAGTCCCTGGAGGCGGCGCCGCCCATGAGAGGGGCCCTGGGGTCCCCTGAAAGGGTCCCTGCTGGCTCTACACGCCTGAGAGGGCCCTTGGGGGCGCTTCCGCCCCCGATGGGCCCCTAAGAACGCCACCACCCCTGGGATGGTCCTTAAGGGCACCGCTGTCCCTGGGAGTGTCCATGGGGAGCCACCACACCTGAGAGGGGCCTTGGGGGCTCCGTCACTCTTCTGGAGGGTCCCTGGGGTGCTGCTGCCCATGGGAGGGTCCTTGAGAGTCTCTGCGAGCGTTGCGGTCCCTGGGAGTGTCCCTTGGGGCGCCACCGCTCCTAGGCGGGATCCTGGAGGCACCGCTGCCCATGGTAGGGCTCCTGGGGGCTACACTACCCTTGGGAGGGCCCCTGGAGGCAATGCCGCTTCTGAGAAGGCTCCTGGGGGTGCTGCCGCCACTAGGAGAGCCTCTGGGAGGCTCCCTGGGGGCGTCGCCGTATCTGGGAGGGTATTTTGAGCATCGTCGCCCAATGGGAGGGTCCTTGGGGGCGCCAATGTCCAAATGGGGGTACTTGGAGGCTCCATTGCCCTGGGAGGGCCCCTGGGGGAACCACTACCCCTGAGTGAGCCCCTGTGGGCTCCACTTCCTTTGGGAGGGCTCCTGTCGGCCCTGAAAAGGTTCCTGGGGGTGCCGCCTGCCGCTGTGAGGGACTCTGGGTTGGGAGGCACCCTGGGGATGCCGCTGTCTCTGATTATGGTTTTGGAAGGCACCACCGTCCCTGGGAGGGTCCTTAGGATCGTGAACGCCACTGGGAAGGTCCCTGGGGGCGCCATTGCTTGTGTTAGGGTCCCTCGGAGAGTCCCTGGGGGTGCTGCCGTCCCTGTGAGGGTTCCTGGAGGCGCTGTTACCCCTGGGAGGGTTGGTGGAGTCACCGCGGCCACTGGAAGTGTCCCTGGGCGTATCCCTATGTCACTATGGGCGCCACCGCCTCTAGGAGGGCCCCTGGGAGAGTCCCTGCAAGCACCACCGCCCCTTGGAGGATCCCGGGGCCCCACCGCCCCTAGGAGGGATCCTTGAGGCATCGCTGGGCCTGGTAGGGCCCCTGAGGCTGCACCACCCCTGGGGCGACACCGCTTCCGAGAAGGCTCCTGGGGATGCTGACGCCACTAGGAAGGCCTCTGGGAGGCTCCCTGTGGGCGTCGCCATCTCTGGGAGGGTCTCTGATGGCGCTACCTCCCCTGGGAGGGTCCCTGGGAGCACCAATGTCCCCAGGAGGGTACTTGTTGGCACCATTGCCCTGAGAGGGCACCTGTGAGCTCCACTACCCCTGGGAGAGCCCCTGTCAGCTCCACTACCCTTGGGAGGGTCCTTGGAGGCCCTGCCGGCCCTGAAAAGGCTCCTGGGGGAGCCGCGGTGAGGTTCCCTGGAGGCGCCATCGCCCTTGCAAAGCCCCCTGAGGGTGCCACAGTGTCTGGTAGGGTTTTGGGGGCACCGCCGGCCCTGGGAGGGTTCCTGGGATTGCCACCGCCACTGGGAAGGTCACTGAGGGGGCCATCGCCTGTGTTAGTGTCCCTGGGAGAGTGCCCGGGGGAGCCGCGGTCCCTGTGAGGGATCGTTGAGGCAATGCTGCCCCTGGGAGGGTCGCTGCCCCACTGGTAGGGTCCCTGGGGGCATCGCCGACACTGGGAGTGTCCCTGAGGGTGCTGCCGGCCCTGGGGGCACCGCCGCCCCAAGGAGGGCCCCTGGGAGCACCAGACCTGTAGGGCCCTGGGGTGCAGTTGTTTTTGCGCTATTTAGATTTTTGGGGAGATAGAACGTTAAATAAATAAATACACTGCCCATCACATTTACAATATCATCACATTCTGAAGAAGGTCGGGTAGATTAATAACCAACAGGAAAACATAAGTTGTGGTGTTGTGTTGACTGACTGCTGTATTCTCCTATTGGCTGTAATTTTGTTGGTTAAAAGAATTGTCTACGAATCATTGTTCAGAAAGGGAGCACTGCCCCTGGGAGGGTCCTTGGAGGCGCCGCCACCCTGGGCAGGGTCACTGGAGGAGCCGATGCCCCTGCTAGAGTCCTTGGGGGCGCCACTGTCACTGGGAGGGCCCCACGGGGCTCCACCGTCGCTGCAAGGGTTTCTGGTGGGCGCCACCATCCCTGGGAGAGTTCCTGGGGGCGCCGTAGCCCCTGGGAGGGTCCCTGGGTGCACTGCCGCCCCTGAGTGGGGCCCTGGAGGTGCCACCACCTCTAGGAAGGCCCCTGGGTGCGCAACCACCCCTAAGAGGGCCCCTAGGTACGCCGGCGTGCCTACGAGTGTCCCTGGGGTGGCGGCAGCGGCCCCAGGGAGGGTACTTGGGGACATGAGAACGTCGCCGTCTCTGGAAGGGTAGTTGGTGGCACCGCCGCCCCGGGGAAGGTCCTTAGGGGCATCAGGGTTCTTAGGAGGGTCCCTGGAGGCGTTGCTGTCCTTGGGAGGGCCCCTGACATCCTTGAGAAGGACCTTAGGGGTGCCGTCGCTGCTGTGAGGGCCCATGGGGGTGCCGCCGTCTCTGGGAGGGTTTTGGGGAGCAACGCCTATATCTGGGAGGGTTCCTGGGGGTACGACCACCCTAGGGAAGGTCCCTGAGGGCGGCGTCGCCTCTGGGAGTGTCTTGAATTTAAGGTTTTACTGTGAATATTTTATATGAGATTAATATTTTTATTAACATTTGTTACTATAATTGTGTTTGGATACATAATAGTACTACTGTACTATACATGATGTTTTCTACACCACTGTTGAAGATGTACTCAATGCTACTAACATTACTGTACTATATCGCAACTGCCAGGTTATGTAACGGAAAACATTGTTGAGGAATTAAGTGCATATGCATATTCTATCTCGTGCTTAGTTTTGCAGTTTTGCCGTAAAGTTCACAGTGAGTATGGTATAGTACATTACAATACAACAATCTTCATAGTGTGCAGTACGATGCAGTACATTACGATACAACATTCCACTATGTGCACCGTGAATATTACAGTACAGTACAGCATTCCACAAAGTGTAAAGTGAATATGGTACAATACAATATATTATGGGGCTGGTAAAGTTCTAGTTAGAATGTTAGTACAGTAGCCAGGTTTATGATATTAACTTGTATTACTAAAATATCCTCATCACAATTGTTGATAAAATTCATCTGTTAATAATATTCCTCAAGAGCATGATACAGGTGATCTTATAAAATATGAACAGGTTCATCATCAGCAGCGAACTGTCCATGGAAGGTGGAGGTGACAATTCCGCACGCCTCAAACTCCACCCTGGCCATCTCCGTCCACGTCTTGGGGTTCATCACCAGCAACGCCACCAACTTTGGTTCTTTCTGGTTATAAAGCATAGTTAAAAATGGTCTAGAATTATCAATTACCTTTATTAATATTCATGACTTTTAATCATGAAATGACAGGTATAGTGAGAAAAGGATGATTATTAGATAGGTGATAAGAGTGAGGGGGTTAACATAGGCAGGTTTAACATTCTGAGTAAGAATTATATTCGTGAAAAGTAGGTGAAGGAATATCAGTAAAACATTTCCAGAAAAGATGTCCATAAAATATTAGTACTGTATAAGTATTTTTTCTATGATTGATCATTTATTATTATTATGGGGTACAAGTTATGATTAATAACTGCTGCAGATATTGACTATGAGGCTACAGTCACTGAATGCCGCATAGATCTGCAGCTCAACTAATTCATCACAGCTAGGATAGCTACTTATGTATTAGGATATTTAATATTAAGGTAATAAAATGGCGGCGAAGATGTGGCTATTGGGGGCCACGTTGTTTAAAAAAAAAGTAGTAGTAGTAGTAGTTGTTGTTGCTGTTATAGTAATAATAATAATAATAATAATAATAATAATAATAATAATAATAATAATAATAATAATAATAATAATAATAATAATAATAATAATAATAACATAATGCACAAACACACTCACTTACCCTAGTTATATAACGTAGGTGGTGAAATAGGTTCCCACAGACAGGGCCGGATTTACCTACTTGTGGGCCCCAGGCCAAACTCATCAGTGGGCCCCCAAATTAATAGAAATGTTTGCATGTTTCAATATATATATATATATATATATATATATATATATATATATATATATATATATATATATATATATATATATATATATATATATATATATATATTACTGTAATTACTTTGCAATGGCCAAATGTCATCAAATATCACATAATATCATAATGTTATAATGTTATAAGAAATAAGAATTTCAACACAATGTGACACATCATTACTTTTAATCAAATTAGTTCTATATCATGTACATCTTATATGTGGGAATAATGAAAGAAATCCAATTAACTTGAAGCATAAACAATTTTGCAAGCACATGAAGTACAGCAAACTGTGTGAATTTCAAAATAAATTCTTCCTACTTTTTTCATGGAAAATTTGTCAATGATACTGTTTGTGTCAAGGGATTGTAGGAGGTTAGATTCAATGCATAATAATGAAAGTGAGTTTAATCTGGTTTGTCCCATGGTAGACCTCAGGTGAATTTTCACCCTAGATAGAGTAGAGAAAGACCTCTCTCCTTCACAATTTGTAAAGGGGATGGTAAGGAAAATTCTCACCAAGATACTAATGTTTGGAAAGGCAGTTGTCAAAATACCATCTTTGGACCTCAGCAAAGTGGAGATGTTTGTCACTGGCCTGTCAGATTCAGAAGACTAAATGTCTTTAAATTGCAAAAACTCATCTAGAACAGATGCTTCCAGGTCACTGGAATAGGTACTGACAACCAATTCCAGTTGGGCTTTTAGATCATCATATTTAATTCTGTCATACTCCATTAGCTAAACAGCTTGCTTTATTTATTAGTAGGCATTAATTCTGAGCTGAGGCTGAGAAGATACTGACTGGCTGAGCGAGCTGTCGGCAAACCAACGGTAACCCTGACACGTACTGAACTTGAATCGATCCTGTCCTTCACATGTCAAGGCGCTGAAGGTTTCTTGAACTTTACTCTCTCTCTCTCTCTCTCTCTCTCTCTCTCCAGTATATATGTATATATAGATAGATAGATAGATAAATAGATAGATAGATAGATAGATGGTGGGACACGGACATTTAAAAAATGTATATATTTTTTTTTTATTATCTTATTTTAGGTTATGTTCTTCATTTTACTATAGGGCCTAGTCCGTGGCCCACCTGAGAACCACCCCATGGCCCACCTGAGAACCACCCCATGGCCCACCTGAGAACCACCCCATGGCCCACCAGCTGAAGACCACTGCGGGCCTATACTTATTGTACAGGGGCCCTTATAGTTGTGAATATATTATATAATGAAATACTCGGTGTACACTTGAAACAAGGTTATACGCTGGCACGCTGCGCGACAATTTAGTTTCAGTGGGTCCCCAGATACCGGTGGGCCCTAGGCCAATGGCCTACTTGACCTATTTTTTTTATTTATTTTTTTTTTTTATTGGGCACTCCCCTACGTCCTTGTGTAAGGTGAAGCGCAGATGCCCCCATTAGTCCCTGTTCACCTAGCAGTAAAGTAGGTACCTGTTGTAAGTCGAAAGTTGCGAATTCATATTCAGGGAGTTGTTGGAGCTTCCAATAACTTGATGACATAAACCACTTGGCCTATTGGTAAATCCGGTCCTGCCCACAGGTGTCCAGGATCGAGGTGTCATGTTACCAGAGACGTTTCCTCGGTAATGCCTAAATGATAATATTTTACGATGCTACAAACGACACCCTATTTGTTATGATCATCATTTCTACAGAGAAGTTTGTGAATTATACGAGTAATAAAAAATATCCCGACGACTAATCTCTCGGTGCAGGTGCTACTGTAGGCGACACCTGACACCTCTCGCCACTCACATCATCCTAAACCTGGGGTTTCTCAGAGCCAGTAGCGTCTTGACCTCGCCCCAGTGAACCTGTGTTAACTCTATGAAACCAGTGCTCATTCCAGGACACCAGTGTTCATTCCAGGACACCAGTGTTCACTCTAGGACACCAGTATTCACTCCAGGACTCCATTGTTCACTCCAGGACACCATTGTTCACTCCAGGACACCAGTGTTCACTCCAGGACACCAGTGTTCACTCTAGACACCAGTGTTCACTCTGGGGAACCACTGTTCACTCCAGGACACCAGTGTTCACTCTAGGACACCAGTGTTCACTCTAGGACACCAGTGTTCACTCCAGGACACCAGTGTTCACTCTAGGACACCATTATTCACTCCAGGGCTTACTACAGGAGACCAATACTCTCTTGGAGGCCAGTGTTCATTCAAGGAACAGCACTCATTCTCAAAGACAAGTAGTTATTCTTGGACCAGCACTCGTTTCTAAAGATCAGCGATCGTTCTAGGAGGTCAGTGTTCATTCATGGATACCACAACTCGTGCTTCAAGAACAATGCTCATTCTATGATCAGCGCTCATTTTTGGAATCTAGTGTTTCTTCTAAGACCAGTGCTTATTCTCTAAAACTGGTACTCATTCTTGGAAAAGCACTTTCTTGAAGACTAATGCCTCTTTATGGACGAGCACTTCTACATGGACTACCGCTTCTTCCTAGACTAGTGCTTCTTCCTGGACTAGAGCTTCTTCAAGGACTAGCGCTCATTGTTGGAGACGAGATAAACACGAATTCTCTAGGTCCAGCGTTCAAACTAGGAGACTAATGCTCATACTAGGAGACCAGTTTCATACCAAGATAGCAGTGCTTATACTATAGACCAGCACTCGTTCTTGGAGACCAACTGTCATTCTTAGAGACCAGCGCTCACTTTTGGAGACCAGCAATCATTCTTGGAGACAGTGCTCATTCTTGGAGATCAGTGCTCATTCTTGGAGACCAACACTCATTCTTGAAGGCCAGAACTCATTGTTGGAGACCAGTGCTCCTAAAGAGGCTAGCTCGTTCTAACCACAAGTGTTTATTCTTGGAAGCCAATGCTCATTCTTGGAGATCAGCACTCAGAAAAAGAAACCATATCTCATTCTTAGAAACCATATCTCATTCTTAGACACCAGAGCTCATTCTTAGACACCAGAGCTCATTCTTAGAAACCAGAGCTCATTCTTAGACACCAGAGCTCATTCTTAGACACCAGAGCTCATTCTTAGATACTAGAGCTCATTCTTGGAAAACAGCACTTACTTGAAGGCCAGCACAGAACAACATAGCTTCAACGTCAGTAAACTCGAAATGATTTTATTCATACTGGCAGCTTTCTCCCTTGTACACCTAGGTAAGTCTTCTTTTATTGACACTATTGATGGTGACAATGTTGACACTACTCATGTTGACATTGTTGACACTACTCATGTTGACATTGTTGACACTACTCATGTTGACATTGTTGGCATTACCGATGGTGACAGTGTTGACACAGGTATAACTGATGTGTTGATATAACATATAACCGTGTTTAGGTAATAATAAAGCGTCCCTTCGAATACAAAGATATGAAAATGCTCCTCCAACTTCATAAATCTTACGTACAGTTGTGGTCAAAAGTAATCATCCACCATTCCTACTACTATACTCGCGAGCTCAAGACCTTTCTACACGACGGATCACAAGTGGGTGGGGGAGGTTGTTGATGGGGTAGAATTATGGGTAGTGAACCCGGGTAAGGTACGAGGGCGCAAGTCAAGGGCCACATATGTAGTGAGAGTGTATGTGGTCTTAGAATTATCCTTAACACCTGAGGAAGGTGGTAAGGTTGGTGGATGTAGCTTGACGTTGACGGCCTTAATCACCAGGAGGGCGGGTATGTGGGGAGGTGAAGGGGAGGCATCATATGAACTTTCTTTCCTTTCGTTATCTATGCCTTACTGGGGAGGAATGCGAGTGAGCATTTGTCAGGTAATGTGTCATTAGGGTCGATAAGGCGTCTGGCTTCAGTGAGGAAAGCCCCCGAAATGACACCATAAGCGAGAGGGCGTGGCTTGCTCATCACCACGAGGCTGTTTACTTGATCACTTCCACCTCTCGCCACTACTGTTCTTGAAAAAAAAAAACAATTAACTGACAAAAAAAAATTAAGAATGAATTATTGGATACAATGGTTAACCCACTGGGAGGAGTCTGGGAACTTGGGAAACTGGCCATGGTGAGTATGTTTGATGATTTGCTCTCATTTGATATATAAAAATGACTAATTTTGAGTGTAATATAAACAAAACATATTTGAACTCTTAATTCATATAAATGAATTTCAGGTCGGGGAGACCACGACTGACAGGCGAGGAGGACATTGCATAGGCTATTGAGATTTTGTATGACCTGTCTTGGTAAATACTAAAAATAAATGTGATTTCCACCCTCATTTCAACGTTATTATAAATATCTAATTAATGTTGTTTAGAACCTGAACATCCTTCCTTCTTTTATGAATTTCCCTGCTTACTTCAATCCCTTCCCACTCTGATAAACAACCTGCATTGCATACCACCCTCCCACACCCCTCCCCCCAACAAATGGCCCTCCCCCAAATCTACCATTCCCCCTCTCCACCCAAAGTTACTTACTGTGCAGAAAAGACCCAGCCAGCCACAAGGGTTGAGTGGCTGTACGTTCCAGTCTGGATTACTCTATACAGGCATGGATACCCTACCTACAGAAAGACCTAACATCCCTAGAAAAGGTTCAACAACCCAGTCTGGAAACCATTTGAACAGCTCATTCAGGTCTTCCTGCGGTGTTATGATATTGTCTTGACTTGCTACCTTCCCAAATATCTTCATTTCATCCGGAAATTTGACAATGTGGCTCAATCTAATTTCATCTATGTTGTTTATGTAGATCACAAACAGGGTGGGTCCAAAGATAGAGCCTTGTGATACCCCACTGAGAACCCATTCAGAATGCGCCCCCATTTATTATCCCTTTTTGTTGCCTGTCTTCGAGCCAGCTGTTGATCCACATCAAAATCTTGTCTGCGATACCATGTGCTTGGACCTTAGAAGATAATCATGCACGTGGAACTTTGACAAATGCCTTAGAAAAATCCATATACGATGGGTGGTTCAGCTTGTGCCAGCAGGACTCAGAGAATTCTCAGAGTCAAACTCAAGGTTTGACCTTTGATAAAGGAAACAAACAAGATTTAGCAGATTAATTAATATTTATTGTATTGTAGTCCTGTATTTCCCCATTATATTTCAGAACATAACCGAAGTACTTAACTGCAATTCTGTCCTTATCTGAAACACAGGCACATATCTCACATTTTGCCTAACCGGCAGAGTTGCAAACTGAAACTGTATAGAGACCTCATAATACATGATTATTATCATATACTGTACTTACAGTATGTCTATGTGAAGTTTGTATCTCAGATGTGGCAACATGCTGATCAAGACTACGACAAGTGTGGTGAGGGGATTATAAATGCATAAAAAACAATACTGTATCTTGTTTATTTTCAATTTAATGCAATTAATATATGTATTGTCCAGCCATCGTTAAGGGAAATCGCTTTCTGTAGCCGCTCGGAGACAGACTCAATGTGTTCATACACCAGCTCAGGCTTCCTCCTTAACACTTCCCATCCCTGCTAGGTGTGTTGCAATATCTTGGGATGTTCTCTCTTGTGCTGGTTCCCACACATTGACAATGTGCCAGCCAATCAGATGTAGGCGGGACATTCTCACCTTAGAACTTTGAATAGACTGCAGTGAGCGCATCAATGCAACCACCAGCCTAGGAGGTTCACCCTTCACCATTATTTTACTTCACTTCACAGCAGTAACAGTTTTGTTATTACTTCACCTCCTTGCCTAAGGTATATCTGCCTTCCTCTCTTCTCTTTCACTTATATTTTATACAAGTGTACAGTATACATTACATGTATAATGTACCCCACCTTCCTCTCTCCCTGCCCCCTTTTGTGTGCATTTCTAGTTTGCACATCTGCATTTCCATTTGCTAATAAATTGTTCTAGTAGGCTCACTATTCCAGGAGTACTTCCCTTAGGAAACAGTCTGCCTGTGTGTACAGTACTAGTAGTTGAATTTTAGCTTCAAATCATTTGAATCAATTTGACTCGTGCGCGTCATTGCAAATGTGTCCATCTGCCACAGGTACGAGTGTGGTAGTGCAGAAGGTGGTAGTACCAGAGCAAACATTGTCTGGGCACACAGCTAGGCTGGGGTGCACATGGTCTGCAGGCAGTGGGCCACCTCTCTACTCCCTCCGTTGGTGCAAGGATGGCACTCAGTTCTTCGTGGTGACACTTCGCCCGAAACTGCGTAAAACAGTCTTCCCAGCGCTTGGAACCCAGGTGGTGGTAAGTTCTTCTTCTTATAATGTCATTGATGATAATAATTCCCATCCTGTATGTGCCCGAGATATAACTTTGCCCTTATAGCGTTGTGGTATGAAATTCCTCCACATGTGCTGCTGCCATTTGAACTCCAAGCGCTCAGGCTGCTGGATAAGACCCCCTGACCTTTTATGCTGCTCGGATATGACCAGGAGTGTACTGGCATTTTTTTAACAACTGGTTCTGATGAAGGTTAAAATTCAGATGGTGGTGTTGTAAATCAGCGAGTGCCAACAATGAAAACCATTATGGTAGAGGGTCTGGAGGTGAGTGTATGGCTCTCCCAGCAAGACAACGCATTTTAGTCTTTCCAAAGGGCATTTTGTTGCATTTTGAAATAAATTATTTCACATATCCTTTAAACTCACTTATGACATAACTGTAATTACATTACCATAGAGTAAACAAAATTTTCATTTAAAAATAACTAGATAATTCAGCGATCATTGTTTGTGATGCTACCTTCATTTTGATGACAATTTATTGTATTAGGGTACAGTATTTTCTTAAAACATATATTTATGCACTTACTGTGTTTTACATTGTTAAACTACATGAAATAATTACTTACAATCTAAACAGATCATTACAAGTTCGCTACACGATCAGTTCGCCTTTGAGCTCAACAGTCACCTTTCTCACTTTTGATCTGTCATCCAGGAAGGGTACAACAGACTATGCACCCTTCACTACCACGAACTTCTGAAGGGAACTGTACATGCACTGTCTTACAAATTTCCGTGGATGCTTGAACAGTATTAGAACAGCATCATTGTCCTCATTTGTGGGATACCCGCACATTAACAAGTGAAAACACTGTTGCTGTTTTAATATAAGCTTTCACGCAATCTCCTCCAAAATGTATAAGGCAAAGTGTATAAATTTGGACACCTTGTATCTATTGTAGTTATATTGTTTTATTATACACTGTATCACGAAAGTGGTGGGAGACTGAGATTGGGTATTAGTTATTAGTTGATGCAGATGACTGTCAGCAGGTTGGTGCATCAAACGAGTATGCAGTGAGACTAACCAATGTGACGGCTCTCACGTCTGGCATCTATACCTGCGAGGCCATGAGTGATGCCCCTGACTTCTTCTCCAGCGCCTGCTCTGCCTACCTCCCTGTCATTGGCAAGTGTCACCAAGCCTTCCTCTTATTCTACCTCTCAATAGTTATCAGCTTTCACACATCCTTTTCTCTGTCATTCTACTACCCTGTTAATTGTAATCTTCGCACTTCCTTTTCTTCGTCATCCTCCTCTCCATCTTCGGTGAATTGATCACCACCACAATGCCTTCTCCAATTCGTCACATCTTTTTTCCACCACAACTCTGTCCACAATCCTTGTTCTTTATAAATTAGTATAAAACTACGAGTAAGTCAGTAGCTATGAGTGACTAAATACTTAACTTTTTGAATGTAGAAACTAACATTATTGTGTTGAAGAATAAAAGGTGAGGGAGAGAGTTAAAACCCAGAGTAAAATTGGGAATAGGTGAGGTTCTCTGTTGGGAGTGCTGTGGAGGGGAAACTTTAGGTGTAGCTATAGGGGGTGCTGTAGGGGGTCACTGTAAAGGGGAATTGTGTGGGTAGGGGAGATGTTATACAGGTATGGGGCAGGTATTATACAGGTATGTAGGGGGTGGTGCTGTGTAGGAGAGGTGCATGTTTGAAAGGTGCTTTGTTGGGGGAGGTGCTGTGTGGAAAAGGTAAGGTATTGGGAGGTGCTGTGTGAGAGAGGTGCAGTTTATGGAAGGTGCTGTATGGGGAAGATGCTGTGTGGGGGAGGTGCTGTGTGGGTGTGATGCAGTGTGGGGGAGGTGCAGTGTGGGGTGGTGCAGAGCGAAGGCACTGGCTGGTGGGTTTTAGGAACTATCAGATGCTGTAAAGAAATGACACTTCATATTCAAATTCTGCAATCTTGAAACATTTCCTCTATTGCCCATTTGATATTGGGAAAACTTTATTATTTAACCCAGTCCAGTATTTACAGGAGGACATAACAGATTGTGAATATACTGTATACTGAGATATGGAAAACAATTCAATATCTTACAAAAATACAGTACAATAGATTTATCTGTTTTCCATAAGATGAATTCTCTCTCAATAATAAAATAATTCAGACTATAGGTGTAAACTGACTATTCAGTGTACCATGACAGAGGTGCCAGCTGATGGCCCTACTTGGACAGGTGTGCTGAGCGCTTACCACGTCAACCAGCAGCTTCACGCCCACTGTCAGGTGTTCGGCTCTCGCCCGCCTGCTGTGTTTACCTTCTTCCTCAATGATCACCGGATTACGGTAACTACAATTTATTATTTTCAGAGATATATATGTTTATGATCTTCAATATTTCCCAACAGAGTAAATTATATGACTTTAAACAGGAATTTTGCATATTACAATTGTAACATGATTAATGTTTCATAACTGCTCATAATAATAGATAACAGTACAGTATTATATCAGTTACTGTATACTTTATAGCTTTACATCAATGCCATCACTTTACTGTAATATGTATTTTTGGTAATAGTTCTGATATACACATGTAGATACTGTATTGGCTGAGTTAATGAAAAAATAATTAAATTTTTAACTTGTTTGTAAATGGTAATTTTTTTTTTTTTGTACAATTCATCTAACATCTGTTAATGTTTTTCACTACCTGAGTATTGTCCCCCCAGGTGAAACATATTAGCTTGACATAGACCTTTAACATGACAGAGTTGTGAACTCTTGGAACAACCTGCCGGAGAGTGTTGTGACGGCACCAGGTATGAGATGTTTCAAGATCAGACTTGACCAGCACTGGACCAGGTTCAGATACATTTAGGAGCCAGTGCATGCCCAGTACTTGCCAACAGTGCATAGCAGAGACGTGACCGACCGCCTAAGTAGCTAACGAGCCAATCAGTGATGAAGAGGATAAAAGTAAAAGAAAAAAAGAAAAAAGACTAAGTTAGCTGCAGCACACCCCAGATAATAGCAATACTCTGGCTGGCAGGGCCTGTATAACACTATCTAGTGTTGTGACGGCACTGAGTGTGAGCTCTTTCAAGACAAGACTTGACCAACACTGGAGCGGGTTCAGATACATTCAGGAACCGGTGCATGCCCAGTATTTGCCAACAGTGCGTGACAGAGACGTGACCGATCGCCAGGGCGGCTAACAAGCCGATCAGTGGCGAAGAGGATAAAGGTAAAAGTAAAAGTAAATGTCTCATTGGTGTCATAAATGAAGGCTAAAGACAAACGAAAAATAACTTTTAATTATCTTACAGTTTTGTTCTGTTTCAGTTTCATAGACGACTATTATTGTACTACAATAGAATTATAGTACTTGATAGTAGTATGATGTCATTGACAATGTTATTTGCTTACCCTAGCATTTTATTTTCATGACACAGCACTGGAGATCGCCATAGCATGAACTATTTTAGGCCAATGAGTTTGACCAGCATACTGTAGTGTGTAAAGTACTAAAGAGCGTTATACATTATGCAGTGGAGGAACATCTACTACAAAACAACTTTGTAAAAAGCTAACACGATTGTATGCCTGGACGCTCCTTGACGTAATTATTTAAGGTGCTGGATGTGTGGACACAGATCCTCGAGCGTGGTGGTAATATTGATAATACTGTGCAGTAATCTCTCCATTACAAATTTCTGAGATATTATTGTACATCAACATATTTCCAGAAAATTCTGTGAAAATATGTGTTCCGGACATTCGAATGAATTTCCGAGATATTCCAAAGAGAGGATGCATGCCGGGCTGGTGGGTAGATATTGGGGACATGCATTTATTTTGGCACAGTACTGTATATACAGTACTTAAATGTAAGTAATATAATGCACATTTATTTTGGCTTAATTAATATGATGTTCAGTTACCATATGTACTGTAGTAGGCTCAGTATGCCACAGAGCCACGCATATCAACCCTACGGGACATCATGAGTTGGATGTAGCATTTCGGAAGTCATCGGACCCATCCTGGCAGATACTTTTTTGAGATACTGTACAGTAAACAATACCTCATTCATGGAGGGAGAAGAGAGTAACAGTTAACAACACCTGCTACAGGATTTGGTACAGGACAAAAGCAGACTATTCCGTATCATCATATCACCATTTGACCTGCCTGCCTCAAAAGATAAAGATGACAGCATCTGTTGGCGAGTACAGTACAGTCGACCTGTATAGTGTATACAGTAGTACGTACATACTGTATATCTTGTTTATTTACAATATATTATATGTGTACAGTAGTGTTTGCATAAATAAATACTGTAAAGCTCTGAGTCTGTCCTACTGCAGAAACATTTAGCCAGTGCCAGGAAAAATTCCAGGGTAGTGCAATTTTTTCCCCAAGATGAGAAAATTCATCTCAGTACCCAGAAATCTCTCCAACCCAGAACCGCTCTGCACCAATTAATCCAGCTAATGGGGAGATTACTATACATATCTAGACTTTGCCAAATCTTTTGACACCGTACCACATGAAAGGCTGAAAATAAAACTGGAAGGGTACGGAATTCAGGGAATTGTCCAGGCGTGGAACAAAATCAGAGATTATTCATGACCGTAAATAGAGTTTGTAGATTAATGACATGATATCATCATGTGTTCCTGTAACAAACAGGGTACTACAGTGCAGTGTACTGGGACCATTGTTGTTTGTATACAATATTTGTTTCGTAAATGAAAGAGTTTTATCTCATAATTTTTAACTGTTGATGGTCTAGTGTTAATTCTAACCTTGTTACACATTTAAAGAGCTTAGTTGTAGCAGCACAGTACAAGTAATAACATAAATAATATGCCAGATGCTATACACTTCTCCATACAAATGATTGTCGATAAAAGTTTAAGTTATTTAGGAAAATTAAGAAACAAATGGATTGTAAAGTGCAACAAGAATATATCTGTCGGCTTCAGGAATAGCTGTTAAAATTCAATGTCACGAAATGCAAAAGGATGCACCAAGGTCGTACCAATAGTAAGGTGGTGTATTACATGTCCCAACAGGATGAAGAAGCAAAATTGAAAAGTGAAAGTGGGTCCCATTAGAAACAGTGTGAATACAAATGTGAAATGTGAAAAGGACCTGGGTGTACATGTTGACAATGAACTGAAGTTATCAGATCACTGTGAGAAAAGTGTAAATCAAGTGACTAAGCTAGTAGGTCTTGTAAGAAGGGCGTTCACATGCCTCGATGGTTCGTCCCTCATAATGCTCTTCAAAAGTGAGGTGATTCCCCATTTGGAGTACAAAATTCTTTCACCATCTGGTCCTCCAGATATGCTAGAGACTATCAGTTAACTGAAATTGTCCAAAAAAAGGGCTATCAGACTGGTGCCTACATTTCGGCACTTCAGTTACCCAGACAAATTAGAACGCCTGCAGTTAACTAGCTTATACTACAGATGGGAAATGGATGACTCAATAAAAGTCTATAAGCACTTCAGGGAACATTACTGTACTCAGTCAAATGTTCATACCTGGAACTATAGGATGCCCATCCCACTAGGGGTCATGGCCTCAAGTTGAAGAACCCACAAGTTCAGAAAATTATCAGGGCAAACTTTTTTGGGGGTGAGAGTTGTGAACTTTTGGAACAATCTGCCAGAGAGTGTTGTGAGCTCATTCAAGACCAGACTTGGCCAAGCAGATAAGCCGATCAGTGGCAAAGAGGATGAAGTAAAAGTAAAAGGTGTATGGAAACAAAGAAACTGCAGCATCTAAACAAGATATTGTACAATAGTATGGTTTCTTTTTTAGGTTTTATGGCTTTTGACATTACAGGTATGTGCAATTAATTTATAGCCAATAATTTATTTTTTCCAAAATAAAAAGCTGAAAACTAAATACCTGTAGTACTGCAGTTAAGATATATGGTTAGTTTATATTTTTTATTTGAGGTATTGTCTAACCATTCAGCAGTCATGAGCTCCTTTCAGCTGAATAAAATCGTTTGGCATTAGCCGGAATAAAATACATAAGGGATACTTTGTCCTTTAAAGGGGAAAGTATCCCTTAATAATTTTAGCTTCAAAATTAAACAGACTTAACTTCCCTTTGTAAATGATGTATAATGTAATATACAATTATTTCTTACTTTAATTACATCATTCTTTTGTAGCATTTGATATGTTTACTTTGATTCCAGGATGAAGATGGCTGGGTCATGAAACACAAACCGAGTAGAAATACAAGAGATATGATATGGAACTCATCTTCAACTCTCTCCATTCACTTAAACTCTGAGAGTATAAAGACCTTATTCCCCAAATCACTCCCACAGTATCATTCTTACATCTTACAAGAAACGAGAAGAAATATGTCTAGCGGTAACCCTAAGTCCAATATACATTACCGTTTACAATGGCAGGAACCTTATTCATCTCACGATGCAGCGCCCTATAGTAATAATCCCTTTACACCTCCCTACACACACACCCATTCTGAAAGACGATCAGCCCATGAATCCTTATATTCTTTGTCCTCGATATCACCAATAGCTTCTTCATATTCCCGCCCCTCTAGTGTTGCTCGAGATCTCTATTCCTCGCTACCATCTAAAAACCAGAAGATCAATTTGACTTGTGTTGCAAATATTGGAGGCCTCTCCTTGAAGACTTCAACTTGGACGCTCTTATCTTTTCCCACAGAGCTGCATTTCAGCAGTAAATCAAGATTATCAGAAAATTCAGGTAAGGATGTGTCTTAGAGCTATCCTCTAAGTAAAGGGGATCAGGTATCTCAAAGTACAGTACTGTAGTTCAGTATAATGTTTCATTCTAATTTTGGGGTTTAAGCTTTTTGAAAATCAATCGAAATAACAATTCTCAGTTCAGGAAGTTTGCAGCTATAGAACAGTTTTGAGTAGACTGAAGAAAGTTATCTCACCCTAGTTATGTGGCATGCTTTCTGTCATGAAGTACTGCCTTTACTTGACACATGGCGTGTCATTCTGCCTTTACTTGACACATGGTGCCATACAGCCTTAACCTGACACATGGTGACTCACCCTGCCTTTACTTGACACATGGTGAGTCACACTGCCTTTACTTGACACATGGCGAGTCACCCTGCTTTTACTTGACACATGGTGAGTCACGCTGCCTTTACTTGACACATTAAAAAAATATTTGTACTAACAATAAGGTCACAGGTCATTAAAGTACCTGGTATATATTCTATTCTCTACAGGTCCCACACTGGCTCCATCACCATGTCTGCAGGCGATCACAGTTCTGTGCTTAACAGTGAATGCCGGTTTTAAAGGCTTCCTCTTGAACCTTGCCAGATATGACTGACTGACTAATACAAAGGAATTGCACTATAAAGGTTTCACCCCTATCCTAACACTAACGAAGTACACTGCAGTATCTCTCAGAGAACCACAGGTCCAAGGGTGATTCAGCTTCAAGATGCAAGAAAAAGGAGATGGCATTTTCCTCAGTTAATGTCCTTTTCTGGTAATGTTTGTATTACGCCCAAGGATGTGTTTCTATATTGCACATGTAAAACATCTCTGTATTTATGCATACTATAACTTCATATTCTTCTCACTAATTCAGACCAATCTTTCCACAAGTCAAACTTGTAAAATTCATCAAGAACTATGATAGGAGGCTCCTTACAGTCTTATAGTTTCATATCTTATATTATGAAGCAGCAAGGTGACCAACTCTACTGTAATTACCTGTAAGGTTTAACAGTGTAATCACAAACATTTAGAAAAAATAATGTAAATGATTTATTTCATTTTCATAAAAATAACCACCCAAACACTTCACATTTAATAATACAATTAGTATACATACTGTAGTTACATTAGCTATATTAAAACTTAGGGAACCTTAGCCTACGACAAGTATTGCACAGAAAATTTTTAAAAGTTTAAGACTTCAGAGGTGATATTAAAAATTATACAGTGGTCCCTCCATTAACAAGTGATTCAATTTACGAGATTTCGGTTAACGAATTAGCTCCCATAAGGATTTTCAGTTCTATTAACGAGTACAACTTCTATTAACTACAGCCTTACGAGAAACACGCTTTGGTTTGCGCATCAGCTGATTGGCTAGTCTGCCAATACAGTAATCGGTTCTATGTTTACATTTGTTTCCAGTAGAGTAAATTTCGAGAAAGTTGTGCTCTTGAACATTTTTGTTTTTTATATTAAAATTATTGGCCATTCTGAAATTTAGTTAACATATTGATATATACAGTACAGGGTATTTTTGTGCACCCATCAGCTGATCGAATTGCCCACCAACGCTTCTCAGTTTAACTTTGTTTACAGTGGAGTAAACATCGAGTTTGTTGGTCTCTTGAATATTTTTGCATTTTTACATTAAAATTATTGGTCATTCTGAAATTTAGTTAACATATTGATAATATTCAATGCAGAAATTATTAAGAAATACAAAGAAGGCATTAGAACCAATGCACTCTGTATAGAATATGGCATGTCATCATCGGCTGCCTCTACAATCAGCCGTTTGCTATGTAAACAAAGCTGCCAGGAATATGACATACACATGTCAAAGTAAGTTAAAATACAGTATTCCATTGTTTTTTATTTATTATTGTACAGTATATTGTACAGTACAGTACTGTATTTTGTTTATATTTAATGTTTTGTTAATTTTATTCCCAGTATACAGTACTTTGTATGTACCTTTTCTGTGAGTTGGAACCACTGAAATAATGGATTCAGTTAACGACTGACTCTGTGGAACCAATTGTGTTCGTTAATTGAGGGACCACTGTATTAAATAATAAAAGATAAATTAACCAAAATTTTCTATAAACCATCTATAATAAAAAACATGTACGGTATTATAAAATTTTAAACCAAGTTTATTTTCCCCAAAATACTAGATTCATATTTAAAGGCATCCTCATTGTCACATTTATTTTATAGATTTCTAATTTCCATCAACTACATAAAATATTGAAGGATTTAATGTAGAATGTACACTATGTGAACATATGTTTTAGTAATGTATTTTCATATCCCAATATAAATTTTAACCTGTGAAGAACAGTCTTATTTCATGATCCACAAAACTGAAAATATTTTCCTAGTTCCCATAATGTCAGCCACAAGACTCATGTTCTCTTTCTTAATACACTGCCAATTTGCACTATTTGCACTTATCCCCTCAAACCCAGTTGAAAAAGAAAGATATATATATATATATATATATATATATATATATATATATATATATATATATATATATATATATATATATATATATATATATATATATATATATATATATATATATATATATATATATGCAAAATCATAAGATGTATACATATGGATGGTTGGATATGTTTACCTTGGGTTCATGGCCTCGTTGGGCATTTTTGTCATTTCTGACGGTTGTAAGGTGGGTGACAACCTGCTCTCACTTACTGCCTAATCACTCGGTGTCTGAGACTGACTTATGAGTACAGTAGTATGAAGAGCATCTAATATCATGTAAAATAATCATTGTAAGTAATAATAGAACTCCCCACAACACATTGCCAGTCAGCTGTGAGATGGCTAGACACGTTGCCATTATTACATATAATGAACTGTAAAAGTTGTGAAAAACCATTTCAATACTTGAATGTGACTAATAAATAAAGAAAATATAACATAAAACTGTAAAATAAGAAAAATGCTGAGCATGATTGTGTTTGTGTGGGTAGTGAACATGTGTGTCGAGGCTGTGGGCTGCTGTAACTATATCGCCAGCCCAGGCGGCACCGTGCTCCATTCCCTGGGGCCCGATGTGACATCACCACGGCATACACAGAATGCAGTGTATCGGCCACACACATCTGAGTCAGCTGACTGGCTGAAATGTGTGGACCAGTATGGTTCACTCTTGGCATTGCCCAGAGCTATTTTTGACACATAAAGTATGTGCTATTGTATTTTATGTTGTGCTATGTATCATTATTTTTTTAATTACAGCTGTTCGTTAATTTTTGGCTTATGTACAATACAGAATAACAAAGGACTGGAACCTATTCCCCTATAAATCCAACTCTGACAAAGAAGTTTCCGAGAACAAAGTGGATTTCATGAACATATCCACTACAGTGCCAGATGTATAACTATATTCAATTTAGCAGAATCCTCCCTTTTGCAGAATCAACCTGCATGCTTTATTCTGCTCTATGGAATGACTACTGCACAATATTATATTTTCATATTCATTATGTGAACTACTGTACTGTACTGTATATGAAACTTTTCATATTTAATTTTCTACATCTAATAACTTGTTTTGCCATATTTATACAAAATTCTGTAGAAAATGCTTTATTGTCTTGAGAAAATTAGACAAACTTACTACAGTTTTTCATCAAATGTACTTCAACTTATATCACTGTATTTTACAAGTACCACTGTTTCTTAAGAATGCACAAGACAGATTTTCATAACTGAAACTAATTAAGGCCCCATAATGGTGCTCATTGCTGTCCAAAACTCAGCCAATACCTTTATCACACACTCTCACCATTTTCTATTTTACTAAACTTCCTAAATATGAGGAAGCCTGTACAAGAATGTAAAAATTTCCTTTAAAGATATGTAACTAGAAAACTAGTAATGGTAACAACCATAGCAGAGGAACCACTATTTAATGTCCATGTATATCAATGGATCAGAGTACCATCCTCACATACGAGGGTTGGCGACCACAGCCCTCCACTCTCAACGTTCTCGGGCTGTTTTTACTAAATCTCTAAGGTTTTGTATCTCTCTGGGAAGTCAGTTTTTAATTTCATTCATCCAATCCAGTCTCTGTCTTCCCCTGGCCCTCCTATCCTCTGCTTTGCCCATTATTATTTCTGTTATTATCTTCTCATCCCTAATTATGTGACCAAATAACCCATTTTTCTTTTTTTGTGCATTTCAAGAATTTCTCTTGAAGTTTTTGCTCAGCTTAGTACTTCTTTGTTTGTTTTCCCATCAGTATAGCTTCTTAGCATTTGCCTATAACACCACATTTCAAAGGCCTGCAAGTATCTATGCATGTCTCAAACAATTGTCCTCGCCATGTAAAGCTTTTCAGCAGCCTTTTTCTCAAATTGAAGTTAATGTCTCTTTTCATTAAGCCTTTTAGATTATTAAATGCTGATTTTGCTTTCCCTATATGTCCATTTATATAGTCATTCCTTAACACTCAAGGGAAGTTGACCCTGCTTTGATTTCAGATGACTAGAACAATAGATTGCAATGCTAAAGACTTTTTAAGAATTCAGAAGAGAGATTCTAGTTCTCTTTTCAAGTGCAAATAAAGGCTGAAATATGTCAAATTATCAATGAACAGGAAAGATTGGCAAATTGTGAAATAAGACCAAATGCTAATCAGTTTCAAGTTTAATATCAAGCAAATGAGTGAATAATTGCAACAAAAAGCTGGAAAACTCACAAGGTCAATAGAAAGTGGCCAGTCTGTAAACTCTGACTTTATGGTAATCACCTCTGAGAACCCATGAAAGGTGTTTCCCATTTTAATTGCAAATAAATGAGGTGATTATGACAAAAATTACCAGAATCTTTTAAACCGATTAGAAGACAATAGAGGTTATTTACTTTTGACCATAAGCTAACCATTTTGGGGGACACAAGTGACATGTACCCAGTTTTAATCTCAAGTGAATAAGGTGACTGGTTGTAAAAAATAATTATGGTCAAAAGCTTTTAACTCACCAGGGACCAAGAGCTACAGCTAGTCATCAAACTGTGATTACTTATACACTAAATATACCTGACAACTTGTATAGAGATTCCACTTTCAAGAATAGCAACTTGTTACAAACAATATGGTCAAGAATTTTGTGTGATGAATAAGCAGAAAGATGATTATTCTTGGACTCCCCAAAGTGGAGCCCTATTGAACAATCAAACTACAATATAGAATGAGTATAGTGCAGTTCATAGTTTCTGCCCATGAAAGCCAAGAATCACACCTAACAGCCGAGAATCACACCTAACAGCCGAGAATCACTCCTAACAGCCGAGAATCACTCCTAACAGCCAAGAATCACACCTGACAGCCAAGAATCACACCTGACAGCCAAGAATCACTCCTAACAGCCAAGAATCACACCTAACAGCCGAGAATCACACCTAACAGCCGAGAATCACACCTAACAGCCGAGAATCACACCTAATAGCAGTCACCTAACAGCAGCCAAGAGTCACACCTAACAGCAGCCGAGAATCACACCTAACAGCCGAGAATCACACCTAACAGCAGCCGAGTCACACCTAACAACGAGAATCACACCTAACAGCCGAGAATCACACCTAACAGGTCACACCTAACAGCAGCCAAGTCACACCTAACAGCCGAGAATCACACCTAACAGCCGAGAATCACACCTAACAGCCGAGAATCACACCTAACAGCCGAGAATCACACCTAACAGCAGCCAAGAATCACACCTAACAGCCGAGAATCACACCTAACAGCCGAGAATCACACCTAACAGCAGCCAAGAATCACACCTAACAGCCTAGAAATACACCTAACTTATAACTAATCATTAATCATTGTTTTAGATAACTTGGAATATGAAAGCTCTTTAATTTGTGTTTTGACCAAATTTCAATGTACAATAGCTTCTTTGCATTGAATTATATTTAATATATTAATCTATTTTGAATTTTTAATGAATGACACCTGATAGAAGCCACAAATAAAGGTACCACCTGAGAAAGCTTGCAGCAGTCTTATTTAGTGGTGTCTATAGAGCTGTACATTAAATAACTTGATATCTACTCCACAACACTGACCTCAATTAAATATTCCACAGTTAAATAAAAAAATTACATCACCCCTGTACTGTATTTTCAAAACTTTATATATATCTACCTTTCAATACAGGAGAGCATTATGATTATCACAGATCATACTCTCCCACATGTTAACATAAAACAATATATATATATATATATATATATATAATATATATATATATATATATATATATATATATATATATATATATATATATATATATATATATATATATATATATATATATATATATATATACCCGGTACTACCTCTAATACCTTTCTGAGCACCCACTGCACAAAGAAATATTCAGTATAAATCTAATGCGCACACACACAGTGAATATGTAACTTGGTATGAGCATGTTAGTGCATGAGTGTACAGTATGTGCATGTACTATATGTGCACAGTGTGCCTGTGTCAGTGCTGTTCATTGGCAAGTGCATTTGTAAATTCCAATTTAATGCTACATAAAAAAATATATATATGTATATATGGAACATAAGAATATGTACTAAAAAACTGAAAGATGATGTAGGGGGTGAAGAGAGTAAAACTGAGTGTAAAATAAATTACTTCTCAATGTACAGTCACTGACAAAATACTCTTGAGACGTCTGGCAGCACTACTGTACTCTTATAGATATTCAGATCATGTCACTCTGTTTCAGTCTCCTATCCTGTGTTCCATTTACCAATTCACACCAGTGTTACTTATATAAATGATTTTTGGCCTTTATGTATGATTATGTTGTCTCAGATGCTACCATGAGAGTATTTTGCCAGCGAGTGTACAGTGATTACACTAAAATTCTGCATTCCCAAATTTAGGATTCCTCGTAATTTTAGCATTTTGGTGCTTCTGAAATCAAGTATTGAAATCTCTAATAATGTGTATATTCCAAATTGAAAGAAATATTCTTGAAATTAACCAGCTAATTCCGCTTAAGTCATAACTATTTCAAATGTTGATTCTGCCATTTGTAATCTTTACCTTAAAAATTATTTATAAATTACTGCAGTTATCATATGGTATAAATACAACAATCAACACTGCATTGTACACTATGGATGCTTTACCATTCTGCAACATATTCACAAAGGAATTAATTTGATAAAATTACCGTAAGATTAGAATTTGATTCAAGAATTGGTGCCTTATTGCTGCCTACGGTAGTTTGGGTTCTAACCTGCACTGTTCTCTCGTGATTCATTGCACAAACACTTGTGTTCATAAAATTCTAGCTAATCTGTATTCCTCCCAAGCTCAGAAAGGCTTGACCCCTATAATTAGGAATTGCAGAGGGATTATTGTATCTAAAATAGTGTAGTTTCTCTACATACAGAAAATACAAAAAATTCAATGACGAATAAATATCAAGCCCAATTTGTGTGTGTGCGCCTCCTAATATTTTTCTTATACTGTACAGTATAAGCAAAAGGTTATCTTGTTTTACAACAGAAACAATTAATGCAAGAAAATTTATGTGAAATTCCTACAATTATTTTCTCTAATCTGCAAAAATAGTTACTATGTTTTACACTCACCAGATTATTCATAGGTCCAAAAGCTGTATCCTATGAGCCTCTATATTTTGGGTAACTTAAGGCTTGTGATATTTTAAGCATATTTAACTCATCTCCTAAAAATTATTATCAAGTGCCTGGTACTTGTGAGCATTGGCTGGGAGAACAGCAGACACAGAGTAGATACGGAGGTTGCTGGCTGTGTAGCTCTCCTGCAGGAACATGGCCGTGGCCACCAGCAGAACCATCTATTCAACAAAAAGTAGAATTAGTAGCTTATCTGGATCATTTACATTCTGCTATACACCTTACATTTACCGTATAAAAGTTAAAGTTATGATAAAAACAGGTAGCCAATTCACCAGAAAATATCACAACAGGTATTTTAGTGGTGAATCAGTGTAATATCTTCTTGGCAGTACTAGTACAAAATTCAAAATCATAAAATCAACTTCCACAATCTGTTTACTGAAACCATATGAACACACAACAATAACTTAATTCCATTTTTAAGATGTATTACACTTAGATGGCCAACATCACAGTCTAATTTTTTATTCATAAATGCCTTTCTTGCTATACTGATGCAAGAGCTAAAAAGCATTCATGAGTAACTTCTTAGTAGGATACAAGTCTACTGAGGGTTGTTACATTCTCAGTAAACACTCAATACTGTAACGAAGTAAAAAAATAAATAAAAAATACATCGACCCAAAACTACGATTTGAAAAACAACTACTGTACAATACAGTATTGAGTGCTAAGTATGACGTTCTTCTCACATATCATTTGTATATCAGGGTAACCTCTTCCTATTGTACACCCACTGATTCTTTCATTCAGATGGGATCCTTTTTAGTGTTTTGTCTTGGCATTTTATTTCATATACCACCCAAAACCACATTAAAATCCAGTAGACTGGTACAAACACTGTTATGAATGAAGATACATATATTATTACTTACTAGAGCAACATGCATAGCACACACAGGCAGCCATACTCCCCGGCTAAGACTGTGGTAGTCAAGTCCAATGGCATGTATGACAGTTAGACGGCAACCCTGAAAAGAAAAATACCATAAAATGCCTTTTTCAAAATTGTGCTCATTATAATTATATGCTAAAGATATTATCTTCTACAGAGCGAATGAGGAAGGTTAATTTAGGTGTGAAAAGATGGTAAACATGTAATTATGAGAGGAATCAATAAGGAAAGACTACTAGATGCACAGAAGAAAAAGGAGGATGAGCAGAGATGCTAAAAATGAACTAGGAAAAAGTAAGTAGGCTTTTAAATCACTTTACCTAGTCTTAGTATATTAGCAATTCATTTAACCTCTGTGATGACAAAATTGTAAGTCACACAACTTTATGGAAACTTGCCCTTTTATTTCAAAACCTTTGTTTTTAAGAAACTGCAGACTCCATACAGTAAACCCCCAATATACTGGACACCGTGTATAACGGACACTCTGACCCGTTTGGACTAGGTTCATATATTACGGACTCAAGTCCGTTAAAGAAAACATAAAGGAACATTCGTATCCAAATTAGCCCAACCCTGCATAACACTGATTCTTTATGGAGCTCTTTTGTCCTCTCTTGGAGTTATTTTTTATGAGAAAACAAAAAATTAAGAAAATCCATAATACTAAACAAAAGTTGCAAGCCAGAACATTCGACGTACCCAAGTATGCTCACAGCCTATCAGCGCTCTCATCAGTATGTAAAAATTTTCTTGTAGCATTCAACTAACTTGACACACTCACTCTTTATATGACTGATTTCCACATAATATAGTGAATATTTGTGACCCAAGTAATTTTTACATAAAAAATGAAATTCTGTAATACATACAAGTCGGCTGTAAACACCTGTTGCTGATGGTAAGTGTTGGTGGTGACCAACACTCACCATTACCACTAAAAACCAACACTAATCATCACCAGCAACACTCACCACTAACTGTGCAGTTACAACACCAAATATATTAAGTAAGGATATAAATGCATAGGACAAAACACAAATTATGAGTAAAATGTGTTACTGTAGTACTGTACATTAAATTTTTTTTTAAGCTTATGCTACAAGTCTGAACCATTCTATGCATATTAACTGTCCAGAATTTAATTTTAAGAGATAATAGGCCACTGTGATAACACAACACAACACAACCTCCCTTCCAACCTCACACACATGCATCGGTCATTCTGTATTCTTCCATGTCCTTCCCACCTCCTGCTGAAACCTAAGCATGTCACTTACTACACGTACAGGGATGAATGGGCTGGGGCCTCTACATACCATGGTGTTCGTTTATGACGGTTGGATTTATGACCCAATGAATATATAATTTAATTACATAAGCATCTTCATAGCCAGAAAGATGTCAAACATAATTATCTTAAATAACAATACCATGAAAATAATACATCAGTGTGCAGGAGTCTCATTGCATTTCATGGTGTTTGTGTAAGTTGGGAAACACCAATAACACGTTATTGTCTGCTGTATTGTTGGTCTTAGTCATGTAAATAAACAGAAAACTCTAAACTTTACACATACTAACATGCAATCAGCCAAGCGTGCCAGACTGGCTGTTGGAAACAAGCGTCGCGGCGTCACACCCTTATGACAGACAGGAACAAACATGTATAAATTTTGTTAGCGGACTTAAAGTTAGCGGAACTAAATTTAGCGGAAGCTAATTGGTCCGCTAATGGTTTTCAAAGTTAGCGAAAATGCTAATCCGCTAACGAGAAAGTTAGCTTTGCTAATTTGCGGTTAGCGGAACCGTGCCCACCACTGAGTGCACCCGAGACTTCGTTATTCCTTAGTATAATGACACAGAATTTGAAATTGCAACTGTGGTTGCATATGTTGAGGCAACTTAGATATGTCTGATTACAGTTGGAACATTCAAGATCCATTGTGAGTGATGTTGAAAGCTTCAACTGTCTTTGTTGTTGGTAAAACTTGTCAAGTAAGTGAGTGTCAAGTCTGTCAGTACGAATAGCATATCCTTTTATCGTCCTTGGGGATAGCCATAAGTTTCCAAGTGCTACTGATGTTAGATTATTTTGATGCCCAAACATCAGAGAATCTGATGTTTGTAGTTAGTGTCAGTTGTCTATTTAAGAAAGTCATTAATCTCCTGAAAAGATTGTCAAACTCAAAATCTCCAAGACCTAATGGCTCCCCCGGGAAGAATTCCTTGGCTGTGGTTTGTGATTTTACGGTAAGTAGAGTTGTTAGTGCGTGTTTAACGTCCATTTCACTTTTTCCTGACAAACTCAATCTCTGATTAGATTATAAAAATAGACATAAGAAATTCACCTGACCCGTGACACTGGCGTTCATAGTTGAGTGTACAGTGACCGAGTTGAATAGAATTTCTGTTGTTGGTGAGATTAGTCTTTCTGGTATGTATGCGTAGGCCAGAACTGCCCCAGGCTCGCATATATACGAATGCACAAGGAAGACTCACAAGCTCGTGTCTCTTCCTCAACGCATCTCCAGGCACTGTCTGTGTTGGCACCACTACCGAGGTTCGGTAGTCGCCTATGGACAAGATGGTCCTCGAAGGATGTCTTTAATAAGGCGAGATTAGAATTCGAGGACGGGACTAATCAGGGAACGCTGTGCGAAGACACTGTACCGAGTCTACCCCCGGGCGCTCCTTGAGAGCGAGTTTCGGCTGTCGGTGTTGTAAACAACCAGTGGACTCATTCTTGTCCGGTCCATTGATCTTGGTTATATGTATTGAGCAGTATTGGTATCTATGATTGGGGATAATTAGCAGAAATATAGTTATCCCAAGTTGAGTATTGAACCCATGAATGTTGGTGTTACTAGTGGTACCGTGTTATAGGAGTCGAGTCCACCAACCAGGTGTACTACCACTGAATTCTAGTAAAGTGACATGTTGTTCAGTCTGAACTAACACGATGTGTTTAATAATATCTTAATTTTGGATCTTGTCGAGTGTGTTATATAATCATCTGTATTGACAATAAAATAATATAACAATTGTGCAATGATGTAATAAGTAATGAAGATCTATTTTGCTGTGTGTAAAGTAAGACCTAAGTGGTCCAGTCTTGTTTGAGTGTAATTAATTAACATCTTGTTCACTCCATATGTTAATAAATATTGGATAAGTAAACTACAAGTATCACCGCTCTATTTCTTCTACCCATTGGTTCTCAGAAAATAACTATTATAACTCACATGCCTAGAAGCTCGCTAGCACGCTACTTAACAGTTCAATGAGATATGGTATATTCTAATAAAAGTCTGGGTGGTGGCAGGCTACCGTTGTAGGTATAATAAGTGTTATAATAATAATGACATGGTTTCCCAGACTAATCCATGGTTTAGAATATAACTAAAACAGGATATAATTGAGAGAAAGTAAGGACAGAATTCAGAAAATACAATAATATACGGTATATGAAACAAGAAATGTAGTAAAGAAAAGAATACTGACTTAGAAAATATAAACAAAGAAATATAAGATAGATACTTATAGAGAGAGAGAGACTAAGAATAGAAGTATAGAAAAGAAGAATAAATAGAATAAATCTGAAGTAAGGAAAAACGAACCCTTACAATATGACAACAAATTTGAAAGGTCAAATATTTTTTCCGCTTTTTTTCATTTTTAACGTTTTCCTTTACACTGGTGGGGTACAGCTTCCTGCTCAGGATTTCCATCAAAAGGGTTAATACACTAAGTTTTGATACACTGTGAGGCTTGGTACACATCTTATTTGATTTAACCAGAAAGAATGTGATATGGATAAATGGAGATTATCAAACATTAACACTACTCACCTCTGTTATAATATAATCACCGGGATCAACTGAACTTGCAATATTCTTCCCACAACCAGGTTCAACCACAAGGCAGCAAGAGTCGGGGACATCCGTGCCATTGCCAAAATCCGTTGGAAACCAGTCTTTGTAACTATCAACACCACAGCAGTTCATCTGCAAGTTTATAATCTATGAGAACAATATCAGAGTAATTCAATCCTATTCATCCAACTATATTCCTACCTAAGTTATCAAGCTGCACATCTCTATGGATAAAGAAGAACAGGTGAACAATATTCAAAACTGCTTTACAAAAAATAGTTTTTCTTATCATACAATTTTTATCTCCTAATCAAATTAAATATCAAAATGTCTTATTTTCATACCATAGTCATATGAAGTCAGATATAAATGACACCAGAAAAATAGGTATTAAAAAAAATGCAAAATGTAATTTTAAAATACTGTACAGTAGTATGTAATTTTATTAAACTATTTTATATGTAATTCACTCAAATTTAATTCAATGTACAATACAGGCATTGTTTAGTGAAGGAACAGGCAACTTAGAGTTAGGCTTTGAAGAGTGTTATCTGTGGCCATGGAACCTAACCCCCTATTTCCCATACATCTTGCCAACTGCAGATTTTTTTTTGGGGGGTGTCCCATCCCTAAAAGTGGAACCTCCTCATTAAAAATATCTAAACTGGGGGGGAAGGAGGTCGGCCCTGTAAATGTCGACCTTTGTGAATGATCACTGTTTTCGACATAGCTGAAAATTTGTATGGTTATTTTTTGCATATGCACTGAACTCTGCCCAAGGATAATAAAGTGAAATATAGTGTAGATGACAGTGTGATGGATTTATTGCAAATAGTATAGTGGATGTAGTTTAGGAAGGGTAGTTGATGTAATTTAGATGATGTACTGTACTGTAGATAGTGGAGAGGATGTAGTGTATTGATTGTAGTATAGATGATAGCGTAGTGGCTGTAGTTTAGATTATAATGTAGTGGATGTAGAGTAGATGAGTGCAGTGAATGTTGTGTAAATAGTGTGATGAACATTGGGAAGCTGATAGTGTAGTTATGGAAACAGGCAATGCATTGCCCCTCGGAAACAAACCTGGGTAATACTTTACTTTCATCCTCTTCGCCACTGATCGGCTCGTTAGCCGCTTGGGCGATCGGTCACGTCTCTGATTAGTTTTCCTTTTCATTTATCTTCTTCACCAAAAGATCGGTAATACTGGGTAACTCAGCTAGTAGGCAATTTAATGCCGACAAAGATACGTAGTTTTCATCTTTTCCATGAGTCCACCATGAACAAAAAGCTTACCTCCAACTGGATCTCATCCCACAGCTGTGTATCAGATAAATTAGTTCCATAGTCCACTTGTGTTTCCTTCATGGAGTGGTCCATATAGTTACTTAGAGCCTGGCAAAGTATGTGCTGTTTCTGGTAAACTATTACTGTGGCTGCTATTTCTGTTACCACCATCGACAGAAGCAGAGAAAGACACTGTTGAAAAAAGAAATATTTGACACATATATCTTGTCTTGATACATTACAGAATGTAAATATTAATCAATTGTTTGTTTTCAAAACCAATTTTACAGTGTATGCCAACTGCTGCAGTTGGCATACACTGAAAAATGGCTTTTTAATAACAAATTATTGATTAAAATTGAAAACTGTTATGAACAACACAAGAACTGTAATCATAATTAACATTAAATATTCACTCTTATTAATCTAACAAATCTAAAGATATACAATAGAGCACTTATAAAACAAAGAAGGCATAAATCTGTTGAACAAAACTTTCCTAACAATCTTAATTTTTTTTATTCCTCAAATTTTAATTGATCATTAATACCACTTGTCAGCTTACTAGTCATTCAGACAGTCAAATGTTTTTTGTTACTTTGTTACGAGCTTCATTGTCCTGTGTCTTGAGCTTTGTATATATATATATATATGAGATTTTCTTTCTTGAATGTAGATACAAAGTTTTGGTACCATTCACGATATTTATAATGATAAATGTGGCCCAGAGCCTACGAAAGGTTGGGGACCACTGCAGTATACAGTATACCTGGGAGGCACGGGGGAGTGTACCACTGTAGTAAAAATTTCACTATTTGGGAATTTCCACTACTGTAATCAGGATTTTCGTATGCAATAATGAGTTCAGTAAAATGACATACTACTGCATTAAAGTTTGTACTGTGCCAGTATGAAAATATAAAATACTTACAATTTTAAATGCTCGTGGTTTAGGGGCCAAAGTGGTAATGGCTCCAACAGTGCTTGTAGCTGTGATTCCAACTCCTAGTCCCATAATTATGCTCACTGCTATCCACAGCCATGCAGGCACCCAAGGTGAGAGATACGCCACATATGATGTCAGAAGACTTGCACCCGTATAGCCTACAGCTATACCAGTTCCCTGCAACAATATCATTATTTAATATTCTATGATTAGCTTAGTAAAAAGGGATCAAATATCTAGCATATTCAACCCCCCCCCATGTTAAATAGAATGTGGTTATTATGATATCTGGTACCAATGAAAGAAACTCTGTTGAAGCATGTCAGTTGTAGGCAAACAGAGCAGACAGCAACACACACAGACTCCGCAGATTGTTTGGAGAAGTATTTATGGTAAATTCTAAGACTTTTCTTTATGACATTTCTTTCACAAACAACTTGGTAATTATTTGAATAGTGACCTTCTGCTGTTTTTCATTGAAAATGGGTTTAAAAATACCCAGTTTTCACTTATTTTATTAGAGGATGCTGTATCATGCTGTGGAAAAATATGAAAATGGCTGAAATCATGTGCCAACCTAACCTATATCTCAACTCACCTTTACCTTGAAAACTAAGCTTTTACACAAGAAATTAACAGAACTGAAAGTAACCGGCGTACAAATCTGTCTAAAACCATCTTCATAAATGCCGAACCACTGACAGCCACGTCCCTCATAATTACCGAAAAGCTACAATGTACATTGTTTACATCTGTCACATCACAGCTGATAATCCCTTTATCTAGAAAACTAAGCATTTGCACTAGAAAATGAATAGAAGTGAAAGTAAACTGCATACAACACTGTGTCTAAAACCACCCCTCATAATTACCTAACTGCTGACGGTCACGAGTCGCATATTAGCCACGACTTACTATGTTGGGGTATCCAGGGAGGCGGCACCCCCTGGATAGGAGGTTAGTTAGGTCAATTACGAGGGAAAAGTCATAGAAGAAAATTGTTTGAATTGTTGAAACCACCTATAGTAAGGATAAAATTCCTGATATTCTTGTGCTGTCTCAAGGTAAAAATTTACCCCAAAATACTTACAATTAAAATAAGGTAAATATTTGTTTAATAGCTGTGGCACAAGAAATAAAGGCCAGATATGAATAAAACACACCTAAATACAAGAAAAATCTAATCTCATAACAATTTCAACTTCTAAATCACTGTTGAACCCTAACGTAACTAAACGTAGAATAACTAAATACGAAAATCTTGCCACAGCCATTAAACGAATATTAACCAATAATAATTTTTTTTTGGTAAAATTGCAGATTACAGCAACCAAATAATCTGATTAAAAAAAATGTGTTACCTAACATAATATTAGAAAATGATCATAGACAAAAATAGTTTTATCGATTGAGTTTAGTAAATTTCCGTAATTCTATAGTTGCTGTTTACTGCAATATTACCATACTCCAGCTCTTTAACACATTGAATAGTGGACATATCTAAAGATAATAATATTCTGATGAGTCCATATTACTGTTCCACAAAAATATCAATCATTGGAGCACTTACGGCCAGTATAATGAAGGCAGCAAAGGCTATATACTTAGCTACAGCCATGTTGATCAGCTGATGGCCAGGTGCGACTGTTACCACACTCCCAGGTATCAATTTGTCCTTAGTTACTCTATACAAGAAAATATTTATAACAACTTTCAAATTAAATTATATTTTTACTCAGTTACAAATATAAACTTCCAGTACTATTTAAGTTTATCAAGATTAACTTTCACCGATATTACTATCTCATGACCGGAAATTATGTGTATATACAGTTATATGGTAACAAACCTTTTCTAAATGTTTCGGATACTGAATATATTTTTTTTTTTTTGCATTTTGTGAGTTTCAGTAACATTATGCTATAAGTTGTAAATCCAATTATTTTATTTAGTAGTACTTTCAACTACTTCCTAGTGATACTCTCAACCTAGCAACCAAGGAAGATTTAACGTGGTAGTAACACAGGCCGGGTGCTGTAGCTCTGCTGATGACTGTATAATACTAAATGGTAGTCATGTGGTGATGTTATGTAACTTATCATACACCTTCCAGGGCGGACCTACATTTCGAATTCTTATGAAACCAGAATTAAACTCAACCACAGCACAACAGCCTTACACCCAATTAGTGACGAAAATTATGAAAAATGCGATTCCTCACTTCTCAGTACACAGTATTTTATTTTTATTTCGATGTACGATTGCTAATAACATTTTTCTTGAATTCTTGATTATATTATTAAATTTGAAGTTTATTTGTTGCTTTTATAGTTCGTGTTTTAATTTTGAACCCTTTCATTTTGTGAGCTGTTTAACATAAAAATTAATTGTGCACCTGGTTTTATTTTGGCTAGGGCCAGATAATTTTATTCAGCTGAGAGCCTGGGACACCCCTTGCCCTTGCGCACCTCAGTTACCCAGAGATTAGATTACCTGCAAGTTCTGCAACTGTCTAGCAGTTAGGTAGACGAGGGGTGATTAAAGAAGTTCATATACATCTCTGAGGGCACTACTCAGTAGACTATCCATAATTGGAGCTGGCAGATGCCTGCCCCACCTACACTAGGGGTCACAGCTCAAGGTTGACGAAGCCACAAGTCTGGAAAATTGTATGGTAATTTTTTTTCTGTGAAAATATTAATAAAGATCCCAAGTCCTTTTGTGAGTATACCAGGAATAAAATGAACACCAAATATACTTTTCAGCCCTCTAAAGGACGACACCATAAAAGAATACTTTGCATTAGTATTCACAGAAGATGGTGGGTAACATGTCAGTACCCGTGAAAATGTATACACCAGGGGAGAAAATGAATTAAGAGAGATAGCAATTCCAGAAAATATCATCAAAAGAAAAGTAGCCAGCTTGAAAAAACTCAAAGTTCCTGGAGTGGACGGAGCACAGACCAAGGTGATAAAGGAGGTGGCAAACGAGATTTGCACCTCACTGTGACTCTTATTCAGGAAATTCTTGGATCAAAGTAAAGTGTTGAGGGACTGGATATCAGCCAACATCACCCCAGTATACAAGGGTAGAAAAAGTGCAGCAGAAAACTACACCTGACCGAGCAGTCTTATCAATGTATCACAACACTTTCATGGAAAGAAAATCCTGCCTGACAAATCTACTCATGTTCCTTGAGATGGTAACAGACTATGTGGGCCAAGGCTCACCAGTAGATGTGTTGTACATGGATTTTTCCAAGACATTTGACAAAGTCCCACATGCATAACTAGCCTCTAAGAACCAGGCACATGGTATCGCTGGCAAGATTTTGAAGTGGAGTAACAACTGGTTTGAAGACAGATGACAAAGAGTGGTAATAAATGGAGTACATTCTGATTGGAAAAAGATTCCCAGTGGAGTACCACAAGGCTCTTTCCTTGGACCCACCCTGTTTATGATCTACCGTGTACATAAACGACATAGATGAAAATATATACCGAACTACAGTGTCAAGTTTGCGGACATGAAATATCTAGGAAGGTAGCAAGTCAAGACGATAATGCAACAATGCAAAAGACTTGCATGAGCTGTTCAAATGTTTCCGAGACTGCCAAATACTCTTTAGCATAACAAAATATAAGACTACATGTAGAATAAAACAATCCTAAACACAACTATATAATTCTGTTGACACTTTCTTGGATATTGTTAATAAGGAGAAGGATCTAACCAATGTGATCGATCATTCACTGAAGGGGGTACAACAAGTGGGGGCAGCAGTGACAAAGTAAACTGGGATAAGGGAATTATAAAACATACCTTCAAATACAACAATTGAAAAATGTTCCTTTAACTGTACAAATCTTACGCATGTCCCAGTTTGGATTACTGTATACAGGCATGGAAACCATACCTCCAGAAAGACCTAACATCCCTAGAAAAGGTGCAACACACAAGTGACTAAGATGATTCGGATTATGTCATCTCGATTATCCAAGTAGACTGATGGCCTTAGAGCTAACAACCCTTAGGACAAGGTACAATAAGGAAGATCCCTTTGAAACATTAAAAATCCTCAAAGGAATGGAAAACATGAATCCTTTTGTTATAGTCACCCCTTAAAAAGTAGCTCTTTAACCTGTAAACAGGAGGTAAGGATTCCCTAATATTTGCAAAACTGGAATGCAAGGACAGTAAACATTCATTAATGTTGGCTGCCGTTCCTATAACAAACATTAATTGATGTTGACCACTGTCCCTATAGCTAATATCAACTGATGTTGGCCACCATCACTTCAGTTAATATCAGTTGATGTTGACCACCATCCCAATAGCTAATATCAACTGATGTTGGCCACCTTCCTATAGCTAACATCAATTGATGTTGGCCACCATCCCTATAGCTAATATTAACTGATGTTGGCCATTATCCCTATAGCTGATATCAATTGATGCTGGTCACCCCTATAGCTAATATCAATTGATATTGGTCATCATCCCTATAGCTAATATCAATTGATGCTGGCCATCATCCCTATAACTAATATCAATTGATGCTGGTCATCATCCCTATAGCTGATATCAATTGATATTGGTCATCATCCCTCTTGCTGGACAATCAGCATACTCGATTTCGAGTGACAGCAAAGTAGTACAGTAGTAGTAGAAGATAATATCAATTGGTGTTGGCCTCCGTTTCTTAGTTAAAGGAAGAATATGTCCCTGATAAGGAAAGATACTCCAAGAATACTGAGGACACATTCTACTCTCTTATTCAACATGGGTTAATTATGAATGATTCGACTTTTCTGTTTTTTCTTTCTAGTATACATTATTACACTCCTCTTTTTCTTGTACAACTTAATGCTCCTCCTCCTCAACACCATGTTGATGTAAATACGTACTGTAGAATATGGATACAATAGTAGGTAGATATTTATATAAAAATAACTCTACATTTTCAAATAAATTTTAATGAAAAAAATATCCTTTAAAATACAGTATATTTTCCTAAACAAGTGTGTCTTCATTTCTGATATATTCTCCAATGTCTGCTTGATGGAAACACACAATGTCCATGGGGTCAGCATGCCGACACTCAGCAGTTGCCTTGGCTGCTACTCCAAACCCCTGCAATAAGAAGTTTATTTGACAACATTACTGACAGACACCACTTCCTGTTTATCTCGAATAAGGGTATCCTGGGGTATTATAATAATAAATATAACAATAAATACAACTGAAGAATAAAATCCCATTAAATAACTAAGACAAAAAGACATGTGACTCATGAGAAACTAGAATACTCCTTAGCATAACAATCCATTAACAAAGGATTAGACTGTCTATCTCCAAGTTAAAATGTCTAAGTCAATATTTTCTTGTCAGTTAGGAAGCTTATCAAGGGAGACCAGGTAGTATGTCTCATTCTCTTTGCTATAAAAGGACTCCAAGTTTCTGTCCTCGTTAAAGATTGACTTGAGAGATTCCAAACCTCCAAGACACAAGATGGCTGAGGTCTTATGTCATGTGAAAATGGAGTTTTTGCTCAAGAACACCACATCATTGATCCAGCCCATAAACAAGGAGTAATTAGAGCCTTAATAACTTATTATCTTAAAGGACAATCTTGCAGTTGGTCATTGAAACAGATCTGAGATTTATGGTGACTGAGTGCTACAACAAGGATTATAGAAAGAAGCATCATCTCTAATGCCAGGATCACCAAAGTCATCTACAAGTGGAATCACAACATTCAATAAAGGTTAATCATCTCTAGATTTTATTTTACTGGGATTAGCCCACCCGGGCACAGGCCACTGACCCACATCGGGGCACGGGGGGCGAAAGTGTAATAATAATAATAAAAATAATAAAAATTATTATTATTATTATTATTCATAATAAATAAAAAGTAAAAAAAAAATTAAAATAAATTGAAATAATAATAATAATAAAGACATTCAAAAAAAGAAAAAAATATCAAGAGTGAGAAACAATACCTATACAGTATATATGTTGTGTTGTCAAAGTAAGAGAAACAATTGAGACCCTGCAATTGTGTGTAAATGAGACATAAATTCAGATCAGCAACCTGAGACTCGGTCACAATTTTTGTGATGCCATATGGCAGCAGGGTCTACACCTTCAACCAACAATAATATGGCCAACATGAGCAACATTCCTCTTCAGTTCCGGTAAGTACAATATACTTAACTAATGTTTATCTTTGTTAGGTTAGGTTTTAAGGTTCAAAATCTTTAAGCAGGTCTGAACCTAAATTTAAACCATGGGGTTTTGGGTAAATAATTTTTGGGTTGGAACGCATCTCTGTTTTTAATGAGATTATATGGGAAAATAGATTCTGCTAAACAAGTATGAACTACTTTTAATCCTTAATTGGTGGCTTAGGATCCTCCACTCTCACACCCCCATAAACACAAAAATGGAATGCATGGCACATGAAACTTCCAGAGATGATGACCTCCATCTCTAGAGCTAACTTCCACGAGTGATGGCTACCGTTTAAGGGTTAAGACCAGATCAACACTGGTGTATGTTCAAATACATAAGATTTTGAACATGCCCTGCATGCTAACAGTGTGTAATAGAAAAAGAATCCAAGTGCCCAACTGGTGAATAAGCTGACAAGTGGCAAAGAAAATAAATTGAAGTACAGTCGGCCCTTAACATACGCGGGTTTAACTTACACGGATTTGCAAATACGTGGATTGCCGCTGGAGGAATATACATTATTCAAATTGCACGCGACACCACACACACACACACATCGCCCGCGCCACCCCGCGTTCCCTCAGTCAGTCAGTCTCGCTGTAACCACGCTTGTGTTGACATCAGCATTGTAGCTGCAAAAATATTACATTTCCGTGAATGTATTATATCAAGCACAGTATGAATAGAATATCACTAATATAACAGAATTTTAACCAAAAACTATTAAAAAAACGAGTAACATATCTTGAACATCGGAAGGTTAGGTATAGTCTTTTGTTTTCATGTAGTTTATCCTAATTTACATTGAAATACATTACGTTTCAGCAAAACTACTATTTATTTCTGAGAATATGGAAATGTAATATTTTTGCTGAAAAAAAAAACGCGGATTCTTAACATTCACGGGTATCTCTTTTACCTATCCCCCGCGTATGTTAAGGGCCGATTGTACTGTACTTTACATTTATTTTACAATTCAACCTTATACATGTCTATTATTGTCTTAAAATGTAATGTATATTATTTTTTATCTTTCTTTATGATTTACTGTGTGTTATTCTACCCAAAAAGTTTACTTGTGTTTTCATTAATTTTCCTGTTGTTAGAAAGTTGAATAAAAGCATGACCATGAAACTGAGCATAATTTATATTAAAATACAAAAAAAAGAAAGAAAAGAAGTGTTGTACATGCCATAGAACAATTCCAATCAGTTTATTGTGATCAGCTGATCATGTTGGTGGTTCCAGGTCTCTCATTTACTGTATCAAGGCGGTATTTTAGGGTGATACAGTAGGCACATACAAGTCAGAGGTCTCCACTATTACTGTACAGGGTATATCACACTCCAGCAATCAACTGTGAATTCATCCAAGCCTCACTGTATAAATATGTAGCACAACAAAGAATTAAAAATTTTGACATGTCATCTTACCAATGGGATGTCTTTTGAAGAGTAAACAACAGCACCAGCATACTTGGGAGTATTTTCAGAGATCCGGGCCAGACCAGACTTGTAAACGTGGTTACCATACATGAAATTTTGTTCTGCAGATTCTTTCAGCCATATTTTGTTCTGCTAAAAAGAAACAAGGAAGTTAATGCTACTTATTACAGGGTGACCCTCTCTTATTTGGCATTCCAGCAACTCCAAATTAATGGCACAGTTAATGTTATATAAACAGCATTTTCCAGCAAACCCCACTATTTAAGGCACGTTCAACTGCTGCATAGTTGTCCGGTTGGACAGACTGAAATCTACCATTATTTCATGACATTCAAACAAATATAACCCTGTAAAACAAAATAATTATCATAAAAATCACAGCAATAAAACAAATTTTCAACTAAATGAATGAAGTTCAGCAGCAGCTCATCAATTAAGGCTGAAACTGAAATTCATACAGTGTACTGGCAGATGTAAGATCCTGAAGCTAAAAAAAAGAGTTCTGTCAACTCATATAATGTACATACAAATTACTTCTTATATGGTTCTCCAGACAAATTAATTATACAGAGAGTCCTCATTGCTCATTGTCTCATTAATTTAATGTTTGAAATACGGGTAATTGAATTAATAATTAAAACGTGTTAACTTTGTCCAACCGAATACTGCAATGTACCGCATATTAATGTGCAAAATGTACAGTCACCCACAAGTATTCATACAGACCCTATACTCCTTGTGTGGATTAAATTATCCAGTTATAATTTCAAGTAGAAAACTGTCAGAAATCCCAAATAACCCATTACTTAAGCGTCATTCTTATATATATATATATATATATATATATATATATATATATATATATATATATATATATATATATATATATATATATATATATATATATATATATATATATATATATATATATATATATATGTATATATATACAGTACAGTACAGTAAGTCTTCGCTTAAAGTTGGCTCGTTTAACGTTGTTTCGGTACTACGTCGCTAAACTTTAGAGACCAAAAATTTGTTTAACATCCCAGTGACTCGGTACAACAGCAGTTTGCGTCGTCATGGACTATTTTTTACAGTGCATCACCCTCTCTCGTCTGGCCACAGAACGTCACGGCGTCCCCAAGTGACGCCAGTCTTTGTTGGGCTTCCACAATGTTCGTGAGTGTTAAGTGTTTTCGCTCTTAATACTGTACTCTAACCATTCAAAATGGCTTCCAAGCACCCATCAAGTGCTATTGATGCTTGTGTTGTGAAGAAGCAACGTAAGACCATAGGACCTTGCTACAAAAATGGAGGTTTTAAACCGCTTTGAGAGGGAGGAGGAGCTACCTGCCAGGTCTCAGTGACTCACCACCCTCCTGGCACCCGCCATGCTCTTCCCATCCCGCCTCCACCGCTTCAGTACCCACCACACACTCGCTCTACCACCTCCACCCACTGGTGAGTACCAATACCAACTTAGTAGTTGTATATGCATGCACTGTTTTCTATAGAAATGGCAATGATTTTCTGTACATGTAATGTGTTTCATGGGGCAAAGGGAGGCTCAGGATCGTAACTTCCGTATTTTATCTATTTCTTAACCCCGACGTTAAGCGGGGACTTACTGTACAGTAGACTAGCAACTTATGCGGACTTTTCTTATAATGGTTTCAACTATACACGGATGAACCCAGGAGATTGGTTACAATTTCCAACTTCTCACTAGGTCTTACAAGCCTTATGACTCAGTATAAGAATACTGTATGTTACTGCAGCTTAAGAAATGAAGACAGCTTCTAATCACCATGTTCTTTAAGAAAACCTCAGCATCAACATTGTCAGCAGATCAGCCGACGCCCTCAACTTCTCACAGTGACTTTGAGCTGCCCACATCCTTCCCTGCATCGTTATCTGAGCTTGACGATCCCCCCACGGTGACGTGGGAAGGGGATGAATAATCTCAAAACAACAACACATGTCTGTCTACATAATGTGTGTGTTCTATTAATGCTGTTATGCATTACCTAATACCTGACTATTGTGGACTTGATCTCACCCTCCTCTGTATATATATATATATATATACCTTGTTATGTACTTCTCCTTCGTCTGTACTCACCCCTGAAGATGTGAATTACACGAAAGCACTTGGGAACTTCGTGTTTTCTTTTTCCTTGTGGTTATTAGCATATACCTGGATCATGCCCAATAAAGCACGCGGACTTCTACATACAATCAACACCTCAACCCGCCAGGATTCGAACCCACGGCCCACGAGCCCATGACTGTGACCGGGGAACGCTAACCGCTGGACCACCAGGATACTAAAAGCAGCCCTGTTCAACGAGCTTATGCTCCAGCGGTTAGCGTTCCCATGTCACAGTCATGGGCTCGTGGGCCGTGAGTTCGAATCCTAGCGGGTTGAGGTGTTGATTGTGTGCATATATATATATATATATATATATATATATATATATATATATATATATATATATATATATATATATATATATATATATATATATATATATATATATATATATATATATATATATATACACGTACTGTCTATTGTGACAGTTTATCTGGACTAAATATACCAACTTTTTTCATATACCCTGTACTGAATAAAGCTCTGCATTGGATGAATATATTCTATTTATTTTATACTAAAAACATCCCTATACGAAACTGGCTGCTGACCAATTATTTTGGTCAGGGGGGTAATACTGTACTGTACTACTTAGGGAGTTTCATATTAATACAGTATATTATATTATTTTATAATCGAATTCAGTTAAATCAGACTTTATTCAAAATATTGTTTACAATTATTGAGCCCCAGAGGTGTAGTGATGCTCAAGTTCATAGGCAAAGGCATCAGCTGCCAAGGTGAATGAGTGTTCAATTGCTCTAGCATGGCTTTAAATACAAATTAAATTCTTTTGAACAATGATTGAGTTAATGTCCCCCTCCTGTGAACCTGACAGAACTGGGGGAAGGGAAGGGTATTTGGTTTATACATCATGGGATTACCAAATTAATTCTGGCTGGTATTAGGAGCCCCTGTCTATGGACCTTAAGAAGTCATTCAGTAGTACAAGTGCCACCTGACTAAAGGTGTCATCAAGAAATGTAAAATTTGCAAATTGTACGTGAAAATAATGATACCGAGGTGGTAGTGTTCGCTTTCTATATTTTAGAAATAGGTAAAACTTTACCTGTACTGTCAAGATGACTGGCATCTCCAGAAAACATTACATGAAATAATTAAATAAACTGTTCACAGCTGTCAAAAGGCCAACACTAATTTTCTAAACATTGGAGTGCCAATAATCTTTTAAACAATGAAACTTAACTTATGCTCGAATTTGTTTAAACTGATTGAAGAGTGATACAACACATTAAAAGGATTCTGTAATACAGTATGAGCTTATATAAACACAATACTTGTACAATAAACTCAGTACAGTACCTGACAATATGGATGAAGAAATTCCAATGCTGTGATGTGTACAAGGAACTTTCCTCCTTTAGTTATCTTGCCAAAACAAACTCCCAGTGATATAATATTCTCTCTTGGTAATGTTGCTGCAAATTTCATAATGTCTTCTTTAACGTAGTAAATCCTGCCATTGTGAAGACGGAAGCAATATAGTCCATCTGAGCGCTCCAGGAGGGCTCTGATGTTACTACCAATGCTGTTGGAAATTAAATTAATGTAGTAGTTATACATTCAGCATAAAAATCTGTAATGTATGACTTTTTTGTGTACACAGTACAGTACAGTACAGAGCATTACAGTACAAATGTGTGTTTGTGTGAACAATAATAATAATAACTCGGTAACTATACAGGTTTACAATTGGATAAGTATGTTAATAAACTATGCAGTTATACATTTCAACATGAATATAGACAATGTAGGTAGAGTATATGGTGCATGGAGGCCATAGGAGTAGAGTACTGTACTGTATACAGTTTCCTGTGTGCCAAGATAGAGCAGGAATACAACAAGGGTAACAGTAAGACAACTTGACCAAGGATAGCCAACAAAGCTGTCAGGTGTTTTTTTCCATGAGGGCCCTTTGCTTAGGCTTATGCTTGTCCTGTAATCAGTGATAGTATGTCTACAGGAGTAAGAGTATTTGTGAAAATTTATTTGATGGCATTTAATAAGCATTACACTGCGCTTGGAATATCCAAAGGCTGGCGGATTACAACTACTTTCTGTGGTTTAATAATGTAGAAACTCACTATTTTTTCTTGCTGTAGCTTCTTCAGTTATGTACTGTACCGAGTATTTCTTTGTTTTAGCTTTGAATTGTTTAATACCATAACTGATTCTGATGTGGTCTGTTATGTTATTTGTAGATGCAGTGAAAGTAAGTATAACAGTTCCCCAAAGGAACCTCTCAACTTATGCAATAATTACCTTCTTGACAATGGTTATGTAAATAAAAGAAAATGTGTAAATAGCGGAGATTAGGGTTTTTTATTATTAATAACACACTACCCAATATTATACCAGTGAAAAACTACAATAGCTATACACATATCAGGAATTATAAAATATTCTGGGCCTGTATTTGAATCAAAAGCATGCTAACAGGAACATTTTCATGAGTTTGGTGTTTGATCCATGTGCTCAACACTCGATCCATTCCCTCCATAATTAAGCTTCAGGAATACGAGTCTTAGATGCACTGATTAATGTTCCACTCTTGGCACTCTTCTTGATCTTCTCTGCTTAATATCAGATGTTCGTTCACCTATCTTATAACGTTTGAGCATATCCATCTGAATCTCAACGGCAAGACTAGCAAGGTCATCCTAAAACTGTATCTTGCTCGTGTGAGACCACACCTGGATTACGCAGTTCAGTTCTGGTCACCGTATTACTGAATGGATATAGAATCCTTGGAAAGAATTCAGAGAATGACAAGACTAATCCCAGGCATTAGGAACCTTGAGTATAGAGACAGGTTAAAGCATCTTAATTTGCACTCCCTCGAGAGACGTAGAGCGAGGGGCGACCTGATGAATAAATCGGACTGCCAAACACTTCTCGACTAGTATTTGGTGTGACGAAGTCACAAAAAATTGGTAAACTTAATTTAATCTGAGTTAATATATCGAGTGCATGTACCTAACCTATCCTAACCTAACACAACACAACTCAGATTAAATTAAGTTTACCAATTTTTTTGACTTTATGACACCAAATAATAATCGAGAAGTGATTCACAGCCCGATTTACGCCTGTAGGACCATCATTTGACTTCATTGCGGCTACATTTGGGTAATTAGTCGGACCGCCCAATACTGGGATACACCAGTGCAATTCCTAACACCTTGCCCGAACTGCAGGACAAGAGGATTATTGCGCTGTCTGGTTACAGCGGAGGTCCACCTCAGCTGCATCCATAGGAGGAAGAAATTCTACAAAATAAACAAAGTAAAGTAATATCCAACACCGATTACCATTACGGTAGTGATATGATCTGACTTACTAGTTCTTCAGTTTGCTAAACACCAGAGTTGTCTCCTCGTTATTTAGTGGCCTCATTATTTGTATTTTATTTTTCTTGTATTAAATGACACTTTTCCCTTCACTTATTACGTGTTTTCTTGTCTGAACGAGTCGACCAAGCTCTGTTACACAGGCTCTCTGCCGCCAGTGAGATGTAAACAAACGCTGGCCGTGCACGAGGCGACCAAGACGAACAATGTTAGAGAAACACAACGAACACAAGAGCTAACCACGGCACCCACCTCAGAGCAAAGTTCTTAACATTAATCATCTCGAGAGAGTGAGATTATGAAATGGATTACCATCGTACGATGTTTTCCCATGTGTTGAGGTGGGAGTGTAGCGGATTTCTCCCCTACAAACGCTGTTTGTCGCTGAGTAGTCGACCCCACCAATTCCCCAGTGTATGCCTCATGGTCTAGGTCAACCGGCGCCGCCATACATCACGGAGCGGGGGTCAACTACTAAGCCACGCCTACCCCCCGCTATTTAAGACCTGACCTCGTGGTGACCTGTCTCTTTCTACCTACACCAACCAGCCAGCAACACCTCCTCCTCCTCCGCCTGCCTGGCGGTCCTCGCACAAGCTGGTCCTCCTCTGAGCACCCTCACCAACCAGCTCTCTCTACATCACGCTTGTAACCATGCTGCCTTCCCAGCACCAAGCTGCATTGTACATCCAATACAACATGTATATAGAGAGCACATTGTGAGTTTCCTTTCTCCATCCCATCCTGAGTGTGAACCAAACATCCTTTTACCCCACAGGAGCTTGTCTGTGGCAGCGCCCGGTTGCCAGTCACCATCTGACGCTGGAGTAGTAAAGTCTGCAAGGAACCTGGTCTATTATTCAAACCTCTCACAGAGAGTAAGTAAAATTATTCAGAAAAAAAACAATAATTAAAATTTTCACTCATAAATAAATGGAACAAGGGTCACATTATTTCAGCATGTATATATATACTGTGCAGTGCAGGTATACAGTGTACAATGCAATCTAAGGAATATTATAAGACACTATTAGCAAAGACTATAATAAGAGAGACATGAAAGTAAGGCGAAAACCGCGTAAGCCACATAGCATATACTGTAGGTGGCCGCATGGTCAGCAGATGACGGTAGTATACAAGACGCGGGTCGTCTGTACTGTAGTGGATTCCTCCCCTACAAGCACCGAAACTTCTCGAATTCCCCAGTCTACGCCTCCAGCGCCGCCCACGGAGCGGGGGTCAACTATCTACCCACGCCTACCCCCGCCTTATAAGGCCTGACACCGCTGTGACCACCCTCGCTCTTTTCTACCCAGTGCCACCAGCAAGCAACACCTCTTCCTCCGCGCCAGCCTGGCGGCTCCCGCTCCTGCCGGCGACCTAGGCGTCCCTCAAGCCACGTGCCCTCACTCTGGGCACCCTCACCACCCAGCTCCCTCTATTCATCGCTTATTACCATGCTACCTACCCAGCAACAAGCTGCATTGTTCATCCAATACAATATGTATACAGTGAGCACATTGTGAGTTTCCTTTCTCCATCCCATCCTGAGTGTGAACCAATATCTCATACCCCCACAGTACGTCGTCTGTCAGGGGTCCGCAACCTTCCTTTTTCCGGCTGCATGTGGCCGGGAATTGTCATAGTTGCGGCCGGTTGAACGTCGTTCAAAATTCGGGCTATGCGGCCGGAAGCTTTAACCGCGAGCATGAGATTCGTGGGATATGCTGGTGGACGCTGAAAGCTGATGCTCCACTAGAAACCAGGACGTCATCCCGGCTTGATCCACGCTGAGTTCTCCCTAGTTTTCACAGCCCCAATTATTCGTAAGTTTTGTACATAATAACGTTATAAATTAATCGAGAATATATGAAAAACAAGGTAGTTTATATAACAATGAATTATTTAGTCGTAATGTAGAAGAAAGAGCGTGTTAACGCAACTCGTGTTGCTACCTCAAAACTATAGCTACTAGGCTATGCCCACTACCGTAGATATTTCGGATAACTGCACTGGAATTACGATGATCATATACATTTTTATAACAAACACGAGGGGATTTGTGCTTACATCACAGCTGTGTGTAGGGACAAGTTTGCTTGCTGACAAGCTTCGTCTGCCAGGGCCAGCAGAATGCTTGGCAAGGCAGCTAATTTTGCATTGCATTTTGTTTACCTTTTATGAATAACCTACAACATATTTAGCTTTTGCCTATTACTGTGTCTATAACTAATTGCTACAATTAATACTTTTTGAAATATGAGTGACTCGAGTCAAGTGACAGAACGGATTGGTAATATCGACAATATATATACCTAGATTATGCCAAGGCTTTCGACAGTGTTCCTCCACGAAAGGCTGAAAATCAAACTGGAAGGGTACGGAATTCGGGGAAATGTTCTAGCGTGGATAGAAGACTTTCTGCATGATCGCAAGCAGTGTGTGGTGATTAATGGCACGAAATCATCATCCGTACCTGTCTCAAGTGGGGTACCACAGGGCAGTGTATTGAGCCCGCTGTTGCTTGTTTGTTTCATAAATGACATGCCGGGCGTTGTACACTTCTCCATACAAATGTTTGCCGATGACGCCAAGTTAGTTCGGGAAATTAAGAACCATGCGGACTGTGAAGAGCTGTACGTAGAAGAACACATTAAGAACGTCAAGGTAATAATATTACCTTGACGTTCTTAATGTGTTCACGTGCACACACACACACACATCTGAACCTTCTTATAAGACCTAATAACTTAGTTGCCTGATTGACCTTCTTCTCGTAATGGCCCTAGAACTTCAGCTCATTGTCAACATGCACACCTAGGTCCTTTTCACATTCAGTCTCAATTAATGCAGTTTCTTCGTCCCGTTGGGACACATGATACGCCTCCTTGCTGTTGGAACGTCCCAGGTGCATCCTCTTACACTTCGTGACATTGAATCTTAGCAGCCATTTCTTCGACCATTCCTGGAGATCACAGAGATCCTTCTGCAGCTCTTCACAGTCTGCTTGGTTCATAATTTCCAGAAATAACTTGGCGTCATCCGCAAACATTTGTATGGAGGAATGTACAGCGTCAGGCATGCCATTTATAAAGTAAGCAAACAACAGTGGACCCAATACACTGCCCTGTGGTACCCCGCTTGTGATGGGTACACATGATGATTTCGTGCCATTAATCACCACACACTGCTGGCGGGCATGTAGAAGGTCCTCGATCCTCCCTTTAAAAAAGATCTTCGAAAGAAATTCAGATAGTTTCCTTATTTTCTAATTTTAACTTTTCTGAGCCAACGACAAGTGCACAAGGGGATAGGACGGGGATGTTATTGCCATGGTCTCTTTTCTCAATAAACTAATGGTATCATGATGGATGGCACAGTTGACATCTGGAAATGATCAGATGAGTGAGTGCTTCTTCTCCAAAAAATATACCCCTGGTGACAAATGCATTGGTATAGATGACTATCAGTACTAGTTGGGTGAAATGGGCTCAACTCATAATGAAATGGCAGGGCCTCTAAACAGTGCTCAGTCCGCCTCTGCGTAGTAAATATTCTACCAATGGCATCCTGTATTTTTTTTGTTTTTTTTTGTTTACGGGTATTAGCCCACCCGGGCACAGGTCACCGACCCACATCGGGGCCTGGGGGGGAGGGGGGAGGGGGGCGAAAATGTAATAGTAGTAGTAATAATAATAATAGTAATAATTCATAGTAAATAAAATTTATAATAAAATATAAAAATAAAAATATAATAATAAAGTACTACTACTTATAATAATAACAACACTAATAATAATAATAATAATAACAATAATAACAATAATAATAATAATAATAATAATAATAATAATAATAATAATAATAATAACAATAATAACAATAATAATAACAATAATAATAACAATAATAATAATAATAATAATAATAATAATAATAATAATAATAATAATAATAATAATAATAATGTAATAATAAAAATAAAAATAAATAAAAAGTGAGAACCAATACTGTATATATATGTTGAGTTGTCAATAATAAGAGAAACAATTGAGACCCTGCAATTGTGTGTAAATGAGGCAGAAAGTCAGATCAGCAACCTGGGACTTGGTCACAATTTTCGTGATGCCATATGGCAGCAGGGTCTACTTTACACTATTCTGATAAAATTCATCGGCCTATAATTATTCGTGCAGTGGCGATCTCCCTGTTTGAATATAGTTCTCACATTTGCCATTTTCCAGTCACTGGGGATCTCTTACTTGTTCCTGTATCTGTAGAACAAGAATTGGGGGAAATAGTGTACTTACCACGTGTGTACGGGGTCCTCTCTCTCGGAATAAAATCGTCTGGCATTAGTGAAATAAAATATTATAAGTGGCGTCTCCGTAATGAAAGGGTTAAGGGGCTCAGCAAGGTCGTTGCACAGTTCTCTAAACACTGTGATGCCCCCATCAGGGCCATGGGTCAGGGCTCTTATGAACAGTTGTGGAAATGTGTTCCTACACCTCTTATGGTAACCCGTGTCTCAAAACGGCATGTCACAGTAGTAGTATCACCTTTTATGAATAAATGGGTATTGATCGTGTAACGATGGACGTGATTGGTGGATAGGTTTGCTGTAGGTCATATAGGGTGGCCGTTTGGAGACAGGATTACCACAGGGGGTGTAGGAACATATTTCCGCAACTGCCTTTATCTTTGACAATTTGCATTACCCATGACAAGAAGATTTTAAATTATGACCAGTTCTTATTACCTGCTAATGTTTCGTTGTGGGCTCCAGGGGATGGGGTGCACAAATATAGCATGTACTGTACCAGACTTCAGTAAAGCCTAGAATATAGCTCTAAAAGAGCTTTTGGTGTATACCGTGTACTGTATACCCTTACATATAAACAAAAATAACCTTCACGCTGACGATACCTCCTCCCCGAGACGAAACTGCTCATATTTCGTAATGCAACACCGTGGTTAAACTTTAGTGCAACTTGTGGGAGGAAAAGCCAGGCTTGCAACCCTCCCACAACACATCAGCAATCCTGTGGAGGACGACGGTAATACAGCGCTAGTCTTCATTGCTCACGCAGCACCACCGAACACTACCGTACATAAGACATTAACAGATATAGAAAGCCATTTGTTTTATGACTGTTTAATCAAGATAGGTGTCGTATTCTACACAACCAAAGGAAGAAAAAGAATAAGAAAAAAGGTATGTGTTTGTTTTATCCTCTTCGCCACTGATCGGTCTGTAGCTCCAGGGGCGGTCAATTACATTAGGCACGGCAGAGTATCTTTGACATTGAAGAAGCATGATTATAAGCAAGCCTAGGATTATTACTTAAATAGTTCCTCTATCAGATTACAGTTTAGTGTAATATCAGGTGTGAAATTATTTTATTGGACTAATTGCAGAGGTTTTCCAGATAGTTCGAATTCCTGAGTATTGAAGGTTCAGAGTTTGTGTAGTAGGTGAGTGAGTGTCGGTTGTGCCTCACTTGTTCACCTCTCTCCTCTCACAGTTGTTTGAAGCTTTACTGGCCGTCAACGTCTGGGTCATTACGGCCGTAACTTTAGTATATTTGCCTCTTTGTTTTATAGATTTTTTGTCGGACGGTTCGGCATCTTGTATATCATAGGAGAACCCGTGACAGCCTGGTGCTCTTGTTGCTCCATTAGCTGTTCTTCAGTCAGTAGTAGGTCATGGAACGGCACACATCACCTTGGGGGGGAGGTATCTTAAAAGAGTCAATGATGGTGAATGAACTGCTTGGAAGGTGAAGGATTATATGATCAAATATTATATGAATGAGGTAATACCACACGTCTGACTTGGACCTTTCCTATTGGGTTTGGATATATTTGTATTATTTTATTGTTTTTCTTCAGAGTTTGTCGTACTATTATATATTCTAGTCACCTTACCCTGTGCTGTTAAGGTTTTAACTGTCATTATTTGTTCAAGCCCATCTTATTTCTTTATTTTGTGTTGCGACCAGCATTCTTTGTTCTCTAACGACCATCTGCATCGTTAAACGACCCACCGGCGGGTCGCGTGGCGGGAGCCGACCTTATATATAGGACCCACCAACTGACTTGAGTCAATTCAGTCCTCTTGTCATACAGTCCACATTCTTTGAGTGTCACTTGTTACTTGTACTTAATTTATTTGTGTTGTTCCTGTCGCCACCAATGTGGTATATCTATGTGAGTACCTATTTATTTCTCTGTTTGTGTCCATCAGTATTTGCTTAGTTGTATTCAAGTAATTCAGTGTTGTTTCACGTTAGTTAATTTCAGTGTTAGTTTTTATATGTTTATGCAGTGTTAACGTGATCCAATGCTTTATTTTTATTCTTTCGATGTTTTGTATCACTTGTCTTAAAAGTTTCGATGGTGAATCAATTTGTTGTGACAGCCTACGAGGCTCTTTATTGTGTTAATATTTAATTAATTAAATTCTTAAAGGTTTACTTTATTTATTTTTATTCTCTTTTAATTTACTTCACTTTTTGTTTGTATGTGCTGTTACCATTACTTTGTATTGTTATTTTGTCCAACGCCTAGCAAACTAACGCGCCACCCAAACTACCGTTAGGGTAGTAAACCATATCAAAATGGGCTAGGTCTGGCGGCTGTGCCAACAGTCTTACTAGTTTGTCCAATTAGAGCACACGTCTGTCCGGTGCTCTTGCCTCTGCACTGGTACTCTTTCAGTAAACTCCAGCGAACTAATTGTTTTATTACTCGTCAACTCCTATCATTAAGCAGAATCTCCTTGCAACAAACACAAACTCACAATACATGGTATTGTGTATCACACGTCCTACCACTCTTGCCAAGCAGGTAATCAAGAACTCTGTGGTCTGGAACACGGACCTGAACAATGCTTTTAATGTTACTCCTCCTCGTTCCTCTTACTGGTCGCCACCAATGTGCTGTCAGTCTAGATAAATCCTCCCAGTGTTAAATGTTAAAGGTAGATTAAATAAAATAATTTAATTCCATCCTTGATGAAGAATGCTAAATTGACATGGGACCGAATAATAGTAATATTACCTCTGGTCTACTACACATGGGGTTTAAGAACTTGAATTCCATTTTCCAGGTGCTGTTGGTCAACGAAGAAGTGTACGTTGTTGTTGTCAGCTGTGGACACCGGCAAGAGATGAGTGAAAGCAGGGAGAGTGAGAGCAATGGTAAGGCAGTACCTCCAGCGTTGCCCCAAGTGTGGCTCAGGACTTGTGACGCAGAAACCATCCGACCTGTCCAAGGAAAGCTGACTGGTGAGCAGTTCTGGTGTTTCATGTCAAGTGTATCTCAAAGTATTCGTGTTTTTAGAAGAAGAAAAAAACTACTATGTAAACAGAATGCGCATCTCTCTTCGCCACTGATCGGCTCGTTAGCCGCTTGGGCGGTCGGTCACGTCTGTTACGTCCTATTGGCAAGTACTGAGGCTGCACTGTCTCCTGAATGTATCTGAACCTGCCCCAGTGTTGGTCAAGTTTGGTCTTGAAAAAGCTCACACTCGGTGCCATCACAACACTCTCTAGCAGATTGTTCCAGAAGTTTACAATTATCACTCCGAAAAGTTGGTGCCCTCCGAGATGTTTATTGACTTCAATTAAGTCACCCATTACCCGTCTGTAGAATAAGCTAGGGAATTGTAGGCATTCTAAACTCTCAGGGTAACTGACAGTCTCCAGCATATCTCGAGGACTAGACGGGGTGACAGTACTCCGAACGGGGAAGCACCTCACTCTTGAAAAGTGTCATGAACGACCTTCTCGCTTAGTTGCCCGATTCACTTTCATCTCACTATGGCCCGAGAACTTCAGTTCGTTGTCACCATATACCGTATACCCAGATCCTTTTCACATTCGGGCTATTAATACAGTTTCTTCGTCCCGTTTGGACATGTGATACACCGGTGAACGGAAATAAAGTCACATGACTTGTACACTTTGACAACAAAAAATATATATATGATGACAGTGCACGTAGGTTAGGTTAAGTTAGGTTAGGTTTTTTCCGTGCCTTTTTTTTTTTTTTTCTTTTCCTGTGCCTTTTTTCCTGGATTCGATACACCTCCTCACTATTGGTATGATCAAGGTACATTCTCTTACATTTCGTCACATTGAATCTTAAATCATTTCTTCGACCACTCTTGAAGCTAACAATGATCGTTTTGTAGCTCTTCACAGTCTGTTTGTTTTTTAATTTCCCTTAATAACTTGGCATTGTCGGCAAACATTTGTATGTAGAAGTGTATAGCTTCTGGCATGTCATTTTTGAAACAAACAAATAACAATGGGCCCAGTACACTGCTCTGTGGTACCCCGCTTGTTGCAGGTACATATGGTGATTTCGTGTCATTACTCACCACACACAGCTTGCGGTTACGAAGAAAGTCTCCGATCCACGCTAGGATATTTCCCTGAATCCCGTATCCTTCTAGTTTAATTCTCAGCCTTGCATGGGGTATGCTGCCGAAAGCCTTGGCAAAATCCAGATATTTATTGTCGATATTGCCACCCTGTTCCAGAATTTGAATCCAAACATCCAACACCTTGAGTAATTGCTGACATTCCTTTACAAGGTTGTTTCGTAGATGTTCCATCATGGCATCTCTTAAAATGTTCTTTAGTACTTTACACGCTATGCTGGTCAGGCTCACTGGTCTATACTTATTCGTGGAGTGGCGATCACCCTGTTTGAATGTAGGACTCGCATAAGCCATTTTACAGTCAATGGGTACCTTTTGCTCATCCAGGCATTTACAGAACAGGATAATAAAGGGCTTAGCAAGCTTATGCCACAACTCTCTTAACACTTTGGGATGCACCATGTCAGGGCCAGGGCTTTTATGAACCTTCAGCTTTGACAATTTATTTTTTGTAACCTCTTCTGTGATCACAATGTGGTTCAGCGCTGTATCGCTGTATCAAACTGTCTGTCCTCTAACTCAGGAAGATTGTTCACATCCTCTTTTGTAAACGCCAAAGAATTTATATTTTTTTAACGCCTCCGCTTTGTCCTGATCTGAGTCTGCGTAACTGCCATCTTCAAGCCTCAGATCCTATACGACCACACGTGTTTTTAATTTCGATTTTGCGGAACGATAGAAAGCCTTTGGGTGTTGAGTTGACCTCGCTTGCAATCCGCCTCTGGAACTCATCTTTTTTCAGCCCTTCTGTACCCTGACTTTGGTTCCTGGACCAGGTAAACATCATGTCCTGCTCATCATTTGTCTTAACCCACGTCTTGAATTTCTAAGATTATTTTCTTAGCTTTGTCAACCACTGCATGGTTCATGTGTAACGGTCTCCCAGTATGCCTGGAGCCTATGGGTTTATTTTTGCTTACTTTTATCCTCTTCGCGGTCTTGGGTATATACAGTATATTTATCAAATAGTTCACTGCATTCACTGATAGAGGAGACTGAGTTCGAAGGACATATGTAAATAAATCCCAAGTGACAGGGGTGAAAAATGCTCAGTGGATGGACAACAGGTGGGTGGAAGTGAATACTGTAGTAGGAGTAGAAATAGAGGTCAAGGGCGGCCTTCAGGTTCAGATACATTCAGGGGTGCTTGAGGACATTCTTGCTGTTTATCCCAAATTTGCTAGCGCACACTGATTAATCTTCAATTAGAATATGACGTTTAATGTATATGAACCACTGTCTTGCATGGCAGTGAACAGTGACATCGCCCACATGACTCTGACCTATACAGTATATACTGCTAATGAATATGATGTATTTCTTTGTGTACGAACCTCTGTCCTGCATGGCAGTGAACAGTGACATCACCCACATGACTCTGACCTATATATACTGTTAATGAATATGATGTATTTCTTTGTGTATGAGCCTCTGTCCTGCGTGGCATTGAGAAGTGATACCACCCTCAGTGTCAAGACCTGACTGAATTACTCAGAATAGGCAAACTGTGCTCCAAGCTTTGTCAATAAATTTGTTAAACTAAAAAGTCGACAGTATATAAATATATAATGATAATAATAAATAATAATAATAGTAGCTGATGTTTTGTTTCTCAATAGCACCAGTTCTTCTAAAGAATTCACTAGTGCTCGAAACACTAAAGTCACAGACCTGAAAATAAAAAGAAATACTGTTACGACCCTCCTTTTTACCGCTTACCCAGCTTCCACCACTGGTTACCAGGGGCCAGGGTCTTATGTACAGGAGCAATAGATATCCCACAAGTGTCGACGAATTACCGCTGGCTGTCCCGCAAGTCTCCGGTAATTTCCCGACGATCGGTATCAGTGTACAGACAAACAATAGGCAGGTAGATTTCCACCAGGTGACAGAAACACACTTGTGCACTGTAGTCACCTTTAATAGTCACTAATTCTTTGCAACACTGTTCACAGGGTAATGTCTTCACAGCTGGACTCTACACTTCGAATATATAGGCAACACTACCAGTGTACAATTCCTTAATCTTTTCACTTTTATATTGCTTACAACAATTCCACAATACTTGCACAACAATTATCTTTTGTTGTTGTTGTACTAGGTTTTTTCTTTCCACTCTGCGCAGAAACGGTCGACTGACTCTAGACCGCTCGCTGCCGCTAATATGTCTCGTCAGACGCTTACAGCATTCTAGCGACTTCCAGACGCTGGAGGTCGGCTCGGGACACGCCTCGAGAATTCTAGAATGATCTAGGCTTACAATAAGAAGTAAATCATAACAAAATTGATGCAATACATTCCAGAAAATTCTTACATATGCAATACATCAATATATACAAGAAAATCTTCCTAAACTTGCCAAAATTGCTGTTACTTGGGACAGAAAATAATCAAAGCACCTAGTTTTCAAACATTATACCAAATTATTCCTCAGCATAACAATACTTTATTAAGAGATCACAAAGAGTGACATTTCGACTTTATCATTCATATATTGTACCCTTAAGTCATAGTACTTACTGTGTGTTTGTATATGTAAATTGTGATTGTCGTTTCTGTTTGGTTTTACAGGGAAGCTCCCTGCATGGCTCAACGGGAGACTGACTCGCAATGGGCCAGGTAAGGTGCAGTATGGTGACACTCGCTTCAACCATCTGTTTGATGGCTCAGCCTACATCCATCAGTTCAACATAAAGAACGGCAACGTCACCTACCAGTCAAGGTAAGTAACATATAAAGATCTTTAACACCAAGTTCTTCTTTTGTGGAAGCTTGAAACTTTTCATTAAACCTCCAATAAATGATGATACAAATTTACCTATCAACACTAACAACGTGTGTTGCAGATTCCTTCAAAGTGACACTTACAAACGGAACACAAAAGCAAACCGCATAGTAGTGTCCGAGTTTGGCACAGCAGCGTTTCCTGACCCTTGTCAGACTCTCTTGCAGCGGTGAGTGAGGCAAATTATTGACTTGACTATAACTTTGTTTCTTGGTTATATATAATCCTTTTTCTTATGATAAGCACTTCTTTGTCGTTTGAAATTAAGTAAAATAAAAGTGAGCCAGGGATACAATTGGATACAGTATATCCTTGTTGAAAATGACATTAACAAGAGACTTAGATAATTTTCGTAGTTCTAGACAGTACTAGATATGGGTACAAGAAAATGCAGTACTGTGTGGACATGACTATTTCTTTGAAAATCTTCACAGGTTCATGAGTTTCTTCACACCACTGACTCAAAATGAAGTAACAGACAACTGTGTAGTGAGTGTGTGTTACTTTGGAGACCAACTTTATGCTCTCACGGAAACTAACAGGATGAGACGCATCGACCCGGAGACTCTTGCCTCCGTCGGAGAGAAGGTAACCTTACTAGTCCAGCTTTAACTTAAACTTTCACTATATATTTAGAAATATGCTCTTAGGACATTTTGTATCTTTTGTTTTAACATGCCACTCGTCAAAGTTCATCTGCCTTCTACTTATTGAATGTAGACTCCAAAACTGGGACCTTCACTCTAACCTACACATAAGTAGGTATGTTATGGATAATCGAGCTGAGCACTAAGTAGGTTTTATTCACCTCAAAACATTATATCTGAAAACGACAAAAACAATATTTATAATACGGTACTGGAGTACTGTATGTAGCTACAACACTGTCAACAACAGCATAGTGCAATAAAGTACACATTAATGCATATCATAATAGTCATTACTTTCTTTAATAAGTTATCAAGTCCAATTGGACCTTTCAAAAGTACATGGAAGTGTCATTTACCCTCCTAAGAATCTCATAAATTTTTGTTTCGGTATTGTTTTAACAGAGGAAGTTGAGTTATGATAAACTTTTTGAATACGTACAGCTTAAACTTGTGTTTACCGAAAGTTGAACTCCTCATTCCGTCTTAATTGTAAAGCCTCTGGTGATTTTTCCAAGTTATCAAGAAAGCCCTGCAAAACCAACGACAATCTGGCATGACTTGTTCCACCACAAGAAATGTTAACATAATGGGACCTTGCTCACCCTCCCCATTTTGTAACCCAAATTGTCAACATTGCCGCTGTTCTATACTGACCTCATCTGGCATACCTCACCATGTATGTGACCCGAAAATAATGATGTTGACCTCTTTATTAGCAATTTAACCGGGATGGGAGTATGCTAAATCCATGTTATATTGACACTAATCAAAGGGATAGGAAATTTGCACGCTTTTTTTTGTGTGTGTGTGGTGGTGGTGGGGGGGGGGATGGGAGTCCTTTCCTCCGCCACGGGGACTGCTAAGACACCAGTTTTAAAAGATCCATCATCAAAATCTCTATGAATCATGGTAGATGCACAATGTTAAACTTCTATATAGTACAGGTATGTCTAATTGGAAATATTGAAAATGTAAATTTTTAAAGTTAAGTTATTATGAAATGTTTTCACATGTTACACAGACACAGCTGGATCACTACATAGCTGTCAACACAGCTACAGCTCACCCACACATAGACCCAGACGGGACAGTCTACAACATGGGCAATTCTTATGTTGGTATAAAAGGACCAACTTACAACATCATCAAGTTCCCACCACCGAAGGAGGTTGATGGTATGGAGAAATGTTCATGATGTTAAGTTTATATAATTAATTGACGCAAAGATTTAATTTACAGTAGTTTTAGTAAATACATTGTAGCACACTCGTCGCCCTTGGCCACAGTCATAGAAGTAAAGATGACTTTTATGATCATGATAGTGACCGCCCGTTGACAGTTCACTTCGTCTGCCACACTGTCCCTTTAGTCTTTTCTGTCTGTTGTCTTACCTCTTTCTATAATACAGTACTTTCGTGTTCGTGGACACACTGCTGTAACCTATCCTAGTGGACACTCACTGCTGTAACCTATCCTAGTAGACACTCACTGCAGTAACCCATCCTAGTGGACACACTGCTGTAACCTATCCTAGTGGACACTCACTGCAGTAACCTATCCTAATGGACACTCACTACTGTAATCCATCCTAGTGGACACACTGCTGTAACCTATCCTAGTGGACACACTGCTGTAACCTATCCTAGTGGACACACTGCTGTAACCTATCCTAGTGGACACACTGCTGTAACTTATCGTGGACACTCCTGCTGTAACCTATCCCAGTGGACACTCTGCTGTAACTATCAGTGGACACTCACTGCTGTAACCTATCCCAGTGGACACTCCTGTAACCTATCTAGTGGACCTGTAACCTATCCTAGTGGACACTCACTGCTGTAACCTATCCTAGTGGACACTCACTGCTGTAACCTATCCAATGGACACACTGCTGGAACCGATCTAGTGGACACTCACTGCTGTAACTTATCTAGTGGACACTCACTGCTGTAACTTATCCTAGTGGACACTCACTGCTGTAACCTATCCTGTGGACCTCACTGCTGTAACCTATCCTAGTGGACACTCACTGTAACCTATCCTAGTGGACACACTGCTGGAACCGATCTAGTGGACACTCACTGCTGTAACTTATCTGGTGGACACTCACTCTGTAACTTATCCTAGTGGACACTCACTGTAACCTATCCTAGTGGACACTCCTGCTGTAACCTATCTAGTGGACACTCACTGCTGTAACCTATCTAGTGGACACTCACTGCTGTAAACTATCTAGTGGACACACTGCTGTAACCTATCTAGTGGACACTCACTGCTCCTTATTCTAGTGGACACTCACTGCTCTAACTTATCCAGTGGACACTGCTGTAACCTATCCTAGTGGACACTCACTGCTGTAACCTATCCTATGGACGCTCACTGCTGTAAGCTATCCTCGAGGACACACTGCTGTAACCTATCTAGTGGACACTCACTGCTGTAACCTATCCTGTTGGACACTCACTGCTGTAACCTATCCAGTGGACACTCACTGCTGTAACCCTATCCTAGTGGACACTCACTACTGTATCCATCCTAGTGGACACACTGCTGTAACCTATCCTAGTGGACACTCCTGCTGTAATCCATCCTAGTGGACACACTGCTGTAACCTATCCTAGTGGACACTCACTGCAGTAACCTATCCTAATGGACACTCACTACTGTAACCCATCCTAGTGGACACACTGCTGTAACCTATCCTAGTGGACACACTGCTGTAACCTATCCTAGTGGACACACTGCTGTAACCTATCCTAGTGGACACACTGCTGTAACTTATAAGAACATAAGAAAATAAGGAGTCTGCAATAGGCATGTTGGCCTGTGCATGGCAGCTCCTGTCGAAAGTTACTACCACCCTCTATCATCCATGAATCTATCCAGTCTCCTTTTGAAACTTTCCAGCGTTCCAGCACTTACTACATAGTTGCTAAGCTTGTTCCACTCGTCCACCACCCTATTTGTGAACCAGTTCCTTCCTAGCTCCCTCCTAAACCTAAACTTATCCAACTTAAATCCGTTGCTTCGAGTCCTATCCTGCTCGGATATTATAAGAACTTTATCTATATCCCCTTTATTGATTCCTTTCACCCACTTAAATACTTCTATCATATCTCCCCGCACTTTTCGTCTTTCTAGAGAATGCAAGTTTAGTTTCTTTAACCTATCCTGACATGGAAGGTTTCTAAGTCCCGGAATCATTTTCGTCATTCTTCGCTGCACCGACTCTAGTGAATTCATATCCATTCTATAATAAGGGCACCAGAACTGAACCGCATAATCGAGGTGCGGCCTGACTAGCGCAAGATATAGTTGCAATAAGACCTCTGCACTCTTATTACTTGCACTTCTAGATATAAAACCCAATACTCTGTTTGCCTTATTTCGAACATTAACGCACTGTTTTCTAGGCCGTAGGTCCGGGCTTACAAGTACCCCTAGGTCTCTTTCACAAGTCGACTTTTCTAGGTTGATGTTGTTAAGGCTGAAATCACATTGACAACAGTATTTGTCATTCCAATATTAAGTACGCTGCACTTGCTGGTGTTGAATTTCATTTGCCATTTTTCAGACCTTCAATTCCCTGCAGTTTATTTAGATCCTCCTGTAATGCATTTGCATCCTGCCCTGAATTAATCTGCCGCCCTATTTTGGTGTCATCCGCAAACTTGCTTATGTCACTGCTGATCCCAGTATCTAGATCGTTTATGTAGATTATGAACAAGAGTGGGCCTAGTATTGACCCCTGGGGAACCCCACTGGTTACACGGCCCCACTCAGATTTAACACCATCTACGCTGACCCTCTGCGTTCTATCCTAGTGGGCACTCACTGCTGTAAATATCCTAGTGGACACACTGCTGTAACCTATCCTAGTGGACACACACTGTAACCTATCCTAGTGGACATTCACTGCTTTAACCTATTCTAGTGGACACACTGCTGTAACCTATCCTAGTGGACACTCACGACAGTAACCTATCTTAGTGGACACTCACTGCAGTAACCCATCCTAGTGGACACTGCTGTGACCTATCCTAGTGGACACTCACTGCAGTAACCTATCCTAGTGGACATTCACTGCTGTAACCTATTCTAGTGGACACACTGCTGTAACCTAACATATATATATATATATATATATATATATATATATATATATATATATATATATATTATTAATAATAATAATTTGAGTTTTGTGGATAAGGGTATGCATGTAAGCCAGATGTTGAGTAGTAGTGTAAAGGGATTGTGCAGTGTCAGATAGCCTTGATAATAAAGTTTAATGCTAAACCTATGGAATACACCATTTGTGCGTTACGTGGTATGTACGATTGTCATGAAAGGGCACTGCAGTGACGAGCTTGATGTTGAGGGGTTAATGGGAGTCTTGTGGGTAGTATTTGTGTCAAGTTACATACAGGTATTTAACTAAAGTCGCTGCTCTCTGATTCACGAGTCTCCTTCCTATAGGGATTATCTTGGTTATCTTCCTCTTAATGATAACTCGCAAGGTGATATAATTTCATCTTGTATTTTGTCTCCGAATAAAAATACGACTTGGCTGCAGAGCCGTAACATTTTTGCGTCATGGGCCTCGTGACGTCATAGTCCTCAGTGCCTGCCCGCATTCTCTGGTCGATCCGTGGTATGAACTGAATCCTTCTTTGTCACTACTCTACGCTGACATGGGTGTTCAATTTGAATATGCCTACATATTTCCTGTGCGACAGTCACGCGTGAAAGAATCAAGACTCGGTGAATTTTCATTTATTTTCGCTATTGACTTGTCTTATTAGCACTGGGTAACGTAAACATAATTAACACATTAAAAGTTCTGATTTCAAATCAATAACCTACACAGGCAAAAAGATATCATCTGTGGAGCAGGCAGAGATCATCTCCACTATCCCCTGCCAGTGGAAAATGTACCCATGCTACTACCACTCCTTCGGTATCACCGACAACTACTTCATCTTCGTGGAACAACCCTACGTCTTCAACATGAAGAAGTTCCTCCTAAACTGCTACATAGGGAAGCCATACTTAGAAGCAGTGGAGTGGTATGGTCAGGAAAAGGTAATATACAGCATACAGTATATATATATATATATATATATATATATATCGATAAAACCACACAGGAAGTGTTTCCCTTTTCCTGTGTAGTTTTATCGAGATTTATCTTGGCCACGTTTCTATTCTAGATCTACATGATATAATAAATAAAGGATTGCAATCTATATGAGTCATCATATTATCAGGAACCACTGTGAAGTATTATGAATTTTTATTTTCGTTTTTGGCAATTTAAATAGTTGAATTAATTATCATCGACGGAGACTGAATTGTTGAAATATATTAATAATCATCATCTTATTACAGACGAAATTCCGCGTGGTGCAGAGAGACACTGGTGAGATGTTGGCAACAAACTACGTTACTGCCGCCTTTCTCACCTTCCACCACACTAACTCCTATGAGAAGGACGGCCAATTGGTCATCGACTTGGCAGCCATGGAAAATGGAAATGTTGGTTAACCAATTTTTTATTTATTTTTTAATTTATCATTCTATCACTTATCAGTTTGATAGCTGTTTGGGCGGTTGGTCTGTTCTTTTTTATTTTGTTATGAGCTTTATTTTCCAGTGTTAGTATAGGAGGAAACCTGTGGTGTTTGGTTAGGGGTTACATTGGATAACACCCTTCCCGCGTGTCTCGGCCCAGAACTGGAACCCTTGACTTAGCGTAGTGGTGAGAGATACGCTCGCTTCATTTAGCTTCTTGCATTGGCCTTTTTCTGAGTCCTCACTGTTCAGGTGATGGTTTTGTTGAGTCATACAGTGTACTTAGTATACACAGATAAAACTGGTCCATAGTCAGAGTATGCTGCTCTAAAGTTGACAAGATAATTTACATCAATGTAGAAAATAATATTAAATGTCACTCTGAAAAGATGATGAAAAAATCGACTACGTCATCATGCAGTGTTCATTGTAATAGCCTCAGAGGAATAAGGTTCTGATAATTTTGTTCAAGATATTTAAAGCATGGTATGACTATAGGTTTCTTATACAATAATTTATGTTCTCCCAGGAGGTGAATCAATTGATGTTAAAGAACATTGAGAAACCAGAGTTCGAGTGTTCACTGGACACTACGCCATTTCATCGGCGTTTTGTATTGCCTCTTAATGTGAAGAATTCTCCAGAAAATACGAACTTAGGTAAGATTACCCGCCACCCTTTGCTTTACATTTCAAAACAATACGTGTTACATAGGGATAATTGCCGATTAAGCCTTAAAAAGCAACACAAGTTTTTGCCGAATAGATAAGTTTTTGTTTTTATTGCTATAAGTCCATGGAAATTAATCTGAACATGTTAAAATTTGCTCTTTTTTATGTAAGGCGTCGTTTAGTATCATAAGATAGTAAAATTATACCTGAAGTATAGGCTAGGCTAGGCTAGGCTAGATTAGGTTAGGCTAGGTTTTGTATGAAACTTTTAATTTATATGTATTTTTATGATCTACGCGATCGTTTATGATCAGTTAGAACTTCCAAAAAGGGTAAATACAATACAAAAAGTTTCCTCTAATCCCTCTAATCGGCAATTATCCCTATTTAGCGTACCATGTGTACTTTAAGCTAAATGTGTTTTACGCTAAATAGAAATAATCACCGATTAAACTTTCAAAAGCAACTGACGTTTATGCTAAATAAGGATATTTTTTTATTATTGCTACATCTTAATGTCAATTAATTCGCATATGATAAACTTCCGTTTCACTTAAGACATCGTTCACCTCCATAAGATAGTTAAATTACACCTGAAAGAGGCTAAGTAAGGTTAGCTTAGGTATGGTTTTCTATGATCGTCCAAGGCCAGTGAGAAGTTCCCCAAATAAAATATATGTACATAGAAGCTATCGCATTTAGGCAATGATCCCTATTTAGTGTAATACACATAAGCACATGTATTCCATTTTTAATTAGTTTTCTCTAACTTCGGTAAACTTACTTTACTTAACCCTCTTACTAGCCAGGGTCTACCTACTGCTCCTCGTATCAGTCCTCTGTAAACTCCTTCATCTACTCTTCATCCTAAAAGTGACTCTCTAGTAGGTGGGACTTCAGCTTTTAATTTAGTCATTCGTGGTCAGATCTGAGGTAGTGAGGGTGGTTGAGTTGCTCGAGACCACAATCATGAACAGACAATTGTGTAACAGGGGATTTCTGGACCCATGTTTGTTGTGCAGCAGGAACACACCGCTAGTCAGCATTCCCTGTGATTTCTTCCTGATGACGACTAGTACGTTTTGTGATTGGCTAGCACAATAGTCATCAGTGATCACTGTTTTGTGTGGCATGTAGTTGATCAGCTTTGGCTTCTCTGGCATCCCAGAAAATTAAAGCTATTACCTTACCAGCAGTTGGTTGACTTTTCAACTTTTTGGGAGTCGAAAAATTCAGGCATTTCCACTGCATTAATTGCATCTTAGACTCAGGATTCGAGTGATTCCATGTCTCACCTTCTATTACCAGACAAGAAAGAAATTTGGTTAGATCGGCTTCATAAAGTTCGAGGAGCTTGAGATTTGAACCCTTGTTCTGGTATAGATTCTGAGCGCTGAGGATTCAAGAAACCCATCTTGTAGAAACTTGAGATTTTCTTTTAAATGCTCATGTGAAATGCCAAACTCAGTGTTTATTTCATAGATTTTGACACCTCAGTCTACCATAACTAAGTTCACGATTCGGATTTACAGTTGCCTCATCGGCGGGTCAATCTCAAGGCTCTCCTTTTTCCCTGCTGAACTCCTTGGTCTACCTTTTTATGATGGCATACAGTTCCACCATGTCTCGATTTTTTTTTCAATTTCAATAGTTTTTTCCTTGATAGAGGAAGCGGGACCCTAGTGCTGTCAATAGGTACCCCTGTACAATAACACCAGAAGCATCTGGCAAGTGTGACAAGTATATATAAATATTATAAAGGGGCTTACTAAAGCCTAAGGAAGGAAGGATATTCCTTTAACACATCATCAATATTATTTACATAATATCTGGCCAGTATGGGGAGGATCATCGTGTCTCCGTCAGGGGGTCGTGGAGTGGTGGTCCAGCAGGCGTCACGGAAGCGTTGTGTGTGGGGACATCTTAGGAGGTAGTGGATAAGGGTGCGGCTGTCGGGTCTTCTGCATAACGCACAAGAGCGTTGCTCAGGGGATGCGGGGATACCAATCTCCCAAGCAAAGTCATACCCAATGATAATACGGGCAGCAATCACGTCCCTTTTTCGCAACCCTTCCCCATAGACATACGAGAGGTCAGGAAGTTTACGGAGGACATCGTACCAGGTGGGCCGGGAGTCCAGGGGGATGACTGTTTCCCGAGCTTCTCTCTGTTTGCGGCGAATTTGGGTTCTAAGCTGTAAAAGTGTTCGAGGAACAACATAGTCAGGTGTGGCCTTGTTACAGCCAGTCTTGGCAAGGCCATCTGCTACCTCATTCCCCAAGATACCGACATAACTGGGTATCCATAAGAATGTCACAGGGCGGCCTGCATCCTGAAGTGTGGATGTTAACGCTCGTATTCGGAGGATGAGGTCCTTATTTGCCCCTGATGCAAATGCGATCCCGTCGAGAGCAGACCTGGAATCGCAGCAGACAAGCAAGGGGCAGAAACCATCTGCTTCTTCCTCAGCGAGAAGGGCAGCAAGGAGGGCTATTAGTTCAGCCTGAGTGGAGGATGCCCCGTCAGAAACTCCGAGAGAAAGTTTGATAGGCTCAGGGGCATAAGGACGAGAGATGTAGATACCAGCCCCGGCCCGACCTGTAGCGGGGTCAACAGAGCCATCAGTGGAGAGGACGACCCTACCTGGGGACCAGTGGGCGATCCTGGAGAGGTGGCATTTGCAGAGAATAACAGGGTTCACGTAGGATTTCGGGAGCGGTCCACCGAGGGCAATCACTTCAGGTTGAAAATCCAGCCAGGGAGAAGGAGACGAACCAACAGCAGGGGTGACAACAATATCAGGCAGGAGGCCATGTTCCTTAAGGGCTCGGATGAGTGACCCTCGCCGCTGTCTTCTAGAGAATTTCCTTTGCTGTGAAATCTTCTTCAGCTTCACATGCCAATTCTGAAGTTTACCAAAACCAGTAATTTTCTCAGATGTAATACTTTAAACTCTTGCTCTGAAATAGATTGCATCATATTATCAAATTAACTGATAATAATGCCAAAGCCCCCAAAAATGTTACCTTCCAAATTAGAACACTCGTAGGAAGCTTTACCCTTGAATTTCAGTACTGCTTGACCACTTCTTTGTCATGCATTTTAAGGATAATTGTGAAATAGCGATACATTTTAATACAGTCTTCTGATTTTTCTTCTAAATTTTCAACTGGTCTTTTTAAAGCGACAAACATGTAGATACCCATGAAGGAAACTATTATTGAATACCATCATTGTTAGCCAAACCTATTTAATGCATTTTTATAACCTAGTTTAGGTACAGTTTTTTTTTGGTGGCATTGTGTCGCCTTTATTTTCAAACTAAAGTCCAAGTGAAATAACATACATACTTGTTCCTCTGTCGACAGTAACACTGAACACTAAATGTTCTGCCTATAAGCGCAAGAATGGAAGTATTGAGGTAGAGGGACAGGTGATCTCCAAACAGTACTTTGATCTTCCTCGCATCAACTACAAGTACAATGGGAAGGAATACACTTACTCCTACGGTGTGGAAGTTAACCCCAAAGGAGTAGAGTTTTCTCAGGTAGAGAACATTATAACATTGGTATTTTTTTTTATTATTATTATATTGCATATAAAATGGGAATATAAGAGGAAGTGCTAGTGTTTCATTGTTTAGGACGGTGTTCACATCCTAACATAGAGAGATGTCAAAGTTACAAAACTAAAAAAAAATATATTATTTATTTTAATGTTGCCTTAAAGTTCTGACGAGTCACAGCTCCAAGTATCATGATCTAAAGCATTATAACTTTTTGTGAGTCATGACTGTTAACCATTAAATGTTATAATTATATAATATTGTTAGTATAAGATAATGGCCAGCAACAGTGTAGAGTAGATGAACCAGTGTGTGTAAGTCTGAACTATTTTAGGCTGCTGCCACACCAAGAACTACAAGCCACCAACACTAACAGAGGTACTCACCTCACTAATGATGTCTTAACTGTATTTAATTTTGTCATAAAGAAAGTAAATCTTTGACTTACCACCTGGTCTTCAGCTTGTGAAAATGAACGTGCAAACTGGAGACGTCTCCTTGTGGCACGAGCAGGGCAAGGTGGTGAGCGAACCTGTGTTTGTGGCGGCTCCAGACGCTACCAGCGAGGATGATGGTGTAGTGCTCTCTACCCTCATAGATAAGGTAACAACCAAACTTACTACAGGCTACTACCGGTACCAATATAATGCATCTCTACAACTAATTTAACACAAAGCTACTAAACTTCCCACCACTATGATACATCTTTACAACCAATTTAACAGAGAATTACCATACGTACTACCACTGAATTACACCTTTATAATCAAATAATAAGCAAGTTCCCAACTGTATTTACTTGTTAAAAGTCACATTACCAATCAGTTTTAAGGAGCTGTATAATTTCCAGGAAGTTTTCATCTTATGGTAATGCCAATATAATTTTAGCTCAAAGAGATTGCTGAATGTCAATTCTGTAGAAAATATTTTTAGCGAGATTGAGATATTTATAAATGAAGGTCTTGGAATATTCAAGTTAATCCTTACTTCATCCATAGTTTCAGGGTTACATAATATGCATGCATAAGGCTTAGAGAAAATACATAAGAACACAGACTGTTTAACTCTTCCATGATGAGATGAATAAAAGTGGAAACATGAACACACACACACAAGTAGGTGTGCTGTACATGGATTTCTCCATGTACGACTAGCCCCTAACACCCAGGCACGTGGTGTCGCTGGCAAGATTATGAAGTACATTAACAGGTGGCCCAAAAACAGGCAACAAAGAGTGGTAATAAATAGAGTAAATTCTGAATGGAAAAAGGTTCTCAGTGGGGTACCACAAGGCTCTATCCTTAGACCCACCTTGTTTGTGATCTACCTACTGTAGATGAAAATATATCAAACCACATGAATATTAATAAAGGTAATTGATAATTCTAGACCATTTTTAACTATGCTTTATAACCAGAAAGAACCAAAGTTGGTGGCGTTGCTGGTGATGAACCCCAAGACGTGGACGGAGATGGCCAGGGTGGAGTTTGAGGCGTGCGGAATTGTCACCTCCACCTTCCATGGACAGTTCGCTGCTGATGATGAACCTGTTCATATTTTATAAGATCACCTGTATCATGCTCTTGAGGAATATTATTAACAGATGAATTTTATCAACACTTGTGATGAGGATATTTTAGTAATACAAGTTAATATCATAAACCTGGCTACTGTAGCCTACTAACATTCTAACTAGAACTTTACCAGCCCCATAATATATTGTATTGTACCATATTCACTTTACACTTTGTGGAATGCTGTACTGTACTGTAATATTCACGGTGCACATAGTGGAATGTTGTATCGTAATGTACTGCATCATACTGCACACTATGAAGATTGTTGTATTGTAATGTACTATACCATACTCACTGTGAACTTTACGGCAAAACTGCAAAACTAAGCACGAGATAGAATATGCATATGCACTTAATTCCTCAACAATGTTTTCCGTTACATAACCTGGCAGTTGCGATATAGTACAGTAATGTTAGTAGCATTGAGTACATCTTCAACAGTGGTGTAGAAAACATCATGTATAGTACAGTAGTACTATTATGTATCCAAACACAATTTTAGTAACAAATGTTAATAAAAATATTAATCTCATATAAAATATTCACAGTAAAACCTTAAATTCAAGATTTACTTTCATTGATAGAGTAAAGTATTATACAGTAATTACATTTAAAGATGAAAAATGATTTCATTATATTACTTACAAATTGTAGTTCAACTTGAAATTTGGAAACAGCATGGCATCCCAGTGGCCCCCCACCCCCCATACTCTCCAGATCTGGCCCCCTGTGACTTCTTGTTGTTTCCGAAGTTCAAATTGAACCTCAAGGGGAAGAAGATCATGGAGACATCGCAGAAGGTGTTCTCCAGCCTCACCAACAAGGACTTCCAGATCTGCTTCCAGAAGTGGGAGGAGGGGATTCAGCATCGCATTAAGGCCTCCCAAAGACGGCGACGCCCCCAGGGTGCCTCCCAGAGGCCCTCCTTGTGGCGGCAGCACCCCCAGGAGCCTTCTTGTGGGCGGAGTCGCCCCCAGGGGCCCTCCTAGGGGCGGTGGTGCCCCAAGGGACCCTCACAGGGGCGGCGGCGTCCCAGGGACCCTCCAAGGGGCGATGCTGCCTGCAGGGACCTTCCCAGCGACTCTCGCAGGAACTCTCCCATGGGCAGCGGTGCCCCCCAGGGCCCTTCTCAGGCGTGGTGGCACCACCAGGGGCCCAATCAGGGACCTTCCCCGGGGCGGCAGCGCCCCCAAGGACACTTCTAGGGACCATCCCAGGGGGTGGCATTCCCAGGGGCCGACTCGGAGGTGGCAGTGCCCCCAGAGACCCTCCAAGGCGTGGTACTGCCAGCAGGGCCCCTCTCAGGGGCGAGGTGTCCCCAGGGACCGTTCCAGAGGCGGTGGCGCCCCCATAGACACTCCCAGGGGCGGCAGTGCCCCCAGGGGCCCTTTCAGGGGCGGGGGCGCCCCAGGGGCCCTCTCAGGGGCGGGGCGCCTTAGGGGCCATCTCAGGGGCGGTGCCGCCTCCAGGGACTCTCCCAGGGGTGGCGGCATGCCCATGGACCCATCTAGAAGCGGTGGCGCCACCACGGAAACTCCCAGAGCCAGCGAAGCTCCCAGGGACTCTCGCAGGGGTGATGAAGCCCCCTGAGGCCCTACCAGGGGCAGCAGCGCCTCCTGGATCCCTCATTGGGGCAGTCATGCCCTCAGGGGTGGCGTCCCCCCCAGGGGCTCTTCCAGGGTTGGTGCAGCCCCCAGGGGCCATACCAGGGGCAGCGGCGTCCCCAGGGACCCTTCCAGAGGCATTGACGCCCCCGTGGACACTACCAGGGGCGGTGCTCCCTCAGGGACCCTACCAAGGGGCGACAGCGTCCCCAGGGACACTCCAAGGGACAACGGCGCCCCCAGGGTCCATGCCAGGGGTGGTGGCTTTTCCAGGGGCCCACTCAGAGGCGTTAGCGCCCCCAGAGACCCTCCTATAGGCGGTTGCGCCCCCATGGACACTCCCAGGGGCAGTGCTCCCCCAGGGGACCTATGGCATGCTTGTTCGTTGTGTCATATATATATTACATACATCCAGCAGTCCCTTTCTGAACTATGATTGGTGGTCTATTCTTTTAACCTACCAAATTACAGCCAATAGGATATTATTTTCCGTTACCTTCTTCAGAATGCGATGATACTGGAAATGTGTATGGGTGGTGAATTTATTTAACGTTGCATCTCCCAGAGTTCTAAATAGCGCAAAATCTACTGCACCCAGGGGCCCTATAGGTCTGGCTCTCCTAGGGGCGGCAGAGCACCCGGAACCCCTTACAGGGGCGGCAGCTCTCCCAGGGACCCTCCCAGTGTCGGCGGCGCCTCCGGAGACTCTCACAGGTGCGGCGACGCCCCCAAGGACACTCTCATTGGCGGTGAAGCGCCCACGGAATCTCCCAGGGACACTCCCAGAGGCGACGCCGCCCTCAGGGACCTTCCCTAGGGCGGTCGTACCCCCAGGAACCCTCCCAGATATAGGCGTTGCTCCCCAAAACCCTCCCAGAGACGGCGGCACCCCCATGGGCCCTCACAGCAGCGACGGCACCCCTAAGGTCCTTCTCAAGGATGTCAGGGGCCCTCCCAAGGACAGCAGCGCCTCCAGGGACCCTCCTAAGAACCCTGATTTCCCCTAAGGACCTCCCCGGGGCGGCGGTGCCACCAACTACCCTTCCAGAGACGGCGACGTTCTCATGTCCCCAAGTACCCTCCCTGGGGCCGCCGCCGCCACCCCAGGGACACTCGTAGGCACGCCGGCGTACCTAGGGGCCCTCTCAGGGGTGGTGGCGCTTCCAGGGATCCACTTAGGGGTGGTGGCGCACCCAGGGGCCTTCCTAGAGGTGGTGGCACCTCCAGGGCCCCACTCAGGGGCGGCAGTGCACCCATGGACCCTCCCAGGTAAACTAATAAATGTTTAAATATTATTTAGACTTCGATAGTCTAGTTGTAGACGTGCCACGAACATTTGATTGACTAAAATTTTACAATAACAAAAAGTTTGATTATAATCAAACTTTTTGTTATTGTAACATTTTTTGTTTGTTTTGTATAATTCAATAAAAACTTTATTTGCACACCTTTTTATTTACCTTCATTTGGGGATTGAGCCATAAACAAATATTACAATAGTGAAACAAGTTGTAATTATAACCAACAATAAAAATTTGGAATCCAGGAAAAAAAATCTCAAGAAAGTCAGAAAATGGCACGGAAAACCTAACCTAACCTAACTTAACCTACGTGCAATGCCATCATATATATATATTGTGTTGTCAGTGTATACAAGTCATGTGACTTTTTTCCCTGTGACTATTTCCGTTCACCAAAATTTGAGGGGTGGTGGTTGTACAACGTAACGTGTCATGGGTTTGAGTCCTGCAAATGTAAGGCATAAGCTAGAACACTTGTTAAACATACAAACACTTAACACAAATATAATACCTATGACGAAAATTAGCTGAAACACAAACATGAGAAAACAGAAGCACTTGGGTTGAGCCCCAAGACCTATCATCCTACTAATATTTTCCAATTTCCCCGCCTTTCTTCTTGGACTATCCACCAACCCCAAGTCCCTCCAAAGTCCACAATCATTCTTCAAGTCCAGTTCCCGTACCACCAATCTACGCGCCAGAGGATCAAGATCTCTTCACACTATTACTTCACCCATCGACTTGGTTCGAGCTCATTCTACCTCACGCTCTCCAGCCGGCAACACCACTTATCTTGAAGCTCCTCCACAACACAGTAACTCCCAGCATCGTACTGCAGTGTACATACAATATACGTGGAGTTAACGCTTTTCTGAATATTCCTTCTCACCTCCATCCTGAGTGCGAGACCTCCCTTAAGTTACGTGTATATGTGGTCCAAAAGAAAGAGAAAGTTGACACCTAAAAGAAAGAAAATTGACTAACCGCACCACACATACACACGCTACAAGCTCACATTCGGTGCTGTCACAACACTGGCAGATTGTTCTTTTACTTTTAATTTTTACCTTAACCTCTTCACCACTGATCAGCTCGTTAGCCGCTTGGGCGATCGGTCACGTCTCTGCTACGCACTGTTGGCAAGTACTGGGCATGTACTGGAGGTGAACGTGACTCATTTTGAAAATAGATAAGGGAGGCAACAGAGAACATGACTGGTAATACCGTGTTACACACTTACACTGTGATATCATTCATGAATCATTATCTTTTCATCCCACATGACTTGTACATATTGACAACACAATATATATATATATATATATATATATATATATATATATATATATAAATATATATATATAAATATATATATATATGATGGCATTGCACGCAGGTTAGGTTAAGTGGTTAGGTTAGGTTTTTTCCGTGCCTTTTTATCTTTGACTTTTTTTCCTGGATTCGACGGATATACCCCAGTGTAAGTGGGATTAGATACTGCAGGGTTGGGTGGAGGGGGTGGGGAATCCCACAAGTAGAAACACAATTTTTTTTACGAATTTTGTTTTGAAATTATTCAGTGTGGTATGTGTTTAGGTCACTTTATGAAATTGTAGTTTGATATAGTCACAGAGTGTGTAAAGCCATGCTCTGCCCACTTTATATACTAAATTGCTTTTCTTGGAAGTTATGAATTATTCTCAAAATCTTTTTCAAACACTGGACATCCAGTACACCACATAGCTGTGTTGTTTTAAGTATTACTTCAGAATGTGCTGATCATCCTGACGACAATGTCTAGCTACACGTTTTGAATGTAACCAGCTGTTGCAACTTTCGGAATTCTCTTTATTCTATCTTTACAATTAAGTAAATTACTGGAATTTATTTATATAACTCAAATTATTAAGCTGTTAGCAGCAGTCAATCGAGTACTTCTTTATTTGATACCCAAATATCGCTGGTGTGTGTGTGACCAAGGGACTGGGGCTCACCATGTACTCATCACGTGATCATTTACAAGCTATGCACATCTTTTATTAATTGATAACAAAATTAAGTGCACGGACTGAATATAAATAATAAAACTCTCTAAAACACTATTAATAATAAAATAAAATTGTACTTTTCGAAAATAAAACTTTTAAATCTAATTCAAAGTTTATAATTATATTGTTGCCATATGACTTAGGAAAGCTGTTGAGCCTCTCTAGTGACGTAAATAAACACAGCCAGAGTCTACAGGTGTGGGCACGAGTAGACTATGAGTCTCCTATACCATTAATATTGGTGAAAGCACATTAATATCAGCACTCTCCTTTTTAATTATTCGTTCATTATGGCTGTCAACATGTATTATTCATCAGAAAGCTCAGACAGTGAAAATACGGCAGAGTCTTGCAGCTTGGATTTATCATATCTGATGCTTGATGCAGACTCCTTGGCAGTGCACCTCAGTAATAGTATTCGGGAACAACACCAACAACAGAAAGTTACTCGACACAGTGCTGTGCTCAACGCAAATGATATTTCCAGGGAAGCTAGTCAAGGAAGTTGTCGTAGTGGAACACGACCAAGGACAAATGACGTGAGCGACAGACTCCTCCTGTGTTCACTGTCAAATACAAGTACCAGTGACAGACAAACTGAACAGGAAAAAGACAACGTCCTTGATACTGTCACACAAAGACTCCTTCTGCAGCATAACATGTTGCTTACGTTACCATTTGAGATAGTCAAGTTTTCCAATTTAAGAAGTTTAGATCTGTCCTATAATAACCTCTCTCACATTAATGACTTCTTGCTACAACTGCCAGAGTTGCAAACGTTGTATTTGCACAATAATAATTTACCAGATGATGGACTTCCAAAAGACCTGTCACTACTGTCTAAGCTTAGGGAATTAAATCTGAGTGGAAATCAGCTAACAAGAGTACCCAATCAATTGTATGAAATGAATGGACTCCGTTACTTATATCTTGGAAACAACCGAATCACAGAAGTTCTTCCTGAAATTAAGTCTATGCAAAGGTAAGTTATAGGCACAAGATACAGGTATGGCAACCACGCACTCACGGTAAAATAGGGTAAATATTGTACCATTGGCTGTCCTCAGGCTTTGGTATGAGACTAATTTTGTTAGCGTTTTTCAGTGTTTTACTCAAATCTGACATTCATTTCTTTGGAAATTAGCGGTTTTTGCAAAAAATTAACATTTAAATTTTTAACAGAAACTGCTAATTTGCACAAAAATGGAGGTTAAATTTGAGAACACAAAAAATTACACAAAAAACCTATTCTCATAACAAAGGAACCAACCAACCATCCTACCTACCTAACCTAACCTAACCTAACCATCAAGGAGGAGACAACTGACTCTAAGTGAGGAGTATAACCTCAAGTAAACATGGTGCAAACCTGCGGACAGCCAATGGACGAATATTAACCTAAAATAGCAGGAGTAGGAACTTAGCCTGTCATGGCAAATTATTCACTGCATAACTAAATAGTTTTTCTTATGTTTTTCATTGTGATTTAAAAGAATTTGACATATTTTGGTACTCATACTTATTAATGAAGATCTGACCTCTTTATCACTAGCAACAGCAGTGATTTCTTTCAAAGTGGGCAGGGCTTTGAAGATGAGGTAAAATGTGGAATTAAAAAAAGTGGAACCTTTGGGAACCCGATCTAAACTTTCATAACCTATTTTACCCAAAACCTTACCTTATTTATTTGGTGGACACACAAAGTGATTCTGTGAACCTGTTTTCATACAAAGGGTAAATTTTTATCATTAGACAACCATGGATTTTTTGTTGAGCAATGTGTTTTTCTGATGTTTTAGACAGTTTTATGACACTTTTCTTCCCTCACAAATGACTTAAATATACTAGGGTATCCAGGAGGTGGAGCCCCCCCCCCCCCCGTTAGGAAATTAGGATAGGTATTTTTAGGTAATTTGCAAGGGAAACGTCAGAGAAGAAAAATCTTGATAAATTTGGAAGAATTCCTTGTAACAATAATATTGACGGATTTTAAGTTTGCTAAATAGAATTTTGTGGAAAATTATATTCAAACATCATTCACACAAACTTCACATGATCTGTTTTGACCATTCAGAGGATAGTTCAAAATTCAAATTTCTTGGGAAATTTTTGCATGCGCAAAAATATGGTAAATATTTACACGTACACTCAGTGATTTTAAGCTTTTTAACATATGCAATAGATATATCTCATCATTCTGAGTAACTTTCATTTTATACACTTGTGTTGCAAATGAATAATAATGAACCTAATAGAATCTGACCTATCCAACCAAAGAAACCTAGGTAACTTACGTAACTTCCTAGCTGGCGCATTCCCCACCATATTAAACAAAGTACGTGCACTTATTTGTTATTTGGTATCAATGAAAGCAACTCTGTTGAAGTGGCATGGTGTAATTTTGCAGTTTTTGTGAAGGTGAGAGTACGCTCGGATCAAGACAGTCTGCTGTAAACAAACACGACACACGGTGATTAGGCAGCTTTTTCGGAGGAGTATTTACGATAAATAACCTAAAATGCATTTATTTAGCATATTTTCAATATTACTTTGGAAAAAATTACAAAAACAATGAAATTTTATTTCATAGCTTTGGGGTTTTCATTTGTAAATAAAAGCATGACTTTGTAAATTGGGGACTTCATTTTGTCTAAGGCATGTACCGTAAGAGAAGCAGTTAGGGACGAGTGATTTGTTTTAAGTACAGTACAGCAGCAGGTGCTTGTGTTAATCAGCTGGATGTCTTGAGATTTTTAGGGTAACTTCAGGGTGTGTGCTGGTATGTTAGAGACAAATTAGTACAGTACAGTTCTATTGAAATAAAAAAAAAGTTTATTTAGCTAGATAGGTACAGATGAGAGTAGACAATAATAACAGTACAGTACGTATTGGCATGGCTGAGCCAATTGAGGTCCCCCTCATTGGCTTTGTCTCCCATTTGAGCTCTTTCTAGAATATTCTTCTATGCAAAGAGTAATTTTTTTGCCAAATCACTTCCATTCATTGCTAAAATAGTACAGTGGAATTCCATTTCATCACCATTGTCATTTTACAGCCATTTTCATGCTTGCATGGGTTAGCCATGATTATCTTATACTGTAGCATGATATTCCAGTTGCCATAAGATAAATTAAAAGCTAGTTTTGCAGCTGGATGTCCTTCCTATTACCAAACCACTTTTACAGAGTGGGAAATGGGCATTACAGTACAGTACAGTATATGTAGAACTTCCAAGTGCCTACTTAGTTAGCAAGGCAGGATCATCTATGATTGTGTGTGTGTGTCAGAACCTAACCCTGCAGATGATGTGGCAGCTGCTTTAGGTGAAGTTTACTTATATGAACACAAAGTTTCTCTCTCGTCATTCACAACATAAAAAAGTTTTCTGACATTGCAATTCTGAAAATTTATGAGCAATTTGTATTTTATAATTTATAAGGGTGGATGTATTAAATTAAAAACTGATTCCCCCAGATAGATACAAACTCTTGGAGGAATGGTAAAATTGATTGATTGATCATTTGCTTTTTCAGTTTTCAATTACAGTACAGTACAGTACTGTACTACTGTATATAGAAGACTAAAACTTTTGTCGTTTTAAGATTAATATGTAATGACAATTCATTTCAGTTTACAAGTACTTAACCTTGGTGGGAACCTGCTAGAAACTGTGCCCGAAGAGCTTGGTGAGCTGCAGCAGCTTGGATCTCTGGTTCTATGTGATAACCAGCTATGTCGTCTACCGAGAACTATTTCAAACCTCACCCGGCTACGCTCACTCCTGCTGCATAAGAACAACCTCTGTTGTCTTCCTGTAGGAGCAGTCAAACTGAGGGGTCTTATGGAGGTAGAACTACTTAATCATATTTTATAATTTGTTACAGTACAGTATAAGTAACTTAGTCATTATCCTTATTTTGCTTTTATAATTCCACATTTTCTGTATCTAATAATATAACCTTCAACTTTGGGGCCTAATATTTAGTGGGGGGAAAAGGTTTATATTCTGTAAGCACTGTACTCATGTCAAAGTTACTTTTTTATTCTGTGCTAGTGCATGTTTAAATTTGTGAAAGTGCTAACTCAAAATTGCAAGATCTTACTTCAATATTTGGATATAACCAAAAAATTCAAACCATTGGAACAGTCCATGCTATTCATCTCCATACTTTTGTTTCACTTTATGGAAGCACTTCTGAGACAGTGAATGTATTAACTCAGATATCAATGAAACTTTGTATGTTGATATAACAAGACAAGGTTTCAGAACAGTGCCGTAAATCATTGTTATCGCTGCTTTGATTGTGATATGTGGTCAATTGTCTAATCTAGTAAGCACATAAATTTGAACATTGAAACTTAGCATCTGTATTTTAACCCATGTGTTGGTGACACACCGATTTCCACTCCATTATTTCTATAATTTTCTTAGGTTTTTGCCCATGACATGAGCTCCAGTGTTAGTGACAGTAAGTCCTCGCTTAACGTCGGGGTTACGTTCCTGAAAATGCGACGTTATACGAAACAACGTTAAGCGGATCAATTTTCCCCATAAGAAATAGATAAAATACAGGAGTTAAGTTCCTGAGCCTCCCTTTGCCCCATGAAACACATTACATATACAGAAAATCATTGCCATTTCTATAGAAAACAGTGCATGCATATACAACTACTAAGTTGGTATTGGTACTCACCAGTGGGCGGAGGTGGTAGAGCAAGTGTGTGGTGGGTACTGAAGCGGTGGAGGCGGGAGGGGAAGAGCCTGGCGGGTGCCAGGCGGGTGGCGAGTCACTGAGACCTGATGGGTGGCTACTCCTCCCTCTCGAAATGGTTTAAAACCTCTATTTTCGTAGCAAGACTAATGATCATACGTTGCTTCTTCACAACACTAGCATCAGTAGCACTTGATGGGCGCTTGGAACCTATTTTGAATGGTTACAGTACAGTATTAAGAGCAAAAACACTTTAAACACTCAAGAACACTGTGGAAGCCTAACAAAGACTGGTGTTGCTTGGGGGATGCTGTGACGTTCCGCGGGCAGACGAGAGAGGGTGATGCGCCGTAAAAAGTAGTCCATGACGACGCAAAACGACGTTGTACCGAGTCACCGGAACATTAAATGAATTTTTGGTCTCTAAAGTTTAGCAACGTAATACCGAAACAACATTAAGCGAGGACTTACTGTATATACAATAGTACAGGTAAACAAATTTTGCACAGTCAATGGCGGCAATACCTTTTTGTATATTTTTATGTGAATTACCCATGCCATCATTTTTATTAGGTTATTTCATATACCGGTATAAATTAATGGTAATTAGTGCGGGTAATTATAATGTAATTATTGTAAAAAAAAATAACAATTAGCGTATTGTGTAATAATTCTACAGACAACAAAAGTTTCTTTCAGACCATAAATAATAGCACCAAAATTATGAAAATTTAGTGATATTTGAGGTAATTACGAATTTCTTAACAAAGGCATTTTACTCAAAACGCAATTTTGGCATTTTTCCCTTCCTTCTCGTGACACTTCATATCTACAGTATTATTGCTCATGCATTCACACACCTCTCTTTTCCATTGGTTTAATTGCTGCATTATTAGCCATTATGTCTATTCATGATGATACTGTATTAATAAAGCTTGTTGTTTGTTATTACTTGTAAGGTTTGTGTATTTGTTACACTGTAGTCATTTTGTTGTGTAGGAACCTATCTTCATTTATATAATGGGAGTATATGGGATAATTGGGTTCAATATACTGTTCAGTAGACCCTTGCCATTCTCAAGTTTGTGATTCGTAATTTCGATGATTCTTGGTAAGCAGATGGTAGCTATGGTGGCTAGCTTTGAACCTTCTCCCGCAGTGCAACGAGTCACCTCACTCGCGTCTCCTATCCCTCTGTTAACACTCAATTGATGCCTGTGACGCAGTATCTCGTGTGAAATGGCCCATAAAAGACTGCCTTGTGTCAGTGCTAGTGATGCTAGTGGAGTGAAATGTAAAAGGTAGAAGTCAGTGATGACCCTGACAAAGAAAGTTGAATTATTCAATAAGTTAAATGAAGGGATGAGTGTTGCCATGGCTGATCAGTTGTTTGGTATAGGTATACAGTAGTGCACTAAAGTAGTATAAGTTGCTATTCGCAGTTTGCCTATTTGCGCCATTCCGTGGAACTTTACCCCTGCGAATAACAAGGGTTTACTGAATACAGAATTTTGATATACGGTACAGCAATATTTTATGAAACCTACCTCTTCTGAATAGCAGGGTTTGACTGTACAGTATATATAAATATCAAGAGCACTATAAAGAAGCACCACTAAATGGGGCCGCTTGAAACAGGGTATTAGTGTACAGTACAGTATGGTGTATTGTACGGGTACTGTAATACTATATATAGACATATCACAGTAAGATCTCAGATGCATTCGGCAATAGGTATAGTTTGTCATTACTGTCCACAATGTCCAGAGATTTGGCCGTTAGGACTTTGAAGGACACTTGATTACCATACCTTTTATCATTTTATGTATGGGAGGGCTCACAAGATACTACAATCGTTTACATATTATTATTAATATTTTTCTCTCTCAGATTGCTGAAATTTTATCTCCTTTACAGGTCAGCCTTCGTGACAATCCACTTGTGACACGATTTGTGAATTCATGTGCCCGGGAACTTATGTATAACCCTCCATCCTTGCTGGAACTGGCTGCCCGTGTCATTAAGTTAAAGAAGGTTGAGTATACAATCCATGATCTTCCTCACACTCTTGTAACCTATTTAGGTAATGGTCAGAGATGTGTAAATCCAAAATGTAAAGGTAAGAGTCACTGTTAACTATTATGTAACCATATTACCGAGTGTAATCACATCCATGACTTAATTCAATCTCCTGAAATTTAAAGCAGTAATTAGTGGAATATACAGTGGGTCCTCATTATTTGTATTGGTTGTGTTCTTAAAAGTCCAAATGTATAACGATTATATGAATAACGAGGTTATGTTTTCCATATATAAATCAATGTAATAAGGGGGTTTTGGTTCCTAGCTGTTCAAATTAGGTGGGAAGTCAATTGTGTAGGAGGTAGGGAGGGTGGGTGGCTGGAGAACTCCACTGCTGACTCTGTTAACATGACAGTACAGTACAGTATGCAATTGTACCATAATTCTCATACAGGTATAATTTACGTTCATTTGTTGCCGGGTTAATAAAATATTTTTGTAAAATAATAAATTTTCCTGAAAAAAATCCCATACCCAACCCAAGATGAGGTACAGTGAGTTCTGCTATTACTCGTGTTTTGATAACGCGAATTTGCTCTAACGCGATTTATGAATTAGGAACGATATTTGTATAACGCGAACGCTTGTTTGCTATAACACGATTTTTGCTTACTATTTCTCCAATTTTGTGGTATTAACTGTGAATATGGTAAAGAAGAATATCTCCAAGAAGCGTTCTGGTGATAGAATTCCCGGTGATGATCGTAAAAGAAAGGATATAACACTTGAAGAGAAGCTCGATTTTATCAACCTCAAAATCACCCTTCTCCCCCATCAAGTTACATTCATATTTTTTCAAGGTAAATTGTTACATTTACTGTAGGATTTCATTATTAGATATGAATGTAACATTTATTTAGACTGTGCTATCCTTTGTGTTAGGCTAACTACTAAATTTTTTCGATTTCGAGTAATCTGCACCTAACCCCATTTTCTCCATAAGCCCTGTTATTTCTATTACGCGATTTTCTATAACACGATATTTTACAAGAACACAATTATCGCGTTATAGCAGAACTACCTGTATTGCATTGTATTAAATTCCCGACCAGCTGACCATCATTGGTGCCTCCCTCTGAGCAGTGTTGCCAATCCTCATACATCTTTGCAGTCAGTGCTCAAATGGTTGGTTGCTTGCCTCAGCACTTAATAAATATGATATATTTATACATTAATCAGTTGTGTAAGTGTAACGAGTAGCCATATTGAGCCATCATATATCACTCAAAGGTAAAAAATAATGTTAAGAATGTCGGCTGATTTGCTGAGATTTCAAGGGGTATTACTGTACATTTGGGAATGCATGTACTGTACCCTTAATTATATTAATTCTTATGGGGAAAAATTTCTCATTATAAAATGTTTTTTTATAAGTTGCCTTTTTCTGGAACACATCCCAATGTATAATGAGGCCTCCCCTGTACTGTACATCCATTCTCTCCAGTGCTCCCTTACACTCTCCTATACAATATCATTTAACATCATTTATTAATTTCATTCTACACTCAGCCATTCTCGCTCATTTTCTTTACTGATCCATCCTTAAAGATGTTAGATAACTAAGGAGATATCTTAACCTTGACACACGACTTCACTTATTTCAGATTCCTTCCTTACACCATTTTTTATTATTCACACACATATTTCTCCCACTAAAAACTCTTTGACAGCCTTCTGTACACTTTTGTGTCCCTTCATTGATGTCAGAACTTCCTACATGGTCAGCAATTTACTGTATAATATGCTTTCTCCAACTGTAAATTTAGCAGCTACCAAACAGGGAGGTACTACCGCCTGGGAAGATATTGGAAGCATAATGCGTTGTCTAATGTCGACCCTGCTGCCATATGGCATCACGAAAATTGTGACCAAGTCCCAGGTTGCTTATCTTACTTCTGCCTCATTTATACACAATTGCAGGGTCTCAATTGTTTCTCTTACTATTGACAACACAACATACATATATTGTTTCTCACTTTTGATTTTATTTTTCATTTTTGCATTTCTTTATGGTTCTTTATTATTATTATTATTATTATTATTATTATTATTATTATTATTATTATTATTATTATTATTATTATTATTATTATTATTACATTTTCGCTCCCCAGGCCCCGATGTGGGTGGGTCAGTGACCTGTGCCCGGGTGGGCTAACCCCCCCATTAAAAAAAAAAAAAAAACATTTGTCTCCATGTATATACAGTATACAGTATTTGATTTATATACATTATATCTTTCTTAAACCTTTCCTATTCCTCACCTATGACTAGTTCATTATGTATCTTATAAGATAAATGTGTATCCTATCAATCCTTCAGTTACCAAGCTCAGAAGACTACAGAGTAATTCCTTTCAAGATTTTGCACCTAATCTTACTTCTCATGTCTTTATTTGCCCCCTTTTCCAGTTAACTGTAAACATTTTCATATTTATTGAAATTTGAATTCTTTCTCTCCTTTAATCATTTTATTTACTGTACATACCATATATTCTTTCTGACTTAGCATTTATTAAGTTCTTTATTGTCTACTTTTTTTCTCTCTTGTAACGTCTCCAGTGCATCTCAGCCATGTTTCTAGTTTGCAGGCTTATTATATATATGCCTACCTACTTTCACATGGAAAGATTAAGATATAATGAGCCACTTGTATGAATAAGTAATCTTATCAAAACATGACATTTACTTCAATAATGGCAAAAAATTACTAATGTTACTGTTGTTTATTTCTTGAATAGGTATGTACTTCACATCATGTGTTGAGCACATCAAGTTTGTTGACTTCTGTGGAATGTATAGAGTTCCTCTCATGCACTACCTGTGTTCATCCCGATGCTCCTCAAAAACTCCTGACTATTATCGGGCAGCATCTTCTGAGTCAGAGAGTGAAGATGACGAACCAGCTGCTAGGATGAAGCGAGTCCTATTGGGCTAACCAATTGTCTTACGTTTGATAATAAAGAATTGATCTGGCAAGTTACACTTGAAAGATGTGAGCCATCTCTTTGTGCAGTAACATGGATGATATTCTGTGAAGTGCATCCACTGGATAAGTATTTTGTGTTTTATGTGATTTTACAGGTTTTACTTGTATGTATTTAGTATTGGGTATGTTCATATACAGTACATCCTGTTTATATTTTTTTAAAGGATAGAGTGAAAAGGCAGACTTTATGAGAGCAAATTGTGTAGTCTTGTATAGTTTAGCTGAGCTTTAGTATCTTGCTTTATGAACCAAGTCATATAAAAAAGTTCATGGAACAAACTTAGTGCAGTACTAGTTGTTATGATTAAAAAGATTATGGTATCATATATTAAACCTTCAAATTATATATTTTATTAATCAACTGCAATTAATACAGTAGGAATGCATAGTGGTTAATTATGTTTATACAGTACAGGGTATTGATACTTGTTTTAACCTTAATTAGAAAATTCTAATTTAAGTGAAAGTCATTAAAATTCATTACAGTAATATAAATTTGAAGTTATAAACTTCATCTTTATAAAAAAAACTAGTCAAATAGCAAGATCATGAATGGGAAAACTGGTTTGCATATTTTTTGAAGTGCCATTTACCATATATTGGGAGGCTGTAGAAACATGATTGTCATGTCACATTTTATGCTTGGACAGGTACTGTGTCATACATACATACATGAGCTTTTCAATAAGCAATGATAAAGTGTGAACAAAAAAACTTTGGATAAACCATCCATTGCTAGTTGAGCATAACCGTCAGAGTTTTACTAAGTTCTTAGTTGTACTCAAAACTGCAGTGTTGAAATAATTGTTTAGTTCCAAGAAATAAAAAGTCTTGAGAAGACAAGTCTTATACATTAGAGGATGATAATCACTTTGAAGTCAATGCCATCAATAATTTCTTGGCAGACATTGTTGATATGGACACCAGAATCCTGACATTGTCAGTGAACTTGGGCTGCTTTTTTTTTTTTTTTGGTTATTTCCTGCAGTTTGCATTTCAGTACAGGAATAAGGACCTATTTATTTACTTTTACATCTCATTGTGGCATTTTTTGAGGTGAACAGTCACCCTTCTCTTGACTGACTCATGTTCATGGTCTTTGTGACTGGAAGGAAATCTTTTCTACCACCCAAATACAGTGGTCCCTCAGTTAACGAACGGTTCAATTAACGAAATTTCGGTTAACGAATTACCTCCCATAAGGATCTTCAATTCAGTTAATGAACAAAACTTTGATTAACGAAATCCTTATGAACAACACATTTTGTTGTGAGCATCAGCTGATGGGCTAGTCTGCCAATTCAGTAATCTCTTCTATGTTTAATTCGTTTCCAGTGGAGTAAATATCAAGAAAGTTGTGCTCTTTAATATTTTTGCAATTTTAATATTAAAATTATTAGTAATTTTAAAATTGTTAACATGTTGATAAGTATATGCAGTACAGGGAACTAGTTTTTTGTGCACCCATCAGGCGCTTGACTCAGCCAACCAGGCGTCAATTTGGCTTTGTTGACAGTGGAGTGAACATCTATTTTGTTGGTGTCTTGAATATTTTTGCATTTTTACATTGAAATTATTGGTCATTCTGAAATTTAATTAACATATTGATAATATATAGCGCAGTGCAGTGTTGATTTAAATTAAAATAATCTTGAATTACACCTAGTGAACTTAAAATTTTATTGGTGAAATGACTGCTTCAAGCATGGGTCCCCTGAAAGGCAATTTCTCCTCCATCCCCACCTCCTTCTCTTCTCCCTTCTCCTCCACCCCCACTTCTAATTCCCATCATCAACCAGGAACCTTCTACATACACACCTCAAAGTAAGTGTACTTTACTGCATTTTTTTTTTTTTTACTTTGTATGTACTTTTCTGTGAGCTGGAACCAATTACCCAATATCCCATTGAAACAATGGATTCGGTTAACGAACGACTCTGTGGAACGAATTGTGTTTGTTAACCGAGGGACCACTGTACTGTACAGTTCTCTTATATAAGAATGACAATCATTTCAATCCCTACACTCTAAATTAAAATAGAGACCAAGCATCTCGCTGTATACATCATATAGAGGACTTTACCAAACGAGTATACAGACAATACCTGTCTTGGTGCCAACCACAGATGCGTATATCTTTCCTGTTCAACTTTCCAAAACAGACGACTGTAGTTTGAAAAAGGGCGCCCATCTTAATGTGTGTTAGTAATACCCCAGGCTCAACTAATCAGCTCAGTTGTGCCTATGATGTCACAGTCACCAATCACTGTGATTGGCTACAGTATAGGCCTACATATGGCGGGAATCTCTCGGCCTACACTGAGCATGGTGGGAACTGTTGTCTCTAAACTGAATTTTCATACAGTTTTATTCTAAAAAATCATGACATTATTACAACATAATTTTGGGTAGTTATATGTAATTTTCTTTATTTTTTTTTTTACTGTTATATGAATCGGTTTTAATGGCTTTCCAGCTTTAATGACAATGGTCTTCCTTTAATTAGTCTGTTATCCTGAGGGTTTACTGTACTGTATATGGTACAGTCTGCCTCAAATAGTTGACTTCAGATATGCCTTATATAGAACAGGTAGATATTAAGGAAACTAGATGAGAGGAAAGCATCCACACTAATGGTACCTTAGAAATTCAGACCAACTACAATAAATGGATCAAATGAAATCCATTAATAAAAAGAGCATTATTTATCCCTTCTTACTTTCTATTTTTAATATAGTATCACTGAGGCATAAAAAGTTTAATACCCACATTAACAGACCATAAAATTCACAGTTGTATTATTTATGCTTACAGTTATTAACGTGAGTCAGTTTGGAATATTTTGGTATGGGATTTTGTTTATTTAGTGGAGTACAGTAAACCCTCCATATTCGCATTTTCTGGATTAACGAATATTGCTTATACACACATACACACACACACACAAAATAATCGGTCCTCAAAATTTACTTCAAACTCTTCCCAGGTGCGTAAAGTTGAAAAATTTGGGAACCACTGCGACCTAGATCACCCACACCTGATCAAATTTCACCTATCTACAAAACTGTGGAAATGCATAAGGAGCATTCTCACAGGCAGATAGACAGATTGTACGCTACCGTAGATACTGTGGTTTTTTTAAATACCTGTATACTGTAGATACTGTAATTGGCATATGCAATATAGTAATACAGAATATTGTACGTAATTTTATTTTATTTAATATTTCACATATTGGACTATCAGGCAACTGGTTCAGAGACTGTGTGCATGGTGATGTGAGTGCCAAGTCAACTTGTCTTCATATGAATTTGAGGTGGATATAGGAGAATGATGACACATTGAAAGCTTTTTATAGACTTAATATTGCAAGTGTTACACAATAATGAAATAAGTAAGCATACTGGTAGTAAGAAAAATGCAAACTTATAGCATTTTTGCATTATTAACTAATAAATGATTTTTTCATGTCCTCTGGGTTTTTGCTTGTAAATAAAATTATGACTCAAGAAAAATTTTAACTGAAAATTTTTGTAAACCAGTCCATTTAAATTGGGGTTTGGCTGTGTCAATTAAGTAGATTTGCTTTATTTTAGTGTATTGTATATTGTAAATATATATACTGTAGTAGCTTATTCGAAGGTGATGTAAGTAATAGAAGTAAGATGATATGAAGGGTTTTGCACACTCATTATGATTTTTTTTTTATTCTTCTTGCAGCAGTTCTTGTGCTAGCTTTTTCATTTTTATTTAGCTTGTACTTTAAGGGGAGGAAATGTAGGTGGCTAGAGCTAATATAATTAATAGAAATGTATTTACATATATGGAAAGGGGAATGTACCGTAATGCACCAGTGCTTTGTTTTATCATTGTTAACTAGTTGAGTTACCAGGACGGAGGGACAGGAAGCATTGCATGATCATCCTTTAGGCCACCCATACCTTCCTACTGTATTCCAGTCCTCAATTTTTTAAACTGTGGACGGACCTGTGGGGGAAGGGGAGGGTAGTGGTTGGCCCCGCCCTCCTGTTTGGAAGGATAGGAGATAGAGTATGACCATCTCTTTATCCACCTGGTTGGCCTCCACCTGCCCCTCATGAAGGGACAGGAGATATATAGTACATGGCCACCTACTAGGCTACTTTCACCTCCCTACCAAATTACAGAACTATGGAAATGCATCAGGAACACACACACATACAGAATGTAGTTTACATAGATTAGATAGATATGGTATACATAAATGTAAATTATATTAATAATATTTAAGTACAAAATTATGGACCATTGTCAAATACAAAGGAAACAAACATACTGTAATTTAGTTAGGTACTGTATACCATTTAAAAAAAAAATCTATACTGTATAGTATATACAGGCAGTCCCCGACTTACGACGGGGTTAGGGACCCAAATCCAGGTCGTAAGTCGAAAATGCAAAAAATAATACATAGAAAATCTAAAATGAAATACAGTACATTAAAAGTAATCAATAATGAAGAATGAATACAGTGTTACTGTGCACTTACCTTTAATGTAGTCAGCTGAATACACACGGGGCCTCAATAATTTTTTAATTAAACATGGAGACTACATTAATTGGATGAAGCAGAGGAGGAGACAGGGCTGGGTGGGTCATCAATGTCGATTTCTTCAGACAGGTTAACATACGGGGGATGCTTGCTTGTTGAAGATATTGGATCATCTTTAGGGAGTGAAGAGGCAGCACTGGTGGGGCGTGAGGAGATAGCAATGGGGGACTTCTTAAAATATATGTCCAATTTAGACTGCACAGTTTGCCTTTTTCTTTTCATTGTAAATCTTCCTGTAGAAAGCAAGTGCATCTTGGATCATTCTGTCAACTTTTGTAAAACACTCATCATTTTGATCCATTTCGTCAAACATTTGCATCCCCTTATTAATAGTAGCAAATGCCTCTGCCATTTGTTTCACTGAAAATTTTTAGGTGGGTGCAGGTTCTTCTACATTTTGACTCTTCTTCCTCTGCAATTTTCTGTGCATCCAGTTCAATATGATCCTCGTTACTTTGCTCTTCTGCTAAACTTTCAACCAACTGCTCAACATCTTCATTATCAATTTTTAACTCCAGCTGTTTACCCAACTCCACTATCTTGTTACTAATCTCAGAAATTACTTCATCTTCATTAAATCCTTTGAAACTGTTCACATATCTTTTCAGGACTTTCTTCCATATTCCATTCATGCACTGACCTGTAACCTCATCCCATGCTGCGGCTATGTTCTTTATACATTTCAAAATGTTGTAGTCCTTCCAAAACTCTCTTGAGTGTTTTATCACCTTCAGTAGCAGCAACAGCCTGAGCGAAGGTTGTACGTAAATAATACGCTTTAAAAGCAGCAATAGCACCTTGATCCATGGGTTGGACGATAGAGGTAGTGTTAGGTGGAATGTAGTCTACCTTAACATAAGGGTGCAGGTCGTCCAGGTGTGGTGGGTGTCCCGGAGCATTATCTAAAATTAGTAAAATCTTGAACGCAACCCCTTGTTGCAGACAGTACTCCTTGGCTCATGGAATAAAACACCTCGGGAACCAATGCTCAAACAGTACTGGGGTCATCCATGCTTTCTTATTACTGCAATAAAACACTGGCAGTGTATGCCTGTTGACATGTTTAAAAGCCCTTGGGTTCTCTGAATGATATATCATGAAGGGCCTTATCTTGAAACCAGTTACATTCTCCCCCAACAGAAGTGTGATTCAGTCCTTGAATCCCGGCATGCTTTTCTCCTCTTTGTGGATGTATGTCTGTTCTGGCATGCGCTTCCAGAATAATCCAGTTTCATCTACATTAGATATTTGCTCAGGCAAATAATTTCCCTCCACAATGACACGATCTAGCTCCTCCTTAAAAGCTTCGGCAGCACCCACATTAGCACTTGCTGCCTCTCCACTCACCTTTACACTGTGCAAACTGTAATGTTTCTTAAAC